TCCACTTTTAATTTTTCTTATATGTTAGTTTTTATAATCTTATATATCCTAATTGAACTTATATATTTATTAATACAACTCTTGCTCACGAAATATCCGGTAGGGGTCGTCCTTCTTAGTTTGGCAGATCTTCGAACGGGTCTTCCTTCTTAAATTTCTTTGCTCAGCTGGGTCTTCTGGGGGTCTTCCTTCTTTGGCTTCGCTGATCGTTTCACTTTCTTTGTATTTTGGTTTTGTCGGTTTTGTTGGTTTTGTTTTTTTAAAAACTTTGGGTTTCTTTGGTTTTTTTTGTATTTACGAATTGCCTTGATTAGCTTTTTGTTTTATTTGTATTTTGCGTTGTATTTGTATTTGTATTTGTATTTGTATTTGTATTTGTATTTGTATTTGTTTTTGCACACCCTAAGCTCCGGTTTGTTTCCTTTTTATCTCACTTTTTTTTATCTATATCACACAGTCACTCCGCGTTTTTAATTTTGAAGGATTTATTCCATTAATTAATTGTCCTTCGGGTTTCGGCACGACGCAACACTTTTATCATTCGGTGCTTTTTAGACAACGTCGCCCCACGTTGGGCGCCAATTAAACAACTGCGGTAGCGGATTGTGTTTTTAAAAAGTTTTTATTTTACTTCGAACTTCACTGATATAGATTTAAGTAGAGGGTCACAAAGGAATTCCGGGCCAAGGGATTGCGCGATCTTAATATTTAGCTAGACTTTGCGGTGTCGCTGCTGGATCAAGACTGATTTGAACTTTCTGATCTTTGCATCGTTGATCCCTTTCGGGAATCGTTTTTCTATAAACATTTCAATTGATTTCGCCATCCCGAGTATTAGATTTCGTCATCCAAAGAGAGAACTGTAAAAGGCCTAAAGTGCAGGATCTGCAGAAAGCCGGGAGTGAGATTGTTTATGAGAAGCCGGGTGTGGGCAAACATTGGTTTTCCATTTAGGCGAGTGTCAAAGAATGGGATTGCGGCGGGGGCGCTTGAGATTGTACATCTTAGAAATCAATTAGGCGGAGGCCCAAGATTGAAATTGTTTTCGTTTTGGAAAACCAAAGATTGTTTACAACTCGTATAAGAGCTCAATGGAATTGGGTACGTTAACTTGCACATGTGTATGTGTGTGTGTGTGTGTGAAGAGAGAAGGTGACAGTTACACTGCAGTCAGTCGCCGCCAGCAATTTAACGGCAAAACCAGCAAAGTGTTCATGTGGTATATGTGAGCTTTATTTTTGCACGTGTAGGAGTGTGATTTATGTGGAATTAAGTATTTAAACTGCAATTGCACGCACACATGGGCATTCATGTTGTGCTGAAGCTGCATCAGTGTCAGTGGAGCGTGTATAATTCAAACGGATTGACAGCAGCATCAGCAGCGGTGAATATCTGAGCGGGGAGGAGAGCCAGCGGTGTTTTTTATTTTTTTTGCTTGGTGTGGGTGAGAGGAGATCAATGCTTGAGTGGATGTGGACGTGTGTGTGGGTAGGAGGAGCAGACAGACAGATCACCCATCAGTGTGCGTGTCGGAGCAGAGCAGAGCATCGCCAAATTTTTGTATTACAAATTGTACAATAAAACAAGAGCAGAGCGGTTCTCATTCTCTCTCTCCTCTGTTTTGCATACATTATGTACATATGTACATATATATTTATATGTATGTATTATTCAGTTTCATCTTTTTTGTGGCCTGGTCTATAAATAACACTAATACTAAGTAATGTAGTGTTCTGGCGTGCGCGCGGTACGAGGCGGCAAAGGCATAATTATGCTCGCTATGTCTGTCTCTCTCCTGGCCCTCTACTCTCTTCAATAATTAATTACGTGTATCTGAGGCAAAGGCTTACGTACACACTTACGCTTACGGTTACGGTTCGACCCAATTTCGGGTTTTAACGAAACGGTCGGATGGACAGACAGTGGCAACACCACCACCGCCACCACCACAGATAACGACCAAGCCACGCGACATGTCAAGGTCAGGAGGCGGAAAGGCGAACGTCAATCTGTGTAACGAATAATAGACATATACGTGTGCGTGTGTATGTTTGATTATTGCATATGATATTGCTGCTGCTGTCCTGAAAGTGTGAAGCATACTTTTCTGCGCCCGCACCTGCATCTCCCGCAGCACACGTGTATTTTTTTGTGGGTGTGAGTGCGCAAACCATACAAATAGGCAATACACACACACAAACACACACCACACGGACACATTTAATTATACGTCCTGTTTTCCGTTCTGATGTCTAAATAAAAGAGCTCCCAAAACACATTAAAAATAGCAAACAAATGACGCACATACATAAGTACGTACATAATGTATGGAAATTTACATTCATATGTATGTATGTATGTACGTATGTACACAATAAAACGGTAGTTCATTTATGATTTATAGCATTGCCGGAGGATAATAATAATAATAACCGTAATAACCGGTAAGGACCGTAATGCCACAAAAGGTGATTGAACTTTACCGTTGCCATCGTCGTTACTCTACTTCTTATTCTTGTTATTGCACGCTGTCCTGTTCCCTCATTCGTGGCATCTCTTTGGACTGCTACTCTCTCTCTCTCTTTCAATGTCTCTCTCTGTGTCTCTCTTTCTCTCGCTGGCTTGCTCTTGATAGCCACAGTGCCTGCCGTGTGTATATTGACCTCACTGGCGGTTCGATTGTTTTAAGTAATATGCGTCACAATATTAATCAAAGTGACTTTGTCCCTGTCGGGGATTGCGTGTTAGTGTGTGTTTCTCAGTGTGTGTGTGTGTTGGCGTTAGTGCTTTTACTAGTGCTTGTGAGCCAGCTAATAATGAAGCTAAAATACATTAGCCAAGGCAAGGTTTCCCTCCCTACCCTCTCAAACTGTCTTGTCCATCAACTCTAACACAGGAGGAGCAGGCATCCATTAAACTCACACACAAACACACGCGGGAGCGCACACATGCAACGCTAATTGTAATGCCCGTATGACACTCACTTAGTACGTTATTCGGAGTGCGAAAAAAAAATTAGCATATTTCCATAGTGTGAAAAGCTTGAAGAATTTTCCAATTTAAAAATTTAAACTTATGTAACTCTCAGTGAAGTGTTACCCCACGTAAACACGTATAGATTGGATATACCATTATATCCATGGCTCTTAAAACTTTTTGAATGAAATATTTCAGTAAACATTCCATGGGTTAAGAAGCTATTTCCTCTGCAAAAGAAAACCTATAGTCATATATCCATTCGGTCTATATTGTAAAGCAAGTGTCATACGGGCCTTTGGGCAAACAAACGACGACCGACCGAGAATAACTGTTCGTTTGCTCGCTCTCTCGTGAGAGAGACCACCGACAAAGAGAGCGGAAAGAAGCAGCTGAGCAGCAGCAAGCAGCAGAAGCAGAAAAAGCAGAGGCTAGAGCAAAGCACCGTTGCTTCAGTCATTTTTTTCGGTGAGGGGGCGAGGGTGTGAGCTTTGAGCATTTGAGGAGCGTGTGTGAAGGAGCGGTGTCTGCGACGTGTGATTGCACCTGTGCATGTAACAAGTAACGGTGCCATCAAACGTGCTTGTGAAATGCTGAATTTTCTGCCCAAAACGTGAACATGACATTTTCAAATTTCCGTCCAAACAAATGTGCAATTTTGTATTTTCATCTCCTGTATGAAAATGAGTGAAATACATACACAGATTATTTAGAGCAGCCAAAACAGACAAAAAACACACACACACACATCCATATACATGCATACATATATATTTAAAATCGGAGCAAAACGAAAATAATAAAATATAAGAAAAAGCAAGCAAAACGGAACGCAAATAAAATAAAACAAAAAACCAAAGCCAAAAACGAAAACAAAATCAAAACCAAGCAAAACGAATACAAATAAAAGCCAAAAGCACAACAATAGCCGCCGCCGTGAAACGATCTCGCGCGGACAAACAAAATATTTTTTTTTGGTTCGGGACGACCGAGAATTTCGACATCGACGAGACATTTTCTCAAAATATGAGTGCTCCCTGCTGCCCAACCCCAAACCCCAAATCCCAGAACCCCCCCGGTTTCTCTGTTTCTCCCCTGTCTAAATAAATACAAAATACAGTTTGCGCTGTCGCCACCAGCGCCAGCGTCGTCGTCGTTGTCGTCGAGACAAATGCAATCGGAAGCGCATTAAATTGCATTTGTATGGGTGTGCCACTGCCACCGCCAGTGTGTGTGTGTCAGAAATTGCAATTTTTTTTGTATTTTTTTTTTTTTTTGTATGATTATACAATCGCCGGTGTGTTCCTGAAGCCTCGAAAAAAGCACAGAAAACAACTTGAAAACCAATTGAAATATTATTGATTGAAAATAAGACTCAAAAACAATCACAAAATCGAATGAAATCTTTTCAGATTTCAATCACATCGAAAGGAATAGCAATCCAAAAGAATATTTTATTATTCCGAACAAATCACAGGCCCTGAAGATTCTCTTGCGTGGAAGTCTTTGCCAAATATAGTTTAATTTTCATTAGCGTTTGTTTGCATACAATTTGCTGAGTAGAAAGAAACATTTCCCCCCAAATGCTGGAATATTTCATTGTGTTGACGACAACTTTAAGATCTCGAACCTCAATTGGAATTGAGGATTACTGTCACTCAGACAATTCCAGGAATGTAATTCTAGGCACTCTAGCATTTGCCTATGTATCATATCCACCCATTCGTGGAAATTTCAAGCTTCCCTTTTCAACGGATTCTCAGTAAACAAAACAATAACAAGAGCCTTTTGTGGTGGCTACGAGTGTCATATTGTACAGCATGGGATGATGTTTTCATTGAACAATAATTGGGTTTCATGTTTAATTCGTAATAGGGGCAATAGTGAAATATTGTAAAAATCTCAAGCAGAACGAACAGAACAGAAATAGTATATTTAAGCTCTGTCCTCGGAAAGGGTTTGAATTTTGTTTTATGTTTTATATAGAGAATACTTAATTAAAAAATAGAATGCCTTTGCCTTTTAGATGGTGACGGAAATGAAGTGAAATCCTCATGCAAAATCAAAGCAAAAATCGAAAAGGAAAGGATCGATCAAATGCATGAGTGTTGAGTGCCTGCCGTCAGAGACGTAGTGTGGTTTTGTTGTTATTGTTGTTGTTGTTTGTGTATTGTTGTACAGTGTAATGGCCAGAAGAGATCTCTGAGAGCGAGAGATAGAGAGCTTATATGTGAAAAAGGACTCCCGAGAGAAACCGTGAACGCACACACAAAAGATACAAAAGCAAACACAACCAAGAACTGAAAGAAATCCACAAAACCCATAGGAAAAAAAAAAACAAAAAACGACACGGCATATTTTGTACATAAAAACACTATAGCGACTTTCATTCATGGAATGAGTGGTGCGTGCAACACGAAATTAATTCAATAATCGTAAAAAGAGAGGAATAAGCCATATTAATGTGTATATCTCGATAAGTACCGCACTCCACTCCACATACGACGAATACGATACAACCGAGGAAGGGAAAGAAAAGATACTCAAAATTACGGCATACGCTATACAGATAACGGCAGCATTGGACTACACTCAAAGCTCCTGCTGCTGCACCACCGACACCGCCTCCGCCGCTGCCACAGCCACAGCCACAGCCACCACTATCCACAGCCATAGCCATAGCAGAAACTGCAACAGCCACAGCCACAGAATGCCAGTGAAAAAGCAAGGTAAGCGAAATGAGGCACCACGAAATGTTGTTGCCGTTTTCCTTTTTCCATTTGATGTTCCTGTTTCTGTATAGTTCCCCTTTCGTTTTGCATCCTATCCTATCCATCTGGAGAGCTCCTCTGATGGTTTTCATCATTCCCGGGAATCTCTCTCTCTCTCTCTCTCTCTCTCTCTCTCTCTCTCCCTGTCTCTCTGGCGGTCTCTATGAGAGTATTACCTGGAAAGTCCATTCACAGTTTGTGGCAGGCACTCTACCCTAGAGTGCAGAGGGGGAGGGTTGGGGGTGATGAACCGTGCAGTAATCCCCTCTTCTATCCGAAAACAAGCTTGTGGGTTTTGGTACAGAATGTGTGTGGGCGTGGGAGGGAGGGGAGTGCGTTTCACTCAAAGTTTTCTACAGCAAAAAGGATATACACATGTAGATATAGAAAAGTACGAGTATGTGGGCATTAGACACGTTTGTTGTACTTTGTAAATATTAGCTTGTGATAATTAGGGTCTTAAAATGACATGTCAATTTTCATAAAAATTAAATGATAAACATTTCGTAACATATTTTATTCCCTGATGACTGTTTTTTCCACCATTTCAATCGAATTAATTGGGGTTTTTTTTATTTTTGTTTGCATCCACAAACCACGCAGGCTTGTTAAATAATTAAAGCTTTAAATGCCCTCTTTACAAAAACAACCCAATATAATCATAGTTTCAAGAGCAGTTTCGACAGCTGTTTTTCTCAGCAACTAAAAAGGAATATGTTTTTTAGGCGGCCCCAATTGATTCCCCCACCAAACACTCATCCACTCGTTCGAATTTATTCTCAAAATTCTGAGTAAGCACTTGGCTTGGTCTTGGTCCCCAGTCTCGATCGATGTTTTCTCCCTCTTTTTCTTGGCATCAGATTTCCGATCATTTCCGATCGTTTGTTTACGCGTATTCGAATTTCAGTAAGCAAAAGCATCAAGAAAGAGTAAATAAAAAAGAAATAAAAGGGAAACAGAAAAGTCAATAAGAGTATTCAATTACAATTTCAATATCTGATAAATGCAATAGTGGAAATAAATCGTAGAAACGCTCTACTTTCAATTGGGAAGACAAGAAAAGTCCCTCTAATAAGACGTCTAGCTTCCATTGCTCCATTGTAACACAATACATGACGTGTGCACGACAAGGCACGTTGGTTCTTGGGACTGAAGACGCCCAAGTGAATGCTGCAAAAGAGAATGTCCCGTATTGTGGTCGAAAGATCATTGAAGATTGATTGAAAAGATCATGAGCATGATACCTCATATAATGCTCACAGAATCCTCTATCTGGGAAGACAAGATAAGACCCTTATAGATGAGGCTTTGGCTGGACAACGTCTTGGAGTAAAACTATGATTGGATTTGGAATATATTTCGTTTCGGAGGGCAGCAGTCTGCTCTCATCAAATGTACAGTGAAGGTCAACGGCAGTGTCTGACTCGTGCTGCCACAGATATAAAGATATATATATACTCTATATATGTATCTACATATGTAGTAGTAAAAAGTATCTTGTGCATTTTGATTTGTTATAATGTCCGTGTATAATCAAAATTTGTGGGACTCGCGACTATAATAATAAATTATGTGTTTAATTTTTTTTGGCAATGCGACAGATGACAGGCCCAGGCGTAGAAACTTGCTGTAGAACCCCTGACCCCTGACCCTGAAAGGGGCGAGCATAAAGAGTAGAACGAAACTATACTTAAATAGCGAGCAGAGGAGAAGAACTGTGTAAGAAGAGCATTCAGTTGAAAGGGCAAACGTAATTTTAGTCAATCTTTATTGATTTATTGGGGCCTATTAGGGTAAAACCCATTTGCGACGGTATATGGGATATTATAAAGCAAAAGATTGGCGGTCGGAAACAGTCCAGTGCGGTGGTTGGACCTGAAGAGAGGTGGCTTTCTTTGAGAATGAATTCGGACACGGACTCGGGGTCTGAGCGCGAGAAGAGCAGCGATCCCAACGAGGGTTTGCTCAGCAGCGACGACAAGACCTTTCACGACGACGACGATGAAGAGGAGGAGGAGGAGGAGGATTCCTCGCCAGCCGATGATGAGGCAGAGTTGGAGGAAGAGGAGTCCCTACTGCCAGTGCAGAAGGAGGTGGAGGAGAAACCCACAGCCGCCCCAGTGGTTGTCTTGCTGCAAACTGATGAGGAAGCCATAGAAATTCAAGAACAAATCGATGTAAACTTTGCTGAGCCCTCTTCGGCCAGACCATCATTTGTGAGCGAGGAGGGACCTGCAGTCGTCCAGCACAGTGCAGAGCCGCAACCGGAACAGGAACAGGAGCCCCTGAAATGTCCTTCCTCGCTGCGCGACAGTGTGCGCGAGTCGATCGAATGCTTCTACTCGGCACAGGATCTTCTCGAGTACGGCCACGGGCTCTCCTCGACAGCCGCCGAGCAACGGACACCGGATGTGGAGTCCGGTTATTTTGAGAAGTCCGAGAGCGATGCCTCGCGGGATGAGTGGGAGGCGGCACCCTCCGCAGGAGCCGCCCGTTCCCGTTTGCTACTGTCCGCCTCTGCCTCCGCCTCCTCCTCCAGTCGCAACAGCTCCGAGGGCCTGCGCATGGAGCTGAGACGCTTTCGGGCCATGATCGAGACCCTGGAGCGAGAGAGCCTGGAGAAGTCGCAGTCCGAACAGCTGTTGCAGCAGCTTAGCCCCCCCAAGAAGACCAAGCCGAAGCCAAAGCAGCGATCCTCTCATCCCCCGGCAGCGCCTGGAATGCCAGCGGAGCAGCGGGGCTTCTGGTCGACGGTGTTTGGCGAGGCCGGACTGGAGATGGGCCAGAGCCAGGAGGAGGACGAACGTATTGCGGATATACAAAGTACGGACACATGATATGGGGATACAAGCGTTAACAGAAGATATAATGAAAATTTCTCAGAAAAACTAGGGAATATTTAAGGAACCGACGAGAAACGTTGGGAAGAAGAATAGATCTAATTATGGATTGGTTATTGGGATCCCATGACATCTATCTACAGACCTTTTTATTGCCTTTTATTTATATTATACTCAACTCGATTTGTTCACTCTTTGATCACTTTGCAGAAGCTCATCGCGCTCTGGAACTGCTCGAGGACTACCATGCCCGACTCTCCGAGCCGCAGGATCGAGCGCTGCGTATTGCAATCGAACGCGTTATACGCATATTTAAGTCTCGCTTGTTTCAAGCGCTGTTAGGTGAGTAATCAATACCCACCGTCCCCCAAACGATAGTTACGATTGGCATCTACTAAAGGTTAAGGTATAAGTTTGTTTGCAAGAGCTACTAGATGATAAGTAGTGTAAGAGCAGTGGATATTTCTTGGGACATATTCTTTAAAGAATTAAAAGGACAGTAGTCCTCCATGTACTATGGCTTATTTAAGTATTGAATAATCGATGAATTGCTAGTGTTTTTTTTTTACCGTATCAGAAGTTCAATCCCAAGAACTTATCGAACTGGAAGAGGATCCCGTTAGTTGTTGTTCCGGTCTGCCTGCCTATCGTCCAATCGATATTTGTTGTCTCTCATTTCTATTCTTCTTTTGGCTTGAAATTATTTCCACTTGACAGGGAAGGAAAAACAACAAAGAAAAACACCCAGAAGAGAGAGCGATAATATTGCATAGGATTTGGGTCAAACACAGCCCAGGCAGAGCAGAGAAGAGCAGAGCAGCGCAGTCACGGTCGCAGCTTGTCGCTTGAGTGTGGCGCCCCTCCCACCGTGTTCCCCTTCGGGGGCTGACATTCGTTGCCGGGTATCCATCCATTTTGAGGGGCAGGCAGCCGGCCAGGCCATTGTGTCTGCTCTGTGGGACTCTTTTTTTTTTTTTTGCCTGTTGTATAATTTGCAAAAGTTGCTTCGCTCTCTCTATGTCTGTGCCCTGGTGCCTGTGCTGTGCTGTGTGTGTGTGTGTGTGTCCCATTCAAACCGACAATCATGGCCTTCCCTCTGTACTTTTGCCGTGCCCCCTATACTGTGGCATCATCATCATCATCGTCATCATTCTCATGGGGTAACCACACTGTGTGCCGCCGCCGATGCCAAGGCAGGAGTTGCATAATCCGTTTTGTACCCCATATCTAACATTTCGAGTCGAGTCAAGTCGATTCCTCCACCTCGCGGTGCTTCTTCCTTCTTTCATCTTACTTTGTTACTGCTTCTGTGACTGTTTCTGCTGCCACTTCTTCTTCAACTATTTGTCACTTTGTTGGTGGTCCCTTTATGAGTGTGTCCTGCTTGTTACAAACTCTTTCGTTTATATGGAAGCCCATTTTGTGATATATTTTGATACATTTACTTTATATTTTATTTCTTAAGCCAAAAATTGGAATAAAAACTGCTCCATCTTTAAAAATTAATAAATATTGGTAGATCCATGATAGCTTTGCTTTTAAGGATTATTAATTATTAATATATTTAACAAAGTATTTACCTTATTGGGAAATTTATGATATTTTAAATGAATTTTTATTTTTAAGGCTATTTTTTAAGATCTTAGTTTTTATTTTTATTTAGCAAGTGCATTTTTATTTTTATTATATTTATTTTATTACATACATATGTATGTAAGTGTTTAATAGTCTGTTTTTAGTTTTAGTTTTTGTTTATTTTAATATTTTTTATTTTATATGGAGTGGTATAAACAGGATTTTTTACAATTATACCATCATGAAATGCAACGATTTCAATTTGTACAGAATTGTGGATTAGATTATAGTAATTAAATTATATTTATTTGTATTATATTTGCAAAATGATGCCTTAAAGCAGGGCCTCCGTGTCCAATGAAGTCATCGGACATGCTTCACCTTAACAGGGTACACGCATTTCATGAAATCGTGTTGTCGTATAAACATTGTAACACTTTTTCTGGGTTTTCTGGTCGTACAATGTGCATACATTGATGTTTAATGGGGGAGTACTTGAGGGCTGGGAATCGAATGTCTGTAAAATGGAGCTCCATTTGACTTCTCTAAGATCAACCAGAAAGCCGGAACTTTTCCGTCTCGTTTTGTAAATATGCCAGATACAAAAGGCCTGACTGGTCATACGATATACAAGTAATATTGAAGCGAAAAGTTGCTGGGGTCAACCCCTTTCCCGCCGTTAATATGTTGAGAGAACAGGAGCACGCACCCCGAGCGGTTTTCACGTGGGGCTTGCTTCTTTTACTGTCAATCCTCGCCACAGCAAACGCCAGCCTGCCAAAGGACAGGACGAAGGATGGACATCATTTGCAGGAGACCGGCCCCTGGAGAAGAATGTCGGGGGACATTGGTGATCGGCGGATGCATACTCAGCGACTCTACGATGCCTATCTGGATTGGGTGAGGTACGAGCAAGAGGTAAGCGACAGGGACAGCGAGGATGTGGATGAGCCGTTGAATCAATGGAATGTATCTGCGGCCCACCATCCCATCGAATACGCTGCTGCGGAAGAGCATACACTACAGTCCGTGAAGTACTTTGGCCGACTGCCCAGCTCCAAGTCAAAGGAAGAAAGCGAACGGAGCTCCGATGGGAAGGAGTCCGTTGGCATGCTGATACTGAAGATGAAAACGATGCCCAGTCGATTGGAGGCAGCAGCAAAGGCGGCCCAGCGGAAGTACGAGCCGAAACAGAGATACAGCGAGGATCTGGCCGAAGGTCCTGTCCCAGCCTCAAGCCGATATCCAAAGACAGAGACAGAGGCAGAGCCTGAGCCAGAGCCAGAGACGGAGCTAGAGGCAGAGCCAGAGGCAGATAGAGAGACGGAGCTAGAGGCAGAGCCAGAGGCAGAGAGAGAGACAGAGCCAGAGACAGAGCCAGAGCCAGAGCCAGAGACAGAGCCAGAGCCAGAGACAGAGACACAGCCAGAGACAGAGACAGAGCCAGAGACAGAGACACAGCCAGAGACACAGCCAGGGACTTTAGCGATGCCCGGAATGGGTAGGCTCAGTGCCCTGATCGAATTAGTGAATATGGCTGAGCGACTGGACCAGAGTGATGTGGTAAGCGAGCTCGCGAAGAGCATCAGCGATGAGACGGAGCCACAACTGACCAGCAGCAGTGACTGCCTGCTAGCCGATCCACTGAGTGGCCGGTTTGGTGAAGCCACAGACAAGCTTCTCGATCAAGTGGATCCCCGGAGGACCGCCACTACTTTCAAGAGAATCCTGAAAGACTTGAGGAAGCGACGACCGTCCGACCACACGGGGGGCCTCTATGACGACTACCTGAGAATATTCTCCCAGGCGCTCAGCGATCAGTCCCCCGCCACCAGTGAAGGGAATTCTCCCATGGAGTGGAATGATATGAGCTCATGTCGCTGTGAAAATTCAAAGCCAGCGATGCTGGCAGCTGATCAGGGCCAAGTGCAGGCCAAGAAACAGACCAAGCAGAGGGTCGTGGATAAGTTATCCGGAGCTCCGGAGCTGAACGGCGGCCTCACGCCGTACTACTTGCCGAAGTCGAGGAGCCGTCAGCTCATCTGGAACGAGGTTCCACTGGTCGAGCCGGGACTGAGCTTAGAGCCCCATAAAATGACAAAGAAAGCGCGTCTGCACAACGAAAATAAAGGACTCAAAGCACGTCCTTCCCCAGCGGCAGATCCCATCCATTTTGTAATCAAACAGTCGTCGTTGTACAGCCTCATCGATACGTACCAAAGGCAGATGCAGAGCCTAAGGCAGAGCCTGCATTCCAAACATGATTGGTGGAAGGAAGTGATAGATAGAGGCCTGGCACCCGGCCATTCACCATCCAAGCGGTACGCGGTCGCAGCTCCCGATGACCCAGTGTCCTTCCCCGAGGAACTAGCCAATCAAGCTGACATGGGCTCCGAGCCGCAGATCGGGGGGGATTTGATTGACAATATGGGCAGTCAGATGAATATGTCACCTATGGAGCTGTTCCAGAGTATTATGGGCTCGAATGTGGGTTCGGGTAAGTGGTTGCTGTTTTTAAAAGCTCTGCTCTAGTGTATGATGCTCTCAAAAAAGGACACCAGATCGGCGGTGGCCAGGCAGGGAATTCAACATTAAATACATTATGGAAATTGAAGCTACCACTAGAGACGTTTATAGAGGATCCGCAGCCACAGGAACAGCCCGCACAGGATCCGCCGATCCAGAGGCCGTCGAAAAACGATTCAAGTGCACAGGATCCAACCAGTTTAGGCCCAGTGCTGGACAAGATCCTGCAGCGTTTGGAGACCCTGCAGGAAAGCAAATGCAGCAACAATACCGGCAACGAAAAGGACCATGGCGATTTGTCCTGTTGTTTTACCGATCCAGCAGATGGTAAGCCATCAGTTCTCTACCGATCGCAATCGTCTTGAATATCTCTCTCTTGCACAGGTGCACCCTGCGACATAATTGGCTCCTGGGAGTCCCTTGTGCTGGGCGTGCGGATCAACATCCAAGCTCCTAAGAAAAGCAAGAGTGCCGAGGGAGAGAAGAGGCCAACCTGTTATAACCCCAGGCTGAGTAAATCTCGGCGAGAGTGCGTGAAGATTAACCAATCCCAGCCGAAGGACAGGGCTGACTCTGAGAAAGAGGAACTCATTCAGTCCGACCTGATGATCAATGTCAGCGTGCAGGAGACGGTGCCGCCACGAGCCCATGTGATCGTCGAGAACCTGGACGACTGGGATTTTTCGGGGCACACCCTGAGCGTGATGGGGGGACCCGTCTCGCTGGCCTTCCGCAAGGTAAAGTCCAATCTGGTGGGCAACTTTGTCGGCTATTGTCGCACCTGCGGCTGCGTGGACACCATATTTGGATCGTGGACCTTCTGTCAGCCATCTCAAGACTGCCAGGACATCATCATGTCCCTGGTGGATAGGCGGGATCTCTTGAGGCGCTATAGTCTGGACGAGAAGCAAAAGGGTCGCTACAAGGAACAGATTTACCTGGGCAGCAGGTTCGCCCAGAAGGAGAAGGAGCGCATGGAACCCGAGTCAATGAATTCACAAAAATCCACTCCCCAGACACAGAGGGGCCAGGCCACAGAGGAGGAGGAATGTGAATACACTCTTTGGTAATAATTAACATAGCATTAGCCGGCAGCCGGCATCTGACAGCCGACAGCCGACAGCCACAACAGTAACCTCAGCCTCAGCCTCAGCCTCAGCCTCAGCCTGAGTATTCCAATCCAATTCCAATGACATGGACGGGCATCAACTGCATGAGAAAGCAGATTGAGGTTTGAGGTAAGCTTCTGCCTTCTGTGTATTTGCTATCGCGCCATGTTCGAAGCGGATTAAGGATTGCACAGGCTCTGAGGGGCACCCATTGATACTTACAGTCTCATTGCATCAACTGCATGGCGAAAAAAAGCTCTGTTTTCGGTTCGATTTAAGCCGAGGAAAGGCAAAAAGTGTTGAATAAATTTTTCGATATGCTCTTCTATTTGTCCTTTACCATACATTTTCTTGTATGACTTGATGTGAAGTGCATGAGAAGGAATGACGGCTCGATGCAGAACAAGGGGGTTTTCTAATCTCTTTTTCCCTCCTTGAGCAAGCAGGAGGCCCTGGCACTCGTCGTAATAGAAATAGAGTTTAGAACTTAATATTAAACCTAAATTGAGCAAATTGAGTGCAAGAGTGTTTTGGAATTGTAAGCAATGTGATCCAAACACAAATGCGGCGTCAAGTTTCTCAATTTTAAACTCGAAAATTAGCCAAAAGTGAAGTAGTCAAGGACTTGGCATTCTTTTGGCCACAGGAGACACCCAAACACCCTAGAACAAACACCTTTGTAAGGGGAGATGCTTAAAGTTCATGCCAACAATTGACACTCGAGAGAGTGGCAGTGGAAGCCGCAGTAGGAGCCAGAGCCAGAGCCAGAGGCCACTGGGAACAGAAAATGATGAACGAGTGTGTGGGGCTGTGTGGGCGGTTAGCATGTGCAGGCAAAAATCCGAATTTAATTGGCCTAGAATTCGGTTTATCTCTGACTGAGACCTGGGCTCTCCAACACACACACTCCCACATACAACTGGGGCCTGGGTGGGTATCGATTTTCACGAGCCTCCTCAAAGGAGCAGAAGCCAAGCGATGGGGCCACGGGACGAAAGAGAAGGTGGATTGAGTTTCATCATCTGTTGTTGGCCAGAAACAGAAACAGAACCAGAACCACAACCTCCCTGAGCCGCCCCACCTTCCTACCTCCCTGCCGGGGGCTATGACATTGGCATTCGGCTGAGAAAAGCTGAAATGTTGGCAACACAAAGCGCCAGCAGCCAGAACAGAGCAGAGCAGGAGAATCCATAGGAAACATTCCCAAGCAAAAGCATTCGATAACTCATTTTGGGTTCAAGTGGCTCAATCGATTGCATAACCGAAGATACTGGACCCTCCTCGGTCTAGAACTTGTACAAAATACTTTGGCAGTAGTTCTGCAGGAAATATGTTTAAAATCCCATTCGAATCTTTGAATCTTTATAGATATAGAATATTGTTTTGGAGTCGTAGAACCCTGCTCTCAATATGCAGCATCTGCTCAGTCTCCCATTCTCTTCGTTCCACTGATATTCCAGAACGGAAATCCCATTCGAATCTTTGAATCTTTATAGATATAGAATATTGTTTTGGAGTCGTAGAACCCTGCTCTCAATATGCAGCATCTGCTCAGTCTCCCATTCTCTTCGTTCCACTGATATTCCAGAACGGAAATCCCATTCGAATCTTTGAATCTTTATAGATATAGAATATTGTTTTGGAGTCGTAGAACCCTGCTCTCAATATGCAGCTCTGCTCAATATCTGCTCAGTCTCCCATTCTCTTCGTTCCACTGATATTCCAGAACGGGGCCTCACAGTAAGTGTGTTCCTCAGTTGCATTAGCATGGAACATGTTCCCAATAAATTCAAACATTTCCTGCTCTGTTCCACCGAATAACTAGCCTGCAGACACCATTACGATAAATATATCCTTGTGGCAGTAGGGGGTCCTGCTCCCGCCACTGTGTCTACACAGACGACGACGACGACGACCATTTCAATGAGAGTACGATTTCATATATTACGGTGTACGACCGTTTGGAATTCAATGCTCCAATGCTTGTCTTTCTCCGCTCCCATTTTCATTTCCATTCCCGCTCCCGCTCCCACTCCCCTTCCCCTTGCCAGATTTTTGTTTTTTTTCTTCCTGACAAGTGGCGCTGTCGTGAACAGGAAATTAAATGGGCGCCATGGATTTCGTTTCTCCCTGTTTGTTCAGTTTCTGTAAAGTTCAGCCTCGCTTCGGTTCGGTTCGGTTCGGTTCGGTTCGGTTTGGTTCGATTCATTCCCCCATTTAGGCCACTCGACTGTTTTGTGGAAGCGAAACATATTGGCGATGGCTGGGTGGAGTGGTGGGGCACGGTCCTGGTCTCGCTGTCAGTGGCGCTGTCAGTGCCGCCGTCAGTGCGCATTGAAATGTGTGCATTTGAGATGCATTCTGGCAGTTTCCTGATTTCCGCTGCTTGCTTTTGCTACCGCACCAGCGCAATTTCCATCCAGCGGGGAGCACAGATGAGAGACGGCAAGAGAGCTTTTCAATAATCAACACAAGCTAGAGATGAGCGCGTGACTCCGACACTTGCTTAAGACTGGAAAAAGTATTACTCTGCAGAGAGACCTCTGAAATCGAGGACTATATAAGTTAGAGAAAGAATTTCTTATGGAAATCGTTTAATTTTTAGTTACTGATTTAATCTTAAAATTAAATTCAAGCCCCCCACTAAAAGTGAATACAAAAAATCCCTGTTTTAAGGCACTTTTTTTGGGGTTAACCAGAGTCCTTTTGTTAAGAGTCGAGACATACGGGCCGCGACACTATACTAGAATACTCATAAAACTTATAGAATACTTATATTAAAGTTATGAATTTAGCTTGTTATTACATAAAATCGTTCAATATTTCATCAAGATCCATGACAATGATCTGTATACTCTATTTTAGGGAATCTAAAAGCAGTGGAAACCTGTTCTTAAGAAGTGTTTTTCGGTGGTACAACAATTACAGTACATTGCCTTCCAGGACGTTTTAGTATTTAAGACATAAGACACCCTCTAAACCTCTGCTCTAAGCAGCAATCCAGAGTCATGAACAGTTTCAAGTGAGTGTCACAGCCGCAGACCCCTTCACGCCAAGAGGTGGCGTTGCCTGCACGTCTCGTGGGGGGTAGCCAAAGCCCCCCTGAGCGTTGCTGTTTATTTATTCATTCGGATGCACTCCACGTTATCCATGCTCCACGCTATCTGTATTCAATGTTTTCAACTTTATTAACCACGCTGCCACTTTGGCCACTCAGTCCATACCATTGTTGTGGGGCGCGTTCATTGTTTACTCAAGAATCAGGGAATCTGCTGTCGGGTTCTCTGGTTTCGGGCTGGCGGATTGGGGGCTTAAGTGTGGGATAATGGGGATATTCCCTGTCCCTCTATCACTGTCTCTCTCCGCTTGGCTTCAGTTTTTAAGTAAAGAGGGATAATCTTTTCCTGAGTTGGCTCCAAACAGACTCCCCGAAGCGGTTGGATGACTACTGCCAGGAGTTCATCTCTATCAGAGGGTAAGTGACTCAATTAATAGTCGGATTCGAACACAAAAATAACGAAGTTCTTTGCTTACAGAAACTGGGAACATAAAATTGGAATTTACTCATAGCATTGGATGTCCTCTGCCCAGAAGAGATGACTCTGCGGCAGGATCATCGGACGCCTAGGGATTTTCTGGGATGTATTGGAAACGCCAGCAGATCTTCGTTAAGGAGGTCTATGGACAAACGATGGATCCAGAGCCTGGCTGGGCTCCCTGGATCTCTTTAACTGTGTTCCGCAAACAGAAGATATCCGGCACTGGCCGCGCCGAACAGCCTCATGACCACCGACGACATTCATCTAGATTTCTAAATTCAAGGCAGCTCCAAATGTCTTCTGTTGTATGGCTACCATCCGTCAATATAGGATTAAGGATTAACATCTCAATTGAATGGAAACCCTATTAAAAGCGCAGCAAATCGATTTCTCTGCTGAGCGGTGATCCGGCTTCTCTGTCGTGTGCCACCTACCTTGACCGACTGGGGCATGGGGAAATCATGCACATCGATGCGGTCAACGGTCCAGGACTTGGGACTTGGACTAAGAAACTGCATATTTATGCTTTGAAGGCTGTTTAAGTATTATGAAAAACTAATCATGGAATCATGGAATCTTAATATTTAATAGGAAATAGTTTGTGTCCCATTGGAAATGGAATCTTACTGACCAATCTTTCAACTATTATTTAGCAGTTAGTTAACAGATTAAATTCGTAAGATTTTATAATGAATGTGAAATGGCGAGTATAGTAGTGGAAGATAATCTGCCACTGGAGCTCTATTAAAAAGTTGTTGAATAGCTATAAACAGATCGACAAGGACTTCCCTACAAATCGGGTATTGTTTTGTCCATGCTTACCCTGTTTATCGAAGAAACGTTAGCTATTATCGAGACATCTTAATTGTAAATTCATACAATACATGACAAGTGCAAATCTATAAATAGATGCACTAAAATATTGTATCTATGTACATTTTTGCTATGAGAAACCATAGATATACATATATCTTAGGGATGGCTTTGACAAGTCTTCATTATTTGAATTCGTGTGCAGATTATATCTAGCCAGAAAGTAGCGGTTTCAGAATCATAGAACTAAGAGCCTTTTGGCTTTTTGAGCACCTGGCTTTCGAGCCCTACTAATGCTAGATCAACTCGCTTTTAAGTGTATACTTTTAAGGCATACATAGGCAGATCATGTTTCAATAAAAAGAATTTGATATGGCATGGTATGGTATATATGGACATGGTATTCATTCTATCCCATCCACCATTCATCAGATGGATCTTAGTTCAGTTTTAAGATACTAAGATACGTATTACATTTAAGATCCAATCTCCTAGACGGCTAACTAATTGTTAATTGGGGCTTTGTATTTGTATTTGCAGATATACAAGAATTCTATGAATTGACCTTATTGGATGACTCAAAGAGCATACAGCAAAAGACAGCGGAGACCTTGCAGATAGCAACCAAATGGGAGAAGGATGGCCAGGCCGTTAAGATAGCCGATGTAAGTGCACATAATATTCAGTGGAGAGTACGATGGACTCTGGACTCCAGAACGATGTAGAAAGTACATATATATATATTGTGCGTGTGTGTTATTTTTTTGGGCTGGAAGATACATATTTAAATGAAGGAAGGAGTGTGCATACATATGATTTACGTTTACCAAAAAAAGGATTCGATTTCAGATTTTCGTTAACCAAATTTCATTGCAAATACGAGTATCATTTCATGAAATTATCTTATGAGTTTTGCATCTATCGGATCGTCATTGGCTATTGCTTTACTATTCGTACTACTACTATATGCTATATCTAACATCTGCTCTGCCATTCAGCTCTCTGCTATACTCTATACTGTTCTCTATATATTCTTCTCTTCTTCCACTCCATGCTTACTACTACTACTACTACTACTACTACTACTATTACTATCCTGAAACAACTATTCACACAGTTTATAAAGACAACAACAACAAACCTAAATCGCAATTGTGTCTATGAGTTTACCAACGATGCATCATCCAATCAGACTCTCAATCAATCAGCACTCAATCAAAATCAAATTGTGAATAATATCAATACAAATGCCCAAGCGCATGCCGAGGCCCTCAGCAGAACATTTAAAAATGAATTGGAAGAGATTTTGGTAAGATACATACATACATACTACACCCCCATACCATTATCCATTACCCATTACCCATTACCCATAACCCATAACCCATAACCCATAACCCATTACTATACATATTATCATTCATTATACATGTAAATCCATCCATCATAGATCAGTAGATAGCTCTACAATATCTAAGCGTTGATCATGCTTTTTTTCGGGCTATAAGTTATAGAAAGCACCTGAGAACATTTGTATATACAATCGATTGATATTCAGCTTTTACGCCATTCACATGAAAACATTTCAAATTGAGTTGAGTTCTGAGGAATGAGTTTATGGATGAGTTTTCGACTCCAAGAGGGGGTTACAAAGGAGCTAATATGACACAGTCTAAGCCTTTAATTATCGGAAAAACTTTGGGCATATGAAGCCATGTTTAAGTCTAAAAGTTATGATCATCAAAATACGATTAGAACTAGTATACTCTTAGGGTTACGGTAGTACGATTTTGTACTAGGTTTTGAGAAATGTATTAGCAGCTGGGATCTAGAGTTTTGAGACTAAGTTTACGAAAAGTCTGTTAGGGACTGTGACTGTCTGGTCTGGACTATGAATGGTGATTTAAGTTGATTCTTGCCTTGAAAATACACCTAGAAAGTTGTTGGAAATCTGAAATTCTTCTGCTAATTTCAGCTTTTTCTATAGGCTGCCATGCGTTAGCATATGTAAGACTTGTTTGAGACTTACTTTAGGCTGAGCCACTGGCTATGAATTATAGATGTATGTACCTTTTACAATATGTATAGAAATTGGAGACCCAATGGAAATCTACATAGTTCTTCCAGAACTTTCGAGGGTTTCGCACTTTAATTATACTTTTCTGCTAACAGTTTGGTTACACATGTTGCGCGTCATGCAGCAGATCCCCTCGGTTACTTTCTATGCAGTTTGCAGCGCCATTTGCAATTTGTTAATGGGTTAATGGGGGTGGGTTCCGAGCATAAACTACTAGTTTTAATCTTAAACATCGTACTCGTCTTGCTGGATTTGTTACTCTTAAGGCTAACTAACTAGGTCCCCCGCCATATTATCATCGAGAACAGACTCAATTGATTCCCCTAGAGCTAATTGAAATCTCTTGAACATGCCTCGGGGCGGCCCTAAGTGCGAGCCCTAAGAGAGGAAAGGTTGAAGGCGAAGGCGCGCTCGAATAGGAGAAGGAGGAAGGTCCTCCATCCAGATGAATGTCCGCACTCGAGGTTGTCCATGGATAGGGCTTCAAGTGGCTATGACAACGGTTATCCCCCTTTATGCCCATCCCCATTCCCATTCCCATTCCCATGGCTATGCACGTGCCAATGATGGTGATGAGCGCCAGCTTAGGCAGCGTCAATCACAAAGTACTCTCTGTTCTGTGATACCCAGCCTCGGGCTTAAGTTAAATGCGGGGTGTGTACACATTGGTGGCGCTGCTTGCACTGCTTGCACAAGTGAAAAATGCACTGCTTAGCAGGCGATGTGGTAGGTGAAACACTGAAGAGGGAAGGCCTTTTCAAACAGGAATATGTTCTCTTTTGTGGTGTCATTTCTTTTGTCTAGTTTCTCATTCGAAGAGATGCTAGATCCCTTTACAGGAAGAACATATTGTCTGGAGTTTTAGATATTTTATTGGTAGGATTATTAAATAATTAATGTGGAATGGGGATGAGAGGTAGGACGTTGAGATACGGATGTTGACGGTACCCGTATCTCAGACCATATTTTAAAGGGTATCCAGCAGGTCGTTGCCTCTGTCGGCTTTCTGTGCGGCGGCTTACGCTATATGCACCTACACATTAAAAAGCAGACACAAAGGTTCAGATTTACAACCTTTTGCTCTCTCTCTCTCTCCTCGTCCTGGTCCTGGTCCTGGTCACGTCCCACTCATTCGTCTCCCTGCCTTGCCTGGTTTGCTTCCCATCGCGTCCCGGGACATGCGTACTGCACGATAAACGACAGACGACAAACGATGAAACGATGAAACGGCGAAATGTTAGAAATCGGTACACGGTAAACGGGGCTACCGGTTAAACGGTAGACAGGCAGCGCCAGCTGGCGGGGATCTCTGCCCCCAGCCCCGCGTTGGGTACACAGTAAAACGCATTTGATGGGAGTGGGTGACAAACCCCGCCTCCTGCATAAGGATGCTGTTATCAGGGGGGTGGCGAGCCGGCCTCAACCAATGAACGATTACCCACGGTTCTGCTGTCGACTTTTTCCATTTTCTCTGCTTTTTTTCTTGTTCTTCTTCTATATTTTGTGTTGTTGTTGGGTCTTTTGTTTTGCCTGGCGACGCCGACCGAACGGTTGGGGCTTTCGGTTATTTGCGGAGGGTGGGGAGGGGTGCCGTCTGGCATACGCCTGGCATACGCCTGGCTGCGGGGTGCCATGATGTGCGATTCGATTCCGATGGCGAATGCGAGGCGAGGCGAGGCGAGACGACGCGAGGCGTGCGATACTTATAGAAGGCAGCAGGCAGGCGGCAGGCGGTAGTAACAGTCGTGCTGTCGACGTGTCGAGTCGTGTTCAACTTTGCATAGCGGCGCGCCTCGTCTGTTGTCTGTCTGTCTGTCTGTCCTGTCGCTACGTTTCTACCTTTGGATTCGACTTCTTCGACGGCTTCTTGTTCTTAGCAGAGTTTTTGTATGTGTGTGTGAGTTGGCCGCATCTCATGCGGCTTAACCCTTGTGTTGTGGTCGACTATCGCGTGTCTCCTGAACCTTCCACTGCTTGCTCGACGACCTGTTTCTATTCTTCTTTCACTCTCTCTCTCCCATTTTTTAGCAGAGCGCACAGAGTGAGAGTGTGTGATGGTGGGCTTCCCCGGCATATGCGTGTCCATCACTCATGTCCGTTCATTCTCCAACTCCTTGTTTTTGGCGCCAAAAAGCAAACATTTTACATAATTTGTAAGACAAAATGTGTACAAAAAGAACAACAACAGTAGTAAGAAAGTGTGCTATGCTAGGGGGTGGGGAAGAATGGGGGTGGGGAGAGGAGGGTGGCATTGTTTCAGGCAGGTTTCCAAATATTACGTATACGCGTTGCCCCCCTCCCTCCGACAGTGTCCGGCCTTCCCTCAGGGCACTGCCTGCCGTCTGCCGTCTGCCGCCTGCCGCTTGTTCAATATTCTCTTGACTTTTTAGTATGTTTTCCGTTGTGTGTTTTGCTTTTGCTTGTTTTCATTAACTCTCCCCGCACTCCCCACCCCCACCACCACTCTTTGAGTTTTCTTCCGAGTTTTTTCATTCATGTCTGACGGACCCGATCCGTCGCCTGGCATTGGAAAACATCGTTAAAGCAACAAGAAACAAGAAAAGAAACAACAATATATCAATCTATTTATTTTGGCAGCATTGGCTTGCTTTCTTTTTTGCTACTTTGTGACTTTTCTTCCGTTGTATGTACATACGTCCTCTCCTTTGTTACCTTTACCTTTCCGTTCTCTGCTGTCTTGCCGTCTTTTATTTGAATCTTTCCTGCCAAATACCGTTTGGAATATCCCCAACCATCTGCTTGACCATTTTGCATATGTTGTGGCCAACAATCTCAGGCCCACATCCCCGCCACATGTTGTATTTGTTGGAAGAATGGAAAGGCATTGCCTTTCAGTTAGGGGAACATCATTATGATGCACATAGCACACGGATAGTGTGTACAGGTGGAAGGTGTACCTCTTGGAAGTGGGTCGCAGTTTTCGGAAACATTAGCCCCTTCATGTGTGATTTGACAGCCTTGTAAGGCCCACAACTGTACCAATAATAGGAAACGTATCATATAAAGTAGTTCTTAACCTTTACCGGCCATAATTATATATGGCATTGGTAGTTTTAGACACAACTCCCCAACATATCCATTCTCCCATTTTGGTTAGCCTTTTTGGAAAACATAAACGGGATGCAACTAGTCATAGAAGTCCTAGCAAACGCATATTTTCAAAAACGTATATTTTCACCGTATTTCAAAACGTATACCAATTTAATGACAATTGAATCTAACATTTAAAAGCAAATTGAAGTTACAAAAGAAAAGAATTTTATTTCAGAAATGGCTATAAAGCTGTTCGAACATTAAGCCAAAGAAAGACCAAACTCTAGTACACTTTAATTCAAATATATTCACCGTTTGCACATGTTTCCTATCTGCTGCCAGATGGTCTTCAGTTAAATCAATTTGTTGAGCAAAACTGATTTTGATTTTGCCCAAAATCCTTTAAAAGAGTTATTTTTTGTAAAGAAAGATGGAAAGGGTTCCAAATTTTGAGCGGAGGAAGGCATGGGATATCAGAGACTGATGTTTTGTTGGGGTTGTAAGGGTGGTTACATGTGTCACGGCCAGAGGGAGGGGTAGAAAGGCTGCAACATCTGATCTTTGCCAAAGACAAAAACAACAAAAATGTCTATTTTGCACTCTGGCGCATAGATGTTTCATCCAACTGTAAACAAAATAAAGCAAATACAAAAAGATCTCTGTAGCAATGGCAGGCCTTGGGAAAATACTACTAGGACTGTATGTGTGTGGGTGTTTGTGCGTGTGTGTGGGACAGAGAGAGAGAGAGAGAGAGAAAGAACAAGAGCAAGCAATTACTTGGCTGAACAGTGTACACTGGGTCGCAAAAAATTGAAATGGCAAACGGATTTCCATTCGATGTGCGTTCCCTGAGAGTGTGGGTGCGTGAGAAAGGGGACAGCGGCATACACACACACATGTACACACACATGCACACAGATTCAGATACAGATACAGATACTCGCACGATGAAGATGTCAGGGCGCCTGGGGGCGACCTTCCAATTCGCTTTGAAACATTCCAGCATCATTCCAGGCGCTGCGTATCCTACTCTGTAACTTGTTGCTATCGCTTCCGCCTCCATACCCCTCCAACCAGCTGCCAGTCGCCGAACTTTAACCGGGTGTTTTTGTCATCCCTCTCTTTGATAGCAGGACTTTTTCGTTGGTTTTGTCACTGAGATGTGTATCTTCCTGTCACAAGCAGCGGGCTATAGAAAGTTACGCAAAGCTTCTCTCCCTCCCACTGATGACAGAGGCAGCGTTCAGTATCGTGTACCGTATCTCTCACTGAAGTCAAATAAACTTCCGTACGAATCGCTTCTCTTCCTCCCACTGAAAGCAGAGGCGCAACGCTCTCTTCCCCTCGCAGCCCAAGAAGCTAAGCTTTGATCAGAAAAAGCTCTGCTCTTCCTCGCAAGAGAGCAAAGCAAACGAAACGCTCTTCCTCCCACAAGCAAAGCAGGACTTTCATGGTTTCTCTTTCTCTCTCTCTCGGTCTTTAGCATCGCTTCTCTTCATTATTTCTTCGGACTGTCTCTCTTAAGAAAACCGAAAAACGCACAAAGGGAATTTTGTACAAAATAAAAGCAGGAACCGTTAACCACCGATTTTTGTAGAACACCGTTATTTGCTGAAAGCCAGTGTTCAAAGCAAGCAAACAAGAAATGATTGACTGGGTATCGATTGTGCGGCACTCGCGGCGCCGTTTCTCTAATTATATGGGCTCCCGGTCGCCGGTACGCATGCGCCGACGTCGCCGGCAGCAGCTGACGGCAGGGCCGCCGCAGCAGCAGCAGCAACAACAACCAATGTTGCAGCAACAACAGCAACAGCAACATCAATCGCGTGCACTGGAAAAGAAAGAGGAGAAAAAGGAGTCTGGGGGTTGCGGTGGGTCGCGGTATGCCTGCTGCTGTGCCAATGTAAGTGCCAGAAGGAGGAGTGGATGGGTGGGTGAATAAGGGGTGTTAAACGTGGGATGATCTTGTTTATATGGTTTTTGTACCCAACCAACTAACAATCTATGCATTCATCTATCTATCTATCACACAGAACCAGCGCATGCGCATCGAATCAGACACGGAGAATGCCAAGGATTTGCCGGCCGAGAATCAACAGCAGGTGCGCAGCTCCCGATCTCCGCAGCAGCAGCAGCAGCAGTTACCGCAGTCACAATCCACGACATCGGCCAGAAGCGGGTCCCAGACCGTAAGTCGATGCAATTTTAATGCCACTTATGCCATTCCCAAAGACTATGCTGCAACTAACACCTGGACACAACACACACAGATACAGATACAGACATACCACAACCCACAATGCATCATCCACATGCACAGTCTTCATCAACACCAACGCACCAACAACATCAACATCAACACCAACACCAACACGAAACGCAGCCACAGCAGCGACAGTGCATTGTTGCAGCAGCAGCAGCAGCAGCGCCCTTACCGGCATAAAATGCTTAAGCGCGCTTTCGAGTCCACTTAATTGCCGGCAGAGGAGGGCAGAGAGGAGGAGAGAGGGGCCTCCTAGAGCGTGGCCATAGCGAGAGCAGAGAAACAGAAGGGGAAGTGGGAGAAACCGTTTGCTGTACTTAATTAGGTGCCGCCCTCCTCTCTCTCTCTCTATATCGGTCTCTTATAAATTGCCACTTATTTCTTCTTACCCCAACCACAGGCTGTGCTAACGCCAGCACTTGTTTGGGGGGCTCCGACGCTTGGCTCGTTTCCGTTTCCGGCAGCGGAGTGTTGGTGAACCAAAAAAAATAAAAAATCAATTTTAAGCGCGCTTTTGGCCCCAAATCACATTGAAGGTGTTCCAGAACGAGATATGGATTTGCTTTAGATTTTATAGATCATAACAATTTGAAGCTGTCTCTAAATTTAAATCTTAGATCCAATCCAATCGAAATCTCTTTCAGGATTGCCATTATTTTCCCTATTTCAAAGTGCGCGACTATAATCTGCTGATTTCATTTTTCAAAATTAATCTTAAGTTTTTGCATGATTTTTGTTACATTAATGCTATTTTTATTCCAAAATCAGATAAAAAGAAGAGCAAATTATTTTGTAAAATATATAAATTCCAAAAATATACGTTTTGTTTGGTATTTGTTATTTGCATTTATTATTTCCATGCTGTATGGTTTGTATTCCGTTTTATCTAACATTCGTTGCTTGGTTATTTTTGAATTTTGGTCTCATTTCCCGCCATTCATTTCAAATGCGGAGCCAAGATCAGCCTATCGATTGGTCTCTGCCCCTGGAGTTTCGATGTATCGGTAGGCAACTCTAATGATCGCTAACGATCAGTGCTGCAAATCGGTGCGCAGTTAGTGTTGTAATCTCTATTTAATTCGTCGGTCTCTCTGTGTTGGGTGTGTTTTTTTTTGTTATTTTGTTTTTTGCGTGCGGGCATTCGTCAGAGGCCGTGTATTAAAATGTAAAACATTTTTGTGTGTGTTCGAGTCAGTCGAGAGAGTCGCAGGTCGCAATTTAGTAAGTTGTAGCGCGGAATTGCGGGAGTGGCTGCCTGGCCAGAAAATCCATCACATACGTGAGCGAGCGAGCGGTGGTGGTGGCATTGCCAGGCGGCAGAAAGTGTACCAGACCAGTTACGCATACCCAAGCATAGACCGCTTGCTGGCGATAGTTTAGTTCCGATGTGTGATAGTGATGGCCGCTGGTTGACTCACCAGCCCCCCATCCAGCCATCGATCGATCGCTCTCCCAGCTCTAGCTGTCGGCTGGCCGAGGAAAATGCCAACAAAACAAGACGCGAAGACGTTGAAAAGAGAGGCAGAGGAGCTAGGGCTAGAACATTTGCATGTGTGGTCGTGCATGTGTGTGCGTGTGAAATACCTGCACCACGAATTCTAGTGCCAAATAGGAGTCGTAGACATGTCCGCGAGTGACCTGGAAAGCGGCTAAAGCTAAAACAGAAACAAGAACCGCGGCAAAGAGAAGCGAAAGTGCACGCAAAGTAAAATACCAAAACAGAAACACAAACAAAGTGCATTTCGTGCTATCCAGCAACAGCAACAAAAGTTTTAACATTAGCTCACACACACACACACACACACATATCCATTGGAATGTGGCTGTCAATATGTGTGTTGCGTGTGTATGTTCATAGCGCAAAAAATAGCCACAAAGTGGGAGAGTGAGAGAGAGCGTAAGAGAGCGTGCCGCTGCTTACAGAGTTCTTTTTTATTTGCCATTTACTGTAGAAACAAATAAATAAATAATTTGAAGCGAGCACACACATGCATATGAGTGCTTGCGTGTGACTGTGATAGTGATTAGAAGGCAACGCTCTCACTCTCTCTCTCTCTCTCACGCTCAAGCGTCGCGCCACCAGAACAGTAGCGGCGGGCGGCCGCACTGTTGTATTTGACATTCCATTCGCTCACTGTTGGACGCTCAGACATAGAGAGAGAGAGAGAGAGAGAGAGCTGCTACCGCTCTCGTTTGGTGTTTTTTTTTTTTATTGTGTGAATATTATTTTATGCGACACTCGGTCAGCGTCTGTCGGGGAGATCGCCAGTAATAGTGCTGTGGCTATATGGATATATATAGTGAATCGAAAGTAATGTTCGATGCGTGTGAATCTCTGTTTATCTAGTGCGTGGCGGCAGCAGCAGCAGCAGTAACAGTGAATGAAAAACCTTTAAAATTGGTTAAATAATCGGCCAACAGCTACAACAACAACAAAAGTAAATACTTGAACAAAATAAAAAGAGGCGACGTTCCCGGCGAAGAGAACTTTTAAAGAGAAGAAACCCAGACACAAACCGCACGCCCGGCATTTGTCAGTGTGTGTGTGTGTGTGTGTGGTGTGTGTTTGTGTGGAGAGAGCGAGAGCTCAAGCTAAAGCTAAGCTCTGACCCCGCATCCCAGCCATGACGACACGCAAAAAGAAGCGCCAGGATAGTGCCAGTGGCGGCGGCAGCGGTGGAGGCGGCGGCGGTGGCTTCATCAAGAAGGTCTCATCGCTCTTCAATTTGGATTCGGTAAAAGCACAACACAATCTAAATCTAGAAAACAGACACACACAATATACAATAATAGTATATATCTAAAATATATATCTGTAATATATAGAGATTATAAATTTTATGCAATATCCGTTCTGTGGGGTGGGGGTATGGTATGGGTTGGGTGTTCTTGGGGGGGTGGTGTGTGTGTGTGTGTGGGCGCAGCTTTTTTGGCATCTGTGCTCTATATAGACGGATGATTCCATGGTTTATTTATAACAATTTGCCAGCCAGACAGCAGCATAAATGGAGAGGGGAGAGGGTGGGAAATGGGAGTGCGTCATCTTTGCATTCGCATTAGCCACCTCTCTCTCTCTCTCTCTCTCTCTCTCTCCTAATGCTGCTGCTGCTGCTGCCAAGCAACGGTTGTTATTCTTCTGTTCTTTCGATTGCTGTTTCTTCGCAGCCGCGCCGCTCCCTCGGTGCCCTTAATCTTTGGCGTATTCAGCGCAGGCGTAACGCCGCTGCCACCCAGAGAAGCAGAGGCTCTCTTGCGGTTCTTCTCTTACTGTTCCCAATCTCTCGTTCGCTCTCTCCCTCTCTGTAAAGCTGTCTTTGCGCCCCCTCTCGCCCAACCACCCATTCAACGGACGTCTCCAACAGCTCTGTTGGCATACCCTTTATGCAAAATAATAGGGTATACATCTGATAGATCTGAAAGGGTATTTCTGGAAATTATAAACAAAACGCACGTCCAAACAGTAAACAGATTCCGAAGGACAAGGCTTACATATAGGAAACAATAATTGTATATGGGTTTTTGGTTTCCGTTTCGATTTGCGCAGGTGTCTCGTCCCGTCTCGTTTCGCCTCGTTTCGACTGCTGCCGATCGTCACATCGCATCACGTCAGTCCCCATCCACCCACAACCTTATATCACATCACTTCCCTTTCCCAATACCCCTCCCCCCCTTCCAGGGCAATCTGTCAGATATTTATGCGATCAATGAAGTGTGCAAGTGTGCATTGTGCATCCGCAGTATCTGGAATTGAAGAAACACCGATTGCCGTCTACTCTCAGTGATAGAAAATGCAATAAAAATACCAGAGGAACAAGGATTATCAATTATTCATTTTTTTCTGAGCCTAAAACTCTTCATGGGGGGAGGGGAGGAACTGAAACCTCTCCCCAGATTTCTTTTTCCAAGAATTAATATTTTTCTTTCGAGATTTTCCTATCGAAAATTGATTGATGGCTGCGCATCTTATGAAATTGTTGATTAATAAACACGCACGGACTGTACATTGTATGTATCTACGGACGGGTACGTGTAGTATCTGTATCTGTATCTGTGTCGGTGTAATTCGGATTAAGTAACATTTGATTATTGTCTCGAAGGCAAGGGCTGGCGTATTAGCGACATGCTTTGAATGCAAAATCCAATAATATTTAACCCTGGGTTTGGTTATGGGTTTGCTTTGGAAATTTGTAAATAAAAAACATTGAAATTGTTACGAATATCCAGTGAAAGAAGGGGTAGATAAGAAGAAAGAGTGCAGGGTGTGGCCTCCCATACTGTAGAAGATTGATTTGCTCTGTTAAAATGTTACCATAGGCGAATTGATACACTGCATAAAATCATTCTGCCATTTGACTTTTCATTATTTCAACGCTGACACGTGAGTGACATTTTGCCAATCAGGTTTTCTGGAGAAGAGATTTGTGCCTCTCAATATTTCTTGCCACCACTGTGATGTTTGTGGATTGCACAAGAACTGTATCTTCCGTCGCTGCGGTTGCGGTGGCGGTGGCGGTTCTGCTGTACACTTCCTCCTTCCTGTGACGGTGCCAGTGCCAGTGGCAGTGCCAGTCCCGGTGGGTGGACTTAAAGCCACAGCATAGTTTCTACTATGTTTATCATAGATAAGATATAGCTGCGACTGCTGGCGATATGATTCTATGACGACTGCTTTCTGCTGGTGCCTAGCGCCTAGTGCCAGCCAGTTGCCCAGAATTTTCAAGGGTGTGCAGGTGCTTCTGTGATACCCTTTCGAAGGGGGGGCATTGTTTGATTTCCGTAAGCATCTGCAAATGGATGACCGATCGAAAGCAAGGGGGCATATCTGTCAGATATGTAAAGGGTATCTAAAGCTTCGACCACGCTCTCCCTCTCTCAACGTCTCTTGGCATGTGCCCTGCCTCTGTCACTGCCTCTGCCATGCCGCCGCCACCTTTGTTTTGGCCTCGTTAATGCTTGCTGCGTGTTGTTTTTTCTTCTTGGGGCTTTTCTTTGGTTTGGTTTCGTTTCTTTTCGTTTCGGTATGTGTTAGGGTTCTCCTCCACCCCCTCGCGGTCTCTCCCACTTAATAGAGGTTCCGATTGTTAACTTTATGATGTAATTTTTACCTATTTATAATTTACTCTTTTTTAAAAAACTGTCGAACGGAAGTCGAACAAAAGACACGACACGAATATCGGAGACTGGGGCTCGGGACTTTAAGAAAAAGGTTTTGGGTTCTTCTTTGAAAATTTGCTGCTTGAAATTACACATCGTTTTAGCTGTTCAAATATCTGCGAAAATCGTTTCCGATCATCGGGGTTTCTGTAGCAAAAAGCACCCCAAAAATCAGCTTAAGTTTCGGATTATGGAAACATTCTGGGTAACACTCAAACCAGCGAAACTCGAGTCGAGCACACACCATGTATTTTGTTGTTGTACTATTTTCGGGAATTTTTTTTACAGCATTCGCTTGTTCCTCTCGAGTCTTGAGCTTCAAAGCACCCCGCTTCAGGTGTTGGAGGTAGCTTTCGCAAATGTAAAGCAGTGCAAGGAGTGCCCCTTAAGAAGCAGTAGCGGAAGGAAAGCAGTAGATTGTTTCGAAAAGAGTAAAAGATCTGTTTGGTGTAGATTCCTTAAAGAACCAATAGAAAAATAAAAAGCTTCGCTTAACTATGGCCAAATTATTCCAACTGCATTTTGGATGCCCATATAAGGCCTGTACACTCTTCACTCCACTCTCCAGTTTGCAAAGGCATTTCCATGGGAACATTTGCTAGCTGAAGCTTCCCTAGGCAAAGAATACTCGACTTGACCCAGGTCTCAGTGGGTTAATTGGAGCAATATGTATATTTAGGAACTAATAAGAGAGAGAGAGAGAGCTACTCCCACTTTTGCACTGCACTTACGCTGTTTTCTCTCTCTCTCATTCTCTCTTTCTGTTTTTGGGGTTAATGCGGTTGATGAATTCATTTACACTTGGCTGCTAATCAATTGAACTCATTTAACGATGCCATAACCAGGCATCAGCCGCCGCCTGCTAACCCCCTCCCCCCCTCTCGTCTTAGAAATGTGTGGCAAGATGTTGTTGCCATTTTGGGGTATGCCTGTTAATTGAGAAACACAACACAGCCCATAACACACACACGCAAATGTTAATGTGCAACGGACGGAATACCAGAGAGAGAGAGAGATGCAATAAGACATTGACATGATTTGGTTTTTTTGTGGACTTTTGGTAGCAGTCCAGCAACAGCAAATGCAACAGAAAATAAACCCTTGTCAGTCATGTACACGACATGTATGGATGTATGTGGTTTTTGTACCTTTTTTTGGGCTTGTGTATGGCAGATCTGGGAGAAGGGGGTCTAAGGTCTAAGGGGGATATGGGGAAATATAATGTCATATGCAAAATGCACTAAAAAAATCAATTCTTCTCCTTTTTCTCCTTGCAACACTCTTTGCAAACCAAACAAAAACCAACAACAGCTGCACAAGGCGTCTTCGGCAAAGGTAAGGAACGATTTGGAAGGAACTGTGATGGAAGGGGGGGGGAGCCCCAGTGGCCCCCCCATCTCACGCATACGCATTCTCGCATTCGCATTCGCATTTTTTTGTTCTCTGTTTGTGGTCTCTTGTTTGTTGTCCATGTTTGTTGTGATTTTTGTGTACTCGTATTCGTATTCGTATTTTATTGCCTAACCCACAGCCTAACACCTGCCATGGGTGCCCCAAGCGAAGGTGTTGCAAGCAAAGTGTGTGTGCGTTTTTGGCATAGTCTCATTCCAGGAATATATGTGTATATTTGTAATTCATTTATTGTTCACTCACATACACACACATCAATACTTACACTAACACAAACACTCATACATCTACATACGAGTATATAATCGACCCCTTTTTGCCACAAAATTGTTATAAAATCCATTAAGAAATGGAACATAAACATACATCGCAAAAAGGTGGTCGATATAATCGTATACCAAGTGGATCAGCGAAAAAAAGCGAAAACGTATCGTAAAATCTTTGTAAATTTCACCTTGGAAGTGGGAAATATCCGCGAGCGACCCTAAAACGACTCAGAAACGAGCCTTTGGCGAAAATAAACCCAAGTCATGACTAAAGTATCGCTAAACGATTACGAAAAACGAATGTTATCTTGTAAAAACTATCGTAAAAGTCTCGCCAACCAAACCATGGCTAAATTATGGACAAACGAACTTCAAAACCTTAAAATTGTCTCTTAAAATATATAAAAAAAGATATTCTAGAATTCTATTGTGTATTTTTGTATACGTTTTCGAGAGTTTTGTGATTATTTTTGGTCCACTTGGAATGATTATAGAATATGTTATGTAACCATAATCCATGCAGCATTTGTCCTTCCTTCTCTGTAAAACACCCGTAAACCTGTTGATGACTATATTCCTAATCTCTGTCTCTGTCTCTTTCTTTCTCTCCCTCGGGGCGAATGGCAATTGTTGTAGGTGAATGGCGACGATAGCTGGCTGTACGAGGACATACAATTGGAGCGTGGAAACTCTGGTCTGGGCTTCTCGATTGCCGGCGGCACAGACAATCCGCACATTGGCACGGACACATCGATTTACATCACAAAACTGATATCCGGCGGTGCAGCCGCCGCCGATGGTCGCTTGAGCATCAACGACATCATTGTCTCTGTGAACGATGTCTCTGTGGTGGATGTGCCGCACGCCTCGGCCGTGGAGGCGCTCAAAAAGGCTGGCAATGCGGTCAAATTGCATGTGAAACGAAAACGCGGAACGGCCACGGCCACAGCCACAGCGGCCACTTCGCCAGCAGCAGGAGGCACCGCCGCCGCCACAGCTGGCGATGCCCGTGACAGTGGTTCAGCGGGCGGTGGGTCAAAGGTGATTGAAATCGATCTGGTCAAGGGCGGCAAGGGTCTGGGCTTCTCCATAGCCGGGGGCATTGGCAATCAGCACATACCCGGCGACAATGGCATCTATGTGACGAAGCTAATGGACGGCGGAGCGGCCGGTGTGGATGGTCGGCTCTCCATCGGCGATAAGCTTATAGCAGTGCGCACTAATGGGGTAACGTACATATGTCGTATGGCCCTATTCGAAATAAACTAATGTCTCTCCGTTTTTTAGAGCGAAAAGAATCTGGAGAATGTAACGCACGAGCTGGCGGTGGCCACATTGAAGTCCATTACGGATAAAGTGACGTTGATTGTGGGCAAGACGCAGCATTTGACCAGCAGTGCCTCACAGTCTGGAGGATCCACAGCGGGTGTAGCAGCAGGAACAGGATCCACAGCGGGAGTAGCAGCAGGAGCAGGAGCAGGAGCAGGGCTGCAGCAACAGCAGCTATCACAGTCACAATCCCAGCTGGCGACGAGCCAAAGCCAAAGCCAAGTGAAGGAACAACAGCAAGTGAACTCTCAGTCGACAGGTGCGCTTACAAGTGTTGGACAAACGGTTGTTGATTCATCAACAGCAGCAGCAGCAGCATCAGCAGCAGCAGCATCACTACCATCATCAGTCCCACCAGCATCAGTAAATGTCCCAGCATCAGCCACAGCCACAGCATCAGTCATTGCAACCACAATCAACAACAGCAACAGCAACCACACTACAACCAACAACACAAGCAACAACAGTAGCATTTTAAGCAGCTTGGGCAATGCCAATAGCCACAGCCACAGTCACAGTCACAACAACAACAATAATAATAATAATAATAATACCGTCAACAGCAGCAGTGTCAGTGGCAGTGGCAGTGGCAGCCAGACATCAGTTGCAGTTGCAGCAATAAACGCTTCTGCATCTGCATCTGCATCTGCATCTGCCTCCTCCTTCTATAAGAGCGCTATGCCAATGCTTGTAAACAATGCTGAACAATCCACCACAACAATACGTTCCCAATCACCACCGCCCCTGCCGCGCCGTAAGCGATTTATTTATTTTATTTGTAACCCATTCCCCCCCCACCACCCACCACCCACCAGCTCACTTTTTATTATTTCTCCCCCACATAAGCGAAGCTAAGCCTTCCCTTCCACCAGAGAGTGGTAGGGGGGGAGGTGCTGCAATCGTTCATTCATCTATTCATCTATCCAACTTCCTTTTCCAATTTCTCTCCTGTCGGATCAATCATCTTCTATCCATCCATTTACACCACGTATTATCCAGCCTGTAGCCTATAGCCTATAGCCTATAGCCCATAGCCCCTTGCCCCGCCACCGCCCGTATTGCTGCTACTTGCGGAACGATTTCGTGTTGTTGTTGTTGGAAACCCAGCGCTATGCTGCTGCTGTCCATCCTCCCCTAGCCCCCCCCCCCCCCCCCACCAAGCCACCCAGCCACACCCCCCCTTGTAGTGTACACCTTCAGTCCTTCAGAAAGCTGCTCCCCCCCCCCCCCACCTAAGGCTTGCCTCTCCCCTCACCCTTTTAGTGCCCGCGCGTGTGCTGTTGATATGTTATGCCAATCGATAATTAATCGCTAGAGTTGTGTGTTCTCTTGATCTATCGGATCAATCGATCTCTCTATTTGTTGCATTTCTTTTGCTGTTTGTGCGTGTGTGTGTGCGCGTGTGCCTGTGTTTGGATGTGTGTATGCGTGTGGGTGGTTGTGTGCGCGGGTGTCTGTGTGTATGCGTGTGGAGAGGGGGGGTGGTCTGGGGGAAAATACATATATATATATATATATATAAAAGAAAACTTGTGTTTTTTTTTGTCCTTTCTTTTTTGTTTTGTGTTGTGTCCCGTTTTGTTTCTTCTTTCTTCTCTGTTTCTCTATATTTCCCCTTTTTCTCTCTCACTCTCTCTCTCTCTCTGTCTCTCTGTGTTTTTGTTTGCCTCTCTTACTCCCCGTCTCTCTCTCACTCTCTCTGTCTTATCTTTCTGCTCTTCGTTGCGTGTTCCTTTTGTTTTGTGCTTTTGTTACGTCTCTCTCTCTCTGTCTGTCTCTGTCTCTGTCTCTCTTCTAACCCCAAGAAATATATATTTCCTCTTTTTGGGGGTACAAATTTTGCCCCCCCCGCCAGATGTCTCATTTCTCTCTCTCTCGAAAAGCTTTAAATAACCTTTAACTTTCTCTCTTACTCTCTCTCTCTCTATCTTACTCTTTCTATCTCTATCTATTGTCTCTTGTCCCTGTCCCTGTCTCTGTCTCTCAATCTCTGTCTCATTTGTTTAATAATTAATTCTCATTCCTCGAAAACTTTGTGTGGCATCAACCGATAATCGAAAATCAATCCCAAAACCAATCCAATCCCATCTTAGAGCCCGGCTCGAGATATGCATCCACGAATGTCCTGGCCGCTGTCCCGCCTGGCACACCGCGCGCCGTCAGCACCGAGGATATAACCAGGTGAGCCAACCCCTACCCTTCGGCTCCCCCCTAATACGATTTTAATCTTTGATTTGCTTTGTTTTCCTACTCCACAGAGAACCGCGCACCATCACCATACAGAAGGGCCCACAGGGACTCGGCTTCAACATTGTTGGCGGCGAGGATGGCCAAGGGATCTACGTGTCGTTCATACTGGCCGGCGGACCAGCGGATCTGGGCTCTGAGCTGAAGCGCGGCGATCAGCTGCTCAGCGTTAACAATGCCAATCTGACGCATGCCACGCACGAGGAGGCCGCTCAGGCGCTTAAAGTGAGTTCCAGCGGTGCTCTCCCCACCACAAAATGCTTCTAAATTCGATCCCTCTCTCTCTCTCTCTCTCTCTCTCTTTTCGCTGTGGCAGACATCTGGCGGCGTTGTCACCTTGGTGGCACAGTACCGACCCGAGGAATATAATCGTTTTGAGGCTCGCATTCAGGAGCTGAAACAGCAGGCCGCCCTCGGGGCTGGGGGCTCTGGCACCTTGCTGCGGACCACACAGAAGCGTTCGCTATATGTTCGGGCCCTGTTCGATTACGATCCGAATCGAGACGATGGACTGCCGTCGCGGGGACTGCCCTTCAAGCATGGCGACATCTTGCACGTGACGAACGCCTCCGACGATGAGTGGTGGCAGGCGCGACGTGTCTTGGGCGACAACGAGGACGAGCAAATCGGTATTGTGCCATCGAAGAGGCGCTGGGAGCGCAAAATGCGGGCACGGGATCGTAGCGTCAAGTTCCAGGGACATGCGGCGGCCAATAATAATCTAGACAAGGTGAGGAACAACAACCAAAAACCATCCAAGGGACGACAGTGCGTTGCAAAACTATAGTTTGAAAATAGTAGCGGAACAAATTCTGCTTTAGACGACTCTGAAACATATTCGGAGAGAGATATCGCTGAGAATCGTACAAGTCAGAGCTCTGGAGGACTAGATAAAAGGTTATAAATCCCAGAGAAGGATGCATCTACACCTCAGATATTTCTATGATTTTAATTGAATGGAAAAAATATGTTTTCTGATAACTTCTATGCCGAAATTGTACTCGTAGATGAGAGCGAGCATGTTAAAGGTCTCTACCTATCACATTTAGGTGTCTTCTAACCGAAATCCAAAATTTATGGATTGTCTATTCAACGATTTCGTGAGATCGCATCTTAAAAACTGTCGATATTCGAATGATCCAAGAGGAATGTTGCATGAAGAGAAGCTACAAATAGCAGGAGATTCGAGAATGGATTCGAATAGTCTTGAATAGTCTCGAATATCTCGAATGGTATTCGAAAAGCACATTCGGTGGGCCCCTACCAATTTCGATAGTAAAACGTAGAGTTCTTGTAACGCACTGCCCATCCATTTATAGATCCCTAACTAAAGCACGAAATATTCTTGGTTCTTTTGCAGCAATCGACATTGGATCGAAAGAAAAAGAATTTCACATTCTCGCGCAAATTTCCGTTTATGAAGAGTCGCGATGAAAAGAATGAAGATGGCAGCGACCAAGAGCGTAAGTAGACAATCGAACCGGGGAACAAACCAACCAACCAAAGGGGAAGCCAGCCAACAGCCAGACAGCCGGACAGTCAGCCATGCCCGTCTGTCTCTCGTCTTCCTCCATCCGTCTCTCTGTCTGTCTCTCTCTATCTCTCGCCCGTTAATCTCCGGAGACGACACTGCAGTAAATACTCGGAGAAGATACTCTGCTACTCGCGTAGTCTATAACTAAACTCAATCGAAGAAGGATATCGTTTTACTAGTTAATTGTTGTTTAAATTTAAGGCTTAACAAGATCCCTCTCTCTCTTTGTCGCTCTGTCTCTTAGTCTATCTCTCTCTCTCACTCTGCCACCCTCTCTCTCTCTCTCTCTATTGAAACATTGAGTGTGTGCCATTGTATGTGTGCTTCTGTGGGCTTGTCTGTATGCGTGGGTGTAAGGTATGTGCGTGTTTCTCTGTGTGTGTGTGTGTCTGGAGAAGAGTATTTTTGTTGTACTTGTTGGGCGTGCAGAATCTTCTGTGAAAGCACCGACAAAAAATGGAAAGAAAACATGCACAATCCTCAGTTTTTTCTGGAACACTGTAGCCCCAAAAAATCACCTTTTTTTTGGGGCTAAAGTACTTTATATTCTAATATTTTTTTATATTTTTTTCGTGATTTTTCCGGTTTTCTCTGTTTCTTCGTTTTTCTATTTTAGCCACAAAAATGTCAGCCTTTGTGGATGTAAAATTTTTGTTAAATTTTTTGTATGTAAATATTTTTTGTTGGCTAAAGTATTCCATATCATAGTATCCCATATTCGAGCCTTATTTTGTATTTATTTTTAAATTTGAATATTGTTTCCCTTTCGGTTAACGTTCTGTTGTTCCATGAATGTGTTTTGTTAATCATTTTACATCATTTATGTTTATGTTTCTGTTTATTTTCATATTATTTTTACACCCGTTCCGAACCGGTTACAAACCATTCAAAAACTGTGATGTGACGATGTCCAATGTGTACACTGCTCATACAATCTACAAATCTACATACCATCCATGTGGCCCGTCTTTGGATGAACAACCGATCGATGATGGACCAACACCACACACACACACACGCACACATTTACCTTTGCACACACATTGTTATCCGTGAACCGAACAAACCCCTGCCGAATCCCTACTGAAACTGCCACGATCTGTGGGCAGTCAATGGAGTTGTGAGCAGCACCAGCGAGATAGACATAAATAGTGTCAACAACAATCAGGCGAACGAACCGCAACGTAAGTGCATCCAAACATAAACGCATCCAGATCCTTCGCTTGGAAAGCGGATACTTACAACATGCCACATGAATATATTTATCTGTTAGCACCAGAATTCTCGTATCATGTACAAAAACTAAAGGGGCTTTCGGTTCTTCTCCCTGTCCCACTCTCAATCGGTCTAGTGTTGGTAAACACAAACACACACACACACACATCTGCACTTTGTATGGAATAAGCTATGGGCTATATATTAACCATTAGCTAGTTTTGTTCAAGTACTATCATGGGAGATCATGGAACATCGATTTGTATATCTACTACTAAGTCTATTAGTCTTTGGGCGCTAAGCTACTCGTTAATTCTGTACCCCAAAAGAGTGTGTCCTTCAGCGGCAGAGTTGCACTCACACACATACACCCACACATATTACACATTACATTGTACATCCTATCCTATCAGATATATGTATGAATCATTAAGCGAAAAAAACATCATCAAAACGAACATTTTCGGTTTATTTAAAATGCTTTCTCTCTCCTGCTGCCTAAACACTCTGAAACGTACTACTTTTTGCTGTTCTCTCTACACTACTCGTACTTATACACCCTACTCTGTGTGTGTTCCCACTCCCAATCAATGTTCCGGCCGCCTTCATCAATTGTCTCGTACACCACTGCTTCGGCTACAACGCGACCCTCAATCGACCCTCTCATCGCGTTCTATACAATATCAATACCGTAAAAAACAATAGAAGACGAACCTTAGGGATCCGAAATGGTTCTTTAAACAGCACATCACATGTTCATCAGAGTTCATCAGAGAACCATCAATGGATGGATGGGTTCTTCCATTCCATTCTTCCATATGTATTCCGCTGAACCCAAGAATGATGATCAAACATTTTGAGAAAACCATCTTGGGTTTTCCATTGTGAAGGAATGATTCTTCCAGAAGTCTAGATAGTTCTTCTACAGCAGCACCACATATGCATGTGTATCAATGCAAGGAGAACCATTTAGAGGCGGGATGGATACTCCTATGTCGTGTGTCCCCAGATGGTTATTTTCCTTCCCTATCCGTAGTACATCAAGTGTACATCTACATCAAGTGCAACTAGAACCATTCGGGGTACAATCATTTTAAACCAACAACAAAACTTAAAAAAAGAATTTAAAAAAAATATACAATATACTATAATTATTAATAATCGTATCGTATCGAAATGAAACGATCTCCACTGCCACTTCTGTTTTAATCTGACCAAAACATTCTCTTTTTTCTCTCTCTCTCTCTCTCTAACTCTAACTCTCTCACTCTGTTTCTCCTCTCTTTTTGGTTTCTCCTTTGTTTTTTCTCTTAATTTTTCTAGCTTTTATGCTTTGCTACACACAAGACGATGCCAATGCTGAAGGAGGTATGTACTCGATAGAAGAATATATACATATATACTACATATACTACTTATATCTGCTGCTATATACATATATTTACATTCATATACTACTATATAAATCTGAGAATATCCACATGAACATACAATATACATATACATACATCTACATCTACTCGTACATAGATACATACATGAAAATAACATAAATTCTACTCTCTACATCTACTCTACATACTCTCGTACACATGTAGTACCTATATATACGCGTATATCTACATACACATCTACACACGTGCATATTACGTACATGCATACATCATACATATTAGTACGTATTAGTTTTTGCTAGCGGTCTTTCGTTGTTACTTCACACACACACATACATAACACATACAGTCATCTGTACATCACCATGTCTACATATTAATTGGTACATTACATTTTCCCATTATAAATATCCCCTCATCCACGCCATCCTTCATCTTTACATATGAATACCGTTTTGTGTTCCGTGTTTATTTGTGACATACATTACGTACATTATACATCTTCGTACTATATTATTCTTAAATGTTTTCTGTGTATATGTACACCTGTATATTATACATACATATAATATATATTTGGGACAACAACAAACCCTTTATGGCTATAGTTCCTTAATTGCGATGTACATTTAGTGTTTCGTTAGGTGCACGGCCAATTCAGTTAAATTTTGCTGGTGCTGATGAGCATTGATGAAACTTTAAAGATACATATTTTGATGTACATCATAAGATATTCATCTACATCCTCGGAATGTGCAACAGAAATTGGTGCAGTAGCAATCGTTAGACGTATACAAAATGTACATCACGAAGGACATCGTGATTAAGGCACTATGTTCATACCAGATACATGCAGGGCTTGACAAACACACATTTTTGGGTTTTTCTGATTCGTATCTGTTTGATTTTGAGCATACACATACATCCTTTCGGACATCTAAACATACCGATAAACGATACCAAATGCTAATAATCTATCGCATCAACATTTCGATATACGTTGTTATTTATCGTGTTATGTATCCGTATGTTTATCAACGTCGTGCTTCAATGTTTCCATACAATCGACTCGACTCGACTTAATGTATGGATGATAGATAAATCTAAATAAATACTCGATTCATTAAAATGTACACACATACATACATACATACCGTACATACATATATACCACACCATATATGTATACAATATGTATAGCTTGAATGGAATACAACATCCGTATGTATCGTATCTGTATGTGAATGTACGCCTCTAGCGTATGTCTGTGTGTCTACATAAATACTGAGCATAGAAAATCATCTAGAATATTGATCGGAATGATGAATTATGCTAATGATTACGATTACGATCTATATCTATGTACGCATACACACATATAACATCTCCAAACGACAAACCACCGATGAAGAAGATCCCGAAGGTGTTCACGTTGTTTTTTCGATTTGCAAGATTATGTTTTTTTTTTTTCGTGTTACAGTCAGATCTCGATCTCTACAATCTCTCGCTTACTCTCTCTCTCCTCAACATTATACTTATACCACATTCGAATACGCAAAACACCTCTCCTCTCGTAAACAACAAAAAAAAAGGAACATTTACTATAAAATCAGACAAGCCAGACACCAAAATCCACGCACTACTCACGCACTCAGACAGTAAAAGACTTGAAAATACTACATATAATCGATTCGATCTGTTGTTAATCTTTGGTATTTTTGTTCTTCTTTTTCTTTTTGATACTTCTTTTAACCAAACAACCAACCAACCAATCAACCAAACCCCTGTGTCTGTGCGAAACTACTTCTGAACTACTTCTTGTGTTTCCCACTACTGCAACTACTACTACTTCTACTTCTACTTCTACTACTACTACTACTTCTACTACTATCCTCAAAACAACTGTTTCGTCTACGAATCAATCTACTACTACTACTATTACTACTACTACTACTACTATATCTACTACTGTTGCTACTGTGGTGTGTGCGTCATCGAATCTAAACGTTCGTTTCACGTGTCCTACTCTGTCTTTCTCTCGCTCGCTATATCTGAACCCGTCTATATCTCTATCTATATATATATTTATATATATATATAATATATATATATGATCTATCTGGAACAACAAACAAAACCAACAACCAAATAATATTTGATTTCGTTACAATCTTTGTTTTTGAATTCACGAAAATTCCTACTGATCTAAAACATACACCATACATATATTTATATATCTTCTAAATATATATTGATCTCTACAACAAATGAACAACCAACAAATCTACCAATCTACCAACCAACCAACCAACCAACCAACCAACCAATCAATCAACAAACAAACAACAAACTAAACCAATCAACAATCCAAAATGACAACTCATATATAAATATATATATATATACACATATATTTGTATACCACCATGCGCTCCGCTCCGCTCCGATCCTCGCTCCTCGATCCTCGCTCCTTCGATCGATAATACTGCAATCAACAACAAAAATTCGACTACTACTAAATTCTTCTGTATATCTGTGTATCAACCAACCCCTCTCGTACATCGTACATCGTACATCACAAATACGAACGAAACGTCAGGCGAGATTATCTACAGAGTGGAGTTACCCGATATGGAGCAGATAACTCTGATCTACTTGGAGAATAGCGATGCTGACTATCGTAAGTCGAGCAACTGAAAAAAAAACAAAAAACAAAAACCAAAAACAACCAAAAAACAAAATCAACCAAAACCAACAGCAAAATATATACTACTATATTAAAAAAGAAAAATCAACAAAGATATAATTTTTTTTTTTTAAACAATAACAAACTTTAAAAAAAAAATAGTAAACAATTTTTTTTTTATTTCTGTAAAACAAAAGAAAAACAAAAAGAATGAAATTGAAATATATATATAATTTTTTTTTTAGTTCCGAATACAATGAAATCCAAAATTTTTGCAAGATCTACTATATTCCTATTCTTCTGGTTATGTTTTTGTTCTTCTTTTTTTTCGTTCCTTCTTTGAGTTTTGCCTATCTCTTGCTTTGTCTCTCACTCTCATGCTGTCTTACTCTCTCGCTCTCGCTCTTCCTCTTGCTCTCTCTCTCTCTCTCTCTCTCTCTCTGTCTTTCCGTCTCTCTGTCTCCTTGTCCACTTAATATACCCATCTCCATCGTATAACACTTAGAGAAGAACATTTCTAGAGTCTGCCAGATTTTCATAGGATAACATTTTCAAATGGGGTCTTAAATATTTGGAATCCAAAGTGTTTGGCGGGTTTGCTATACAAAATTGAAGAGAAGCAGTACTTACTACTTACTACTCTTTCCTTATAGATCATCTGTAGAACTACCTGCTTATGCTTACGTTCTCCCCACTTTCTGAGAGCTCATGTTCCCCAATTCGTTTTAGTACTGGAATAGGAATCTCTCTCTTTTTCTTTATCTTTTCTTAGAACTTGAAAGAACAGTCCTTATAGTTTTGTTTTGTTTTGTATTGTTTTTTTTTTTTTTTTTTTTAGAATTTTGTCCAGTGTTGAATAATTCCATAGCATCGAATGACGCGTTCAGTTCGTAGCAAATTAGTTATGTGATCCTTCACCCCTGGAACACTCCACACTCCAAACACACCCATAGCCACACCCATAGCCACAGCCACACCCTTGAGCACACACCTTGTATCGTTGCCCAGCCCGACCAATCAAAAGCAAATCAATTGAATGAATTGAAAGCACACTTGAGTAGTAGCTTTTTGGCATTTTCTGCATTCTGTTTGTGTTCTGCCGCAGTAGACGTTGCTTTGATTTTGATCCCCACATCACCTTTACATCAGTATTGTTGCTCGTGTCCCGTGTTGCATGATCTTCTCCTCACCGAACAACGATCATTTTGGTTTTTGATTTGATGAGCCCCGCCCTAAGAACCTCCAGGAACCGAATAGAACATAGTACTCTTCTACAAACAACAAAAGCTCTTTCCGATACGATATGTGCCCCTCCCTCGAACTCTCAAATGTATTCTCCGTGTGGGTGGGGTGGGGGAGAGAGCCTTAGCTCCTGAAAACTGATATCTAAATCTGAAATAAACGAATTGTATGCATTGTGTGAGCAAAACAAGTCTTATTTTTGCAAATGTCTTCTCTCAAGAGGGGGCGGATCCTACCCCGTTCTAGTCCTTGTATATTTTGCAAAAAAAAAATCGTAAGTCCATCGGCGAAACGAGCCTCAACAGAACAGAACCGCGTGTGAACCAACACAGTGAGTAAATGACAAAAAACACTCCCCGTACCTTCCCTTACGTTAAACTATCTCATGGTAAAACCCCACGAAACGGTGGTTCGATTGTGTGTTTTTCCCTTCGAGAACGAAACATCCCCCGAGAGGAAACTCTCACCTAAGCTAATCCTCAGATCAGATAATTATCAGATATTTATAATATTTTATACATCAAAAAACCAAAAAACACACCCAAAAATAAATACACACACTCCACAAACCCACACAAACACACACACACATTATGTTTATGTGTCGTAAGTATGTATTTGTGTGTGCCATGTATGTAAACATCATGATGTCATGTAGTGTGTATGTAGTATGTAACTTGTGTAAATGTAATCATACATCAAGTGTGTGTCCTTCCCCCATACAATACTCGAACGTAGTTGATTTCCCCCGTAGATCGAACGCCCTTCCCATATCGTAACTATAAATAGAATGTATAACGTATGTATGTTCATTATATATACATATATCCGTACATCAGCGTGTTGAAGTAAACATTTTTTGCATTTGTCACGATTATTGCATTTACATTTAGGTTTTCCGGTTTTAATTTCGATTTCTATAGTAAATATTCTATATATATTGCATATTTTCTTAAGCCCTTTCAACCCCACCCCCTGCCACACAGTTTAGGAGTGCTCCGTGCCCCGTGCCCTTTGTCCCTTGCCACCCATGCCTCATTTGAACATCAAATGTACATCATTAACGTAGTATAACGTTTCATTTGATCAATTTCTTGATTTTACCCCAATCCCCGGCTAGCTGTACAGTAGATGTTCGCTAATTGGAAACTGTTTAACCAAAACTAAAGCTAAAGATGATAGGCGATGGTGGGTTTACGTACATAGTATCTCTGTACATTGATGATTGATACGCACAAACGAATGCTCCAATAAAGGATGCCTGAGAATTTAAAAAAACAGCAACATACATGTCCTGTGTATGAGTGATGAAAGTACTGAAGCATTGGCGCAACAAGACATACATTTTTTGTATACAAAAAATAGGTATCAGTAAAACGGAAAAAGTTTTGATAGGCGTACATAAAAAATTAGTCAGATTTATATATTTTTTAAAATTAATATCTTAAAATAACATTACAAGGAAATCCAAAGAAAACGGTATTCAAAAGTGGACTATTGAAGGGGGTAAGGTACGAAAAAAGGTATTCCATTTAGTTGTGGCATAGAACACTAAAAGGTTCAGGTCGAGCTTAGTTTGATCTGCAGAAAGGTAAGAGGAAAAGACCTCAAAGTGCGGCTAGGTCTAGGCGAAAAAGTTCGAAATAGATAGAAGGATAGAAGTAGAGATTAGGATGAACCGATGGGACTACGTTATAGGACTAGCAGAAGCGAGAGTTTTGCTTAATTATTTCGAATGCTATTCGCGTAACCCATAAGAGAAATGAATTTCTATAAGGATTACTGACAGGCATGGGGTTTTTTTTTTGATTAAATTTAAATTTATAGTCATATTTTTGTTCCAACTATTTCCAATCAGCGAAACGAATACTGTACTCAAATTCGTTATGATTTGCTAATTGATTTTGAGATTAACGATTAAACGATTAAAGAATTCCTGTCGTAAATGTGGACAGCTTGTACTTGTATTTGTACTATACAAGACATTGTCTCCTCTACTCCCCCCGATAATCCGTAGAGACAAGAATGAGCACAACCCCAATATATGACATTATTCTGTACCCATCTATCTATCTAACTCTTTATCCCAAGCTATCTATCGATCTATCCCATCTCTTTTCGTATGTATTCCCCGATTAAAACATTAAAAAAAAAAAAAAACAAAGAAAGAAGTAAATTCTGTTGATTTGTAGATTCCCAAGCCAAAATCCAATACCCCCAAAGCCCAAGCCCAAACTATACCCAACTCCCATTCCCATTTCCCCACTGATGCCCAAATCCAATCCCAAATCCAAAAAATTCATGTAGAACACTTTGTTGATGATTTAGCCACACGTGCACGACTAAAAACGCCCCCTAATTCGAATGTTTTGCCATGCTTTGCAGCCTCCGAGGAGAATGTACTGTCGTACGAGGCCGTGCAGCGTTTGTCCATCAACTATACGCGTCCCGTCATCATACTGGGACCCCTGAAGGATCGCATCAACGATGACCTAATATCTGAATATCCCGAGAAGTTTGGATCTTGTGTGCCACGTAAGTTCAGAGATCCTCCCCTCCCTGTAATCCCTCAAACTAAAGTGCGATCTGATCTGATTACAGACACCACGCGGCCCAAACGCGAATATGAGGTGGATGGTCGTGACTATCACTTTGTCTCCTCACGTGAACAAATGGAGCGCGACATTCAGAACCACCTGTTCATCGAGGCGGGCCAGTACAATGATAATCTGTATGGCACCTCGGTGGCCAGTGTGCGCGAGGTGGCAGAGAAGGGCAAACACTGCATTCTGGACGTGTCGGGGAATGCCATCAAGCGTCTGCAGGTGGCCCAGCTCTATCCGGTAGCCGTTTTCATTAAACCCAAATCGGTGGACTCTGTGATGTGAGTAACTCAATTGAATCTATATAGATCTCCTGATAATTCTAAATCCATTCGAAACCTTTCAGGGAGATGAATCGTCGTATGACCGAGGAACAGGCCAAGAAGACTTATGAGCGTGCGATTAAAATGGAGCAGGAGTTTGGCGAATACTTTACGGGTAAGTGGGCGCACAATTCGAAAGAAGTATCCGTGTAACCGTTCCACTTTCAGGCGTTGTCCAAGGCGACACCATTGAGGAGATATATAGCAAAGTGAAGTCAATGATTTGGTCTCAGTCGGGACCAACCATTTGGGTACCTTCCAAGGAATCTCTATGACCAACAGCCACAACAACATGGACACTGCCGCCTCGAGTCCGTTGTCGACCAGTCTCGAGAACAACAAATACAGCAACAACAAATCAACCGCAACAGAAAACGCCGCACTGATGATGATGCATCACAAAATAATTAACAAAAACAAATGACGAGTACACAAAACAGGACACACGACGACCATTACACTTGACGATTGACTTAAGAACAAAACAAACAAAATTGACGCAGCCGCAGCAGCCAACTTAATGTAGCAAAAAAATTGTCCAAAAAATGTATTTGGATGGTAGATAGATGTACGCCGCTTAGTGGAACGTACATATGTTTAAGTCGAGGAGGAACATCAGAGCAAAGCATTTGGCATCGTGTAGCGAGAAGGAGAGAACAGAGCAGAGCAAAGCAAAGCAGACCAGAGCAGTGCAGAGCAGAGCAGAGCAGACAGCACAGTGACGACAGCCCCCATGGACGGACGGATTATAGATGATGATGATGTTTAACTGAAGCGGACAAAGGTGTATAGTTTTTAGTTAGAACAAAGTTTGGAGAAAGGATAAGGAGAAACAAAGCGAAATATAATATATACACACACACACTTATATATTAAGATCTGATTATGATGGCATAAAGCAGAGAACAGAGAGCAGATGGATAGCAAGAGGGCAAGAGAGAGCATTAGCAGGAGGCAAAAGGCGGAAGGCAGATGCAGAAATCGATAAGCAAATGCTTAGAAACGTTCGTTAAGCGCTAGAATGTTGTTTGTTTTATGTTGATGTTTATATACGAGAGCCAAGAGTTATAGCGAGTTAGTTATGTTGAAGAATAATGTGTTTTTTTATATATATATATATATATATATATATATATATATACATATACATATACATATGTACATGCATGTGCAGCACATACATATGTAAGGCACCCATGATGACGATTATGCAATGAAATGTATAATTGTATAAATTTAAGTACGACAGTGTTTAATAGCTGACGGTAGGGGGTTGATTGACAATGATTCAAAGTAGCCTGTAGATTTGTACAGATCTGGAACACACATCTGGATACACACACGTACGTCTACACGGTTGCGCTTACAGTTACACGATTACGGTTACGATCACGGTTACACGATTACCGTGGTCGGACACTGACGTTAACGATAACGATTTACGATTAACGATTTACGACTATGATACGGATGAATATGAATATGAATATGAATATGATGAAAGGATGAAACACGTTGGTGCATTTGTTGTTAGATGTATGTAATTTTTCCCACTCGCCTTTGCCTACAAGCAACACAAAAAACAAAAACACTATATAAACGAAAAGAAGAAAAAAACAAAACAAAATAAAAATCAATAAAAGATCTGCGTATGAATACAAAATACAAAATACAAAAGAATGAAAACAGGAAACTAAAGGACACTAGTTTCTCATATACATACAATACATATATAGAACCCATGTTCATTCACACACAAACACACCCACATACTACTATATGCTATATGTGTATGTGTATATCTGTAACATTTAACAAATAGTCCGCAACCATGCGCGAAATCCTTTGAAACGCGTCTACAAAGTCATTTTACTATATATACACGCGCCACACAAACACCCACACCCACACAAAAAAGAAAAACTACGGAGGTAAAGGCTCCCTCCCTCGAAAGAGAGAATGAGGAGATTGAAAAGTGTGAAGAGAAGGAAAAGCAATTTGTTGTCGCGTTGATTTGAATATGAATATATTGTATATTTAACAATCTATAAAACAAATATAGTATATATAAAACACACACACACACACACAAAGGATACATGGATTACCGTTGCGGTCTAATTTTATACACACACACACACAATACACAAAGGTTTAATGGAAAAGGAAACCGCGTATTAAGGTTACAAAAGCAGTAAATTTGGAGGAGCCGCCGATGGATGGAACTCAAATTAGATATCTATATATTTGCTGATTAATTTATATAAATCAATTTACGAATTATAGCCAACGCACACACACACACACACACAAACACACACAACACATACAATACATACATACATACAATTAAATGAAATTGCTACCGAAATTTGTTCAAGAAAAAAAAAGAAGAAATTTAGCTAAATTCAACGTTGAGTGTTAAATACTATTATTCGAAATATTGAATATGGAATATGAATATGCATATAAAAACGAATTATTTTTTTTTTTATAAATATTATTACTTTATTATTATCTTGTCCGAATTTCTCTTATCCTCTTAATCTTTAATGAATATTTTTTGTGTTTTTTTCGTGTATGTTTTGTCAATTTTTGTAAATTTCGAAATTTCGAATCGACGACGTCACAAGCAGCAGCAGCAACAACTATAGTCGGATATTATTTTAAATATATATACATACATACCAACATACATACTAATTAATACACAAGAATGGAAATTCATTATAATTTTTATATATTTAAAAAACCTACAAAAACATAACAGAGCGACAAGAGAATGAGGAAGAAAGAGGGAGTAAGATATGATGATAATTTCAAATCTACAAAGAAAAAAAAACAAAACAAACAAGCAACATCCCCCTAAAAAAAAACAAAACAAAACCGAAGATGAGAAGAGAACCTTATATGTAATAAACAAAATAAAAATTCAAACAAATGAAAACCTCTTAATCAATCACACACACACACACACACACACTGACACGCACAGATACGAGAGAAAACAAAAGATATGTAAGTTAGATAAAAGATAAACCGCTTGAGAGGGTGGCAGCTACATCCGTACATACTAGTTTTAGTAAGTGACTTTCGTTTGCTCTAAACCTCGGCGCTCAAAATATAATACTCTTCGTAGCAGGAGTGTTGGCCGCACACTCGCGTGAACAAATTCCTAGCTTAACAATCTGTAATTGAAACAATTCTTCTGACTGCAGAGATCCCTACATACTACTACTACTATATAGAGCCTGAAGCCCGGAATCACTCTTCGACCTAGCCTTAGAATCGTATGCAAGAATTTTACTAGCAAAAATCCAAAACCAAAAAAACAAAAACAAAACCTATCAGCTAAATAAGGACTAAGCTTAGGGCAGAGTGCTGCTAAAAAAAACAAAGGATTTTCTTTATCAATTTACAAAAAAAAACATTACTTATGTGCACACAACACCCACACGCGCCACACGCACACACGCATACGCATACGTGCATGCATAGGAAAGCGTTTCATCAAAATTGTGCCTTTTCTTTTCGTTGTTGTTATCGAATATCGATCAAAATATACATACATAGTACATACATGCATATACATACATATATGGGCACCAGTGCAGTTATATTTCGCACCCTAATACACACACAAGCATATTATGTGCCACTGCCCTGTAAAGTAGGCAATAGATTTTGTAATGGTCTTTGCCCACCCGTTGCCCCTCAAAAGTATGCAATGGGTTTTTCGATAGTCCCAAACGTAGCCTTAATGAAATGTAATTTTGTTGGTTTTTGCTCACATCTAGTCGGTTGGGTGTGGTTTATCTATAGCTTTGCTATGTATCTGAATCCTACCTTCATCAGAGATAATGTAGGCGAAACTAAAAGAATCAAGTGGGGCTGCAGGCGCGTAAGTCAGACCACGAGTAGATCCTGCACGCATGCTGGACATCATATGCACACGCAAACACATACACACACAGTTCGACGAACACACGAGTACACCAACAGGCAAAACCAACAACCAATACATACATATGTACAATACACATGCTCATGTACATGCTCGTGATGCTGGGCAGAGACATCCGACTCTATCACAGAGAGAAGACAGAAGAGAGAAGGGCGCTAATGTGACAAAAGCCTATCATTATGTACTATCGTATGTCAAATGTAACTTGTTCATCACAAGATGAAGATACTCGACCCCCACACCTCACACCCACAAAAAAAAAAAAAAAACAACCATGAAATAAACCGAAATTAATCTACGTAATGATACCAATATTTTTGCTTTGCTTCTGACTTTATTTTCTACTCTGGGAACAAGCATTCATCAGAGGCGTTGCATCTGCCGTCACTTTTGTAGCTACTACGCCATTTTCAGATTCCAAATCAGTAGACAATTCGGCTCCACACATATCGAGTGAACAAAATTACCAGAAACAAAACAAAAAAAAAATTTTTTTTAAAGTTCGAAATTTTCTGTTAACCGAAAACAAAGTATTTGCAAATATGGCCACAAAGACTTTAAAGTTGGGATTCTTTTCCCAGATTCAGCGATTTTTTGGATCGAAGCGTATTCGAAGAATCCGTAAGAGCCCCCGTAGTTTAAGAGTAACCAGGATGTGGTCCTTATGCACATACATCCTTTTTCTGCAGACAAATTGGCCCTAAGTCCCGACCATCAGAACCTTGAGCCATACAATCCCGATGGTCCCTTGCAACGCGTTCTCAAGCAGATCCAACAAAGTCCAAGACCGTTATATCTGGGCTTTCACGAAGGACAGTGCAAGAGCGAAGCGAGGCCGAGGGCACGTGCAACACGCCAAGCAGCGTCTTCCACAACGCTGTGTGCGGCACCACGGAATAGTGCTTCGTCAACAACGCTCTGTGCGTCGAAGGTTCAAGGAACAGAGAGGTCAAGCAATCAGCGCAAGTTGCCACGCTCTAGGAGCTCTTCAAGCACAGTGGGTGCGGCTCTTAAGGATACCGAGTCCTCGATTGCGCTCCGTACGTGCTCGTCTACGATGCGGACAGTTGTGACTTCCCTGAATGCTGGCAACATGAAGGCCACACGCGACCAACTCATGAAGAAGCTGCGGTGCAAGGAGCAGCGCCAGTGCGTTCCCCTGGAAAGCGCGGTGAGTGCCATTCGCATAAACATCGGGGAAAATGCCGGCAGAAGATCCTGCCGTCGCATTCGAGTCGAGTCCTCCAAGTCCCAAATGGACTTGGCTCGCCGTCCGAGCAACACGAAACTCTTTTGCTCGAATAGTCAGCTGTCGGTCAAGGCGTCTCAATCGAGGATGTACTCGGTTAAGCCACCGCCAGCGAAGCACTGTGAAAAGCACCTTGGTGGCCAACCAGGTGTGGATGTGAAGTTGGCAGTCAGTTGGTTCGGAAGGATGGCCAACAAAGATATAAATCTGGACAACTGCCGACCGCAGCAAACCGCCAGAGCGCCATCCCCCACCAGGAGTGCATCAGGCAGCCAATACCCTTTGAAGAAGGTACCGTCCTCCGAAAAACGGGCCCAAAACGTAACCAATCGGCCGCCCAAACATTCACGATCTTTATCGATCTACAGTGGAAAACTGATGCCCATGGAAGTGCCAATTAAGAAACCCATCAGCAGGGATCTCCAACCAACCTCCCGTATGTCCTCCAAGCCAAACGAGAGTCCTGATCTACTCTATCCATGGCAGAATGGGGAGATAGATAGCGTGGATTGGGGCAAACCGATCCGGATGGAATTATCTTCTAGTAGTTATCCCTCCGAAATGCTAGAATTCCAGCCACAAGCGCCAGTTTCTTTGCAGAACGAAGGGAAATTGGATTTGAAGAAGCCCATCAAGGTGGAATGCCCGCTTCAAATACTCCATCAGGCTCCTAAGATCCACAGAAAACCATCATCTAGCAGTGGTCCTTCCATGAGGAAAGAATGCCAGCCTGCAACGTTAGAAGAAGTTTCTTTGCTGAGCAAGAGGAAAGTGAATTTCGGTACCCCTATACGGATGGAACCGCCAGTCCGGTTCGAAAAACCTTCGCGGATGGAAGGCAAAACCAAAGATGATGAGAAGAAAACGCTCACCATGAAGTTACAGCCATGGAAGAAGCCTGCAACCCTGCTACACGAGATACTATCTAGTTCGGCTGCTAAGCCTAAGCTGCTCCGCAAAGATCCTTGGCCAGAGGCAAAGAAAAGTCAAGAAAATGTGAGGGAACCTCTCGCCAGGGATCCGCCCTGCACCGATATTTGCAAAACGGAAAGGAAAAGTCAACGTAATGTCATGCAACTTCTCAGAGAGATCCCCAATCGAACCCGAATTTCGGGTGAAGACAGGCGTCTAAAACACATCCGTGAGAGTGTTTTGATCAAGAACCTTATAGCCCGCATCGATAAGATCCTCGCGTGCCCCGCCAGAAGTCAAAGAACTGCTGCCACAAAAAATCCCATCGACTCAGCCGAACTGCCTGCAAAAGCAAACGAGAAGCATAACACCAAGTCCGCTTATCTGATGACTGTCAGAACATTTGTCAATCACTCCTACCTAGCACGCAAAAGTCTGTCAAGGCTACTCTGCCCGAGTGTCTCACGTAGGCCTGATTTAAGTTTGGCCTTGAGCCCGTTCACTGAGAAAGATTATACCAATTCAGATAATGGGGCTGCTGAGAAGCTGAGAAACATGTCAATTTGTGAGCTGATGAAGCCTTTCCAAATATTAGAATCCATGCACGAGACTAATACAATACTCCAGCATGTTTCTCGGCAGAGTGAATGGAAAGTGGATTTGGGGAAACCGTTCTGGAGGGACTATTCAATATTCGAGAAACCCATCCAGTTGCAGTCGCCTCTTGAGCTTTCATTAGAGGAATCGGCCTGGAAGGAAGAAGAAGGTGCATTCGATTTGGCAGAATTTCTTAAAATCGAATCGCAACTGAAGGCACTACTGGCAGAATTCACCAAAGACGACAATGATTTTGATCTTGCAGAATCTTTTGAAATCGAGTCCCTATTCCCTCCTGGCACATTCGAGTATGATTTTTTGCGGAGCCCATTTACATGGAATTCAGGAACATCAATTCCGATTCCGATCAGTAGTCCTTTTGCAATGGTATTCAGGACACAAATGACGACTGAAGCGTTGGAGCAAGTTTTATTGCAGGCCGAAGGAAAAGTGGTTTTGGGGAAACCGATCAAGATGGCCAATGCAACTCCTGTCCCATCGATAGCAGAACTGCTCTGCACGAATTCTTTTCAAAATTACATTAAAGGCGAGTTTGATCTGGCTGATGATCTCGAAATAGAATATAAGACCCCGCGGATGCTTGCAAAAATTCAGAGTGGAACTTCTTTCGAGAGAGTGGTACCAACCGAGATGGTTCCAGCACCTCTGATGATAGCCAGTGAAGCTCCTGAATCTGATCTGGCAGATGAAGAGAAAACTAAAACGGATCTAGCTGAACTTCTGGAAACTGAATCCAAGGTTCAGCAGACGCTCGATAAATTTGTCAAAGATAACAAGAAAATAGATCTGGATGACTTACTGGCAATGCAATCCAAGATTCTGAAGACGGCTGCAGTTGCAATTATGCAAGAACATTCTACTACTGTGGCATCGGGCAAAGAAATCCTAATGGAATCCCAATACCCGATCAAGATGACCATTGAGACGCCTCAGACTGCCAGAGGGGAGTCCAAACCGCAAAAGACTCCTGTCATAAACGATGAAGTGCCTTTGAAAATGAGTTCAAGCCATCAGGAAGTCAAGCCAAAGACTGATAATAATGAAATCGCGACCACCTCGTTATACATAGCCTCCTTCCGCAAGGGAAAGCCAGAACAGTGTTGGAAACTCTTTGATACCGAAAGAAAACAAAAGAGAATCTGGACCAAAGGGGCTGAAGATGATAAGGAAGGCAATAATCCTTGCTACTCCATGACAGTGCGATACAACCCCGAATTAAGCCTGGACAATAATGATGTGAGCGAATCTTAATCTAGCTGGAATCTTGTGGAAACCAACCAAATTTGTAAGTGCCAAGAGTCCCTACAGATACTTTCCATCTTCAATTATCTATAAATCTGTGGATGGGAGAAACCGTACAAGACCCATAACGAAGAGCAGAGAAGGTCCTGCTTCAGTTATCGCCATGTTTCAAAACTGTTCCGTAAGGCAATCTTAATGATCTTTTATTAGGCCTAAAACTAATCATTTTGCTTACAGAATTTTACTGTAATGTAAAAATGCTTCTGATGAGACCAATCCTGTCAATGCTGCTGCACATTTTTAGGTACTCGTATTTACTCGTCAAAAAGAAAACGGTGACCGATTTGCCTGTGGATTTGAACCGAAACTACATTTTTATTTAAACAATATAAAATGATGAACAAAGAAAAAAGATTTAATTTGTTGTTGTAAATTCTGAAGAGGGTATTCATGATTGTTCGAGCAACGTCTCGCAAAAGATTTCTTCATTCATGGAATGGAATGCCCTTTACTTGTTCCAAAATAGTACTTGTTGTACCTTATGTTGTAGGTTTGGTTAGGTGAGGGTCTTCTACTCAAGGAGGTTTTCGAAACCATCGTCCGTGTTCGCGATAGGCTTTTGCCGAACCTTGGGAGAATCTAGGATCGTAGTGGAACCAGAGAATACCTTGCGAAGCTGGCCTCGGAATGTTCGGATAGAACAGCTTCGTGGCGACCATTGCACAAACTCTTGAGATGGGCTTTATCCGCCCAGTGAATGGGTTGTACTCATACCCTTCGAGACCGAAGATCCAGCCTCTACAATGGGAGTATCGCGCATTCTATAAGAACACCAATAAGGACCTTCGTACCAATATGTTAGGGTCTTTATTTTTCTAAGACAAGCTAAGCAAATGACCCTTCAAAGAAATGGATTAATTATAGATTTTAATTTCCAATTAAAATTATGCTTTTCGTGACACAAATTGTCTGATTGATTATAAAAGACGGGTATATGAAGTTTAGCACGAGTGTATCCTGCCCGGGCAAGCCCTGGGCATAGCCAGTGAACGAGTTCTGCCACCCATCGACCACAGATCCATTTAGATAGATATTTCAGTTAATTACGATTGAGTGCTGATTGCATGGCTACATTTGGCTGGCCACGTGAACGGGGTCTGGGCTTCAGCTGTGGATATATCCCAGCTGCATGATTATAATGCCGTAGGACAGGCTGCAGCTGATCACAGCGAAGGCACATCTCATGTCAATGCAAAACATGCCGAGGACCCTGTTCTCTGGGGAACCGGCACGAATGGCCCGCTTCAGGCTAGCCATTTCCATCTATGGGGTAGAGGATAGAGTAATCTTTTAGTCCGGAACTGGTCTGCTCACCTGGCGTTGGGCTGCCTGCATGTAAGTCGCGTCCTCCACTCGTGGACCGGCGCAGGGTTTGTTTCCCTGGGCCAACAAACGCTCGCCGACAATCTGCAGAAGGAGGCCATCGAAGAGCTTGGTGACGAACGTGAGAACGGTTAGCAGGAACTTGGCATTCCACACACGGAATCCCGACACCGGCGCTGAGGACGTTGCCAGGAACGAGTAGCCCACGTAGAACGTGGCCATGTTGAAGTACAGTTGAAAGAACATCGTGGCCAGCACTTGCCACGCGTACAGGCGATGCAACCGTCGCACCAGCCGAAGCAGGCGCTCCTGCCGCTGCAGCTGTCGCATTAGGCCCGTATAGGACGTCCTTGGATGCTCACCATTGACCCTCAGGGCCTCGCCCAGCTCCAACAACAGCAGAATGTAGGACATCAGCAGGGTGTCCCTGACCAGCGACATGTAAACAAAGTAGAAGTTGGACAAATAGTCCCAGACATTCACCGACCGCATGTCAACGATCAGGAGGATGCTCAGGCTAAAGTTGAAGTTTTGCAGGTAATTGAAGAGCTTGCCGAAGAACACAACGTAGTAGAAGCGACTGGGCTCCCCCTGGGGGTGCACCCTGGACACCTTAGACCTCATAGCCATCAGTTCGTTGAAGACCGCACAGACCTCCTGCTCACGGAACATCCGCAGCGCGGTCTGCACCACCAGGGCGAGCAGCTGCAACACGACGGTACCATAGCTGAGGGACCTCACGAATCCGTGCCTGCGGAACGTGCCCTGCACAAAGTAGTCCTGCGCATAGTACCAGTATCCCCAGTACAGCGCCAGAGTGGCCACCATCATCAGCCAGCTGTACCAGTGGAGCACTCTGCTGGGCACCAACCGGCGACGGGATGGACTGTAATAATGCCCGGTTATGCCCAGTACCAGGCTCTGGATCATCCAGATGCGCAACAGGAGCGTGTACAACCATCGCGCCCACATGGCAGAGAGCAACTGACGATACACGAGTGTCCTTTTGGAGTGTGTCCTCACCCATCCAGCACGAGATAAGAACAGACCCATTCAACCCATCGCACCAGCGAGAACAGAGGCCACTGACCACTATCCACCTCCCAAGAGAACTCTTGACCCTGCTTATTTAAGGCTAGAGTGCGTATCTTGCCAGTCCATCGCACATTTTGTTTATCCCTGCACCCTTATGGAGGGTAATATTACTATACTGCTGACAAGTGCACTAAAGATACAGAAGAAAGAAAGGAGTACTAGTGAAATTGTATCAAGATCTTTACTGGATCTAATCTGATCAAAAACGGGACCTCTTCTAGATGATACAGCTTTTTACTCCGACTCCGACTCTTGGGGGAGTTTAATAAAGGGTTTGCATGCATCTGTTAGGGCATTTGAGATACTGCCTTAAGGAACGTCTTGCTGTGGAATTCCATTTGGAGGGAGTGCTGTATGGGTGCTCTGGGTGCGGTTTGTGGCTTGTTAGGAGCTTTTGCGGAGGTATAAATCGAACTGCACCAGGGTGATAAAGTAACAGAAGGCGGTGACGGCGATCAGATAGATCAGGCGACGGTCAAAGTTCAGCAGGCCACAGAGCATGGGCGGTCGGCACTTGAGAAGTTCCAGAGAGAAGTATTCGATCTATTCGGAAAAGAGCACTATCCATTATTCATTATTCGTTCCTTTCCTTTCGTATATTACCTCCTGGGTCAGACGCTGCTCCACCGTGGATGGGGGCTCGGCAAAGGTACGCATCGTGAGGGCGAATCCCTCCAGCTCCTGCTTAATGTGCTCGTTGAGCAGGGTCACAATGTAGGTGTCGATATAGAAGCCCGTGGCATACACAGACCCGATCACGATCGGGAAGCTGATCTCCTCGAGCGACTGCTTGGCCAGCATATTGAAGATGGCGTAGAAGTTGGTCAGGTTGTTGATCAGGGTCGCCAGCACCAGGCCCAGCAGCTGGAACTGGTGCATCTTAAAGCTCTCTGAATAGAGGTCGTGTATCTGGCCGAATCGCTGCCGCAGCTCCCCCAGGCGATCGCTCAGGCGACAGCAGTGCTCCATCAGCATACCGCCCGGCCTCAGACCTCCCAGCTGCCGCCGCAGCGAGACCAGTTGCAGGTGCAGTTGGCGGTAGTACTTCAAAACACTGCCATTCACAAAGTAAAAGTAATCGGCCATGTTCTCCGTGTAGTTCCACAGCACAAAGGCGTAGATGGCAAAGTGGAGGCGCACCTGGCTGACCGAGGGCCCGTCCGCGGCCCCGTATAGCGCGAATATGCCTGCCACCTGGACGAGCATCATCAGGTTGATCAGGCAGAACTTGAAGTACATGAAGAACTCGAAGCTCCGCTTCGGCTGCTTGGGGGCGCCCACGAAGGCCGTCTCCAGGCGCTGCCGCTGCACCGTGCACCGATAGTTGATGGCCTCGAAGTGCACGGTGTTGGCCACATACGTCACGATCACCGTCGCATACTTGATGGCCGTGTTGGCGAAGCTCACGTACAGCATGAGCTGCATGCGACGGTCGTGCGTCTCGGTGAGGGTCCGGAAGTGGTAGACAAAGTACCCGGGCAGGACCACGATCAGTATCAGGCTGAGCAAGTGACTGTAGGCGATCAGCACGGTCTTCAGACCCCGTCGCATTGGCTGCTGGGGTACATAGTCGATGACCACCTGGCCGTAGATGACCGCGTAAATGTGGCCGTACTTGTAGAACTTGAACTCGTGCCGTTCCCAGAAACTGACCTTAGGCTCGTGCTCCTCCGTTGCCGACATTTTTAGCCTACCAGCTGCCAGGACGTACTGTCACCAGGACGCCTCGAGCCAGGGCCCAGAGCCCACCATCAGAGCGACCAGTTGCGTGTGAAACTATGCGTATAGTAGGGTGGCTATGGCACTCAGTGCATAATTAATGAAGATATCTGATACAGCAAGTTTGGGAAAGGTAAAGGATTGCGGTGCATACGTCATCAAATGTCCCTGAAACCAGGGCAAACCTTACTCCACCCTCAGCTTCTCTCTAGAATCCTCGTTGGAATCATTTAATCATCGGATACGCTATGATTATTAGTTGTTTAGTTGTTAGCAGAAGATGTGATGTGTGATGGTTGTGAGTGTTGTTGCTGGATATATAAACTACATTTTCGTTGTGCCATAGCATATGCCCGTGCCATAGCTGTTCACTCGTTACTTTACGTTGAAAACGACTCTCTACTCAAATACGACTCGCTAGTTGGCAGTCGTTCCTTTAGCACATCACAAACCATCATCCTCGATGCCTCAATATTCCTCTCGCTACTGCTACTCGCTCCTTCTACTAGCTACTGCTACTCGCTACTACTACTGCTAGTCGCTACTGCTAATCGCTAATGCTAGTCGCTACTGATACTCGATACTGCTACGCGTTAATTCTACTCGCTACTGCTACTCCTGATCCATTACAGCTATATACTTTCGATTCAATACTTCACACACTATTGCTCAATTACCCAATTCTCAATCTACCAAATTATAGCTCACATTACCTCCAGCACTTGCGCCTTCCAACGATGTCCCAACTATTGAAAGGACTTGGCCAATGCAATAATAGAGCCAGACGTTTGTAGTATCTGGCAGCGTACAAACGTATACAGATAGCAAATATAATTGAAATGATATTGGGATCACTAACCGATGCAAAGGTGTTTAGTGATGGCGAGAAGAACGGCACCGCCATGGTCGGTGCTCGCTGCGATCGGAGAATGAGGAGCAAAATAACACGACGCTGCCTGGGTGCGCACAATGACCAGGGACAAGAGGCCGCCACACGGGAGAGCTCGACGCTCTGCAAGATAACCATAATGATTAGGGAGCTTCGCTTTTGGGCCATACTCACACTCTCGGCCACCAGAGTGCCGCCGTAGCAGTAAACGAGGAGCTGGCTGAGGGCGGCCACCGTGTAGGCCACGTAGAGCAGGGCGCCCAGGCTGTTGTTCCCAACGGTCAACAGATTACAGATGCTAAAACCGATTACCAATGCAGCGGACACAAAGTGCGCCAGCGTGATGACAGTATACCGTTTGCGGAAAAAACTTGTCAGCTCGAAGACCGAATTTTGTCTGATGATAATGCCCCTCAACTGAAGCTCCAAACGGGCGCACTGGGCCGGCGTCAGCATTAGGTATTCTTCGAGAAAAGAAAATGGATTCAAGGGAATGGATAAGTTCCATGGGAATAAATGATTGTACCTTCGAAGGGGCGAAAGATGGCCCGTGTTTCCTCCTGGAGAGACTGAAAGAGGGACGAGATGTGGACACAGAACTCAAAGTAGAAGCCATCGCAGCCTCCAAACATAAAGATGGTCACATAGCCCGTGTAGGCAATGAAGGCATAGGTCAGAGGAAAGAATGGAGCCGCCAGCAGAACTTTCGGCATTCTGTGGGAATAATAGCTCCATGATTAGTTCACACTACGCCAATGCCTGCACCACTCACGTCATATTAAATGGTGTGTTCCACGGCAGCTCCTGGTCGGGATCCTGCAAGTACAGGATCAAGGCAATGAGCAGTGGCTTCAGGTTGTAGGTGGTGCAGGTAAAGAAGCCCGCGGACAGCGGCCAGAAATTGATGCGCGCCGCCAGCACCGAATTCTCGTGAATGATGGCCTTCTGTTCCGGCCTGTTCAGACCCGCATCGAAGAGCATCCTTTGCAGCTGCATCCACACGTTGGCCAGATCCCGACGATAGCGCAGCATGAGCAGCATCTTCAGCAGCGTCACGGCAGACGTACCGGCCGGACAGAGGGTCTCCAGCGCCAGGGTGATCTTCGCGTTCTGCAAAAACACGAAGCCCGCATGCAGCTCCGTGACCACGCCAATGGAGAGGATCACAAAGTGAACTATGGCACGGACGGGCAGATCGTCCCCCATCGGCCAGTAGCCCATGATGTCCAGGCTGAGCCGGGGCACGGCAAAGAAGTAAGATCTCAGCGGTTGATCGCGACGCAGCAGCCGATGGAAGGACCACATAACGGAACGATAATGGAGCGCCCTTCTTCAGGAAGCTTCCTTTATATAGAGAGCCTTTTTCCCCAGCTCTGCCCATCTTCTTCTTCGGCTGTGAAATGTCTACCTAATTGACTTGTTATGCAAGCAATTAGGCGAAAGTTCTCTCGCAGAAACTTTCGCTGGGTAATTGGCTGCAAGCTTGAATTATTTATAGGACTGATACTAGATTGCTACAGACAGACAGGGCAGAAGAAGAAGGCCACAACCACAACAGACGACAAGAACAGTCCAGAAGTAGCCAAGAACGAGGAGTCGCGATCAGAGCTAATGCATCAATTAGCGCCAGCTGCTAATTTCATTTCAGTAATCAAAATACAAACAAATCAAGATTAATAAATTTCGGCGCTTGCGACTTGGACTTGGACTCAAAATGTCGTGAGTTTTGTTAACTCTAATCTCTAGCCCACAGAACACAGAACACACTCACGCACCACAGCCTGAGCATGAGGCTTCAGGAGCGGATCGGAGTGGATGCCCCGTTTGTTAATCAAACACTCATCAAAGAGGTGCTCAATGTCGGGCATCCACCCGGGGTCTAACATTAAAAACATCAATTTATTATTATATGTATTGGAGTACAAAAAATATGGGATAATATCCCCAACATTGGGGTTGAAAAACACGTACACCCAGAGAAAGACCGTCCATGATCTACAGGTCATAATATATCTACATATTCTATTTGGTATGCATTAAAAGTCCTCAAATTCTAGCCCCTTTGACATTCGATTCCGCTCCTGTGCCACCTGCTCACCCATGTCCGTTCATTTGGAGTCATAAATCATGCAAACCCGTCTGGCATCGCCATCAGACCCGTGTGTGTTTCGTTCGTTTCGTTCGAGTACCGGCCGTTGATGTATTAAGGTTTTTCTTTTTGTCAACGCCATAGACGGGTCTAAGGCAATCATTTTGCAGGCACACTCAGATTAGCAGCGCACGTTCCCTGGCACGGCCCCATGACGTCAGTGTGCTACTGCTCGCACTCGTGTATTTGATGGGGGGAGTCTCACAGGTTTTGATCGGGTTTTAATCGTTGATTTTGTGGTCAGTTTTGGCTGGAATGCCGATCATGAGAGCTGAGTGCCTGATAAGGTTGATTGAAGTTCACTTGAATCCCATCCAAAAAGCAAAAAGTTTCTTCGTTCCACAGTCGAAGGGCAGCAAATGATTGTGATGATGATGATGATGATGGTGATGATGATGATGATGACGATGATGAATAAATTGCTTGATTCGGTGGGATTGGGATAGATTTGATGGGCATATACTCGTAATTGCAGCAACAGTCCCCGAGAGTGCCAAGCACCGAGTGCCTAGGAGCAGCATTCGGTGTCTGGCAAATTGAATCAACGGCAATTGTTCAACTAGCTATGTATTTGCCCCTTTTTTTCCCCCATTTTTACCGCATTTGTTTTTCCATTTTGTAGTTTTGTCCCCCATTTTGTATAGACACACAGACACGCATGCCTGCGGAGCCACCCACAGCTCAACACGCAATACAATTACAACAAGAGAAACACCGCACCGCACAGCACCATTTTGATGCCCTTTCAGATAGATTATTCTTCAGGCAGCAGCTATATGATAGGGTTATCCGACCACAGATATTTGCAGCGTTTTGGTTTGTATTGAATATCCTTGGAGATTCTCTCAAGAGACAATCTAAGAGTGTCTTCTGGTAGCTTCCACTGGTACCCATGCATTGGGCCTACAGGTCTGGCATCGGATACACTTCCTTCTTGGCTGTACAAACATCTGGTCGAAATTCAAATGCCCTCTGCTGCGAACACTCTCGCCAAAAACGGGGGTAACGGCGAGCGATAGAGCAACTCAATTGAGATGGCCCGACATTGTTTTTGATGAGCAGCGCGCAAAGGAGGGGAGGCAGAAGATCAGCCTTAATTTTTGGTAGGGGGGGGGGGGGGAGGGGCTTGGGGGTCCGATCACGCTGTTTCATGACAAGCCGAACTGGGAACATATCCAGAACAGCACCAGCACCCAGCACACCAGGCACCACCCATACAATCATAAAGTGCACATGACTATGAGTATTAGATAAGTTTATTATAGAATAAATAAGCGTGCGGTGCCACAGAGCCCGAAATGGAACCCGAAACCGAAACCGAAACCGAAAGAACCCCAAAGCGAACCACAGTCACAGCCACAGCCACGGCCGCAGGCTATAAAGAAGTTAAGCAATTCAGACAGTTGAAAGCATAAATTGTTTAATAGAGTTTATACGCCAATTGGGGACATAAAGAGTGTAGCATTTTATAATTCGGTTCGCTTCGCTTCGCTTCGCTTCGGTTCAGTTCGGTTCTTATTTGTTTCTGCTGCACAAACCCCAATGCCCTGTTACCCTGCCCCCTGCGTGGTGGCACTCTCTCTCTCTCTCTCTCGCAAGATAAGCCACGAACACATTACGTATACGCACGCTTGTCTGTACCAAGCATTCCGTTTCTCCACAGACACGTAGCATTGGCAAAGTTCAGGGTCGTGCAGGCGCAGAATTAGAAGTGCGTTTACCTTTATGAGGTCCAATCGAACGGGCCAGGGTTATGCAACTTTATTGAGGCCTCTTAAGAGGCCCAGCCGAGAGGCCAATACAAAAGAAGGCAGCAAAATAGGGAATATCCCTGGCTAGGCGACTGTTTGAATACCCTTGCAGATGCCTCTCTTGGTTGAAACAGTCGCTGGAGGCTATCTGGGCTCTCGTACTTCATTAAAGCTAACCGCTATATGTTCTGCTGATATAAGAATAACGACTATGATACCTAAAGGAAGGATACCATTTCTAGTGCCTTGACACACAAAACTTGTATCATGTCGGGTTATTGAACCTATTTCTTCAGATATCTGTTTGTAAGTCCCAAAATCGAAGTGCCCTAACTAGTAGGGTATACAAATCCAAGCGATAATGCGATAGTCATCTCGAAAATGGCGCCAAACAAAGAGAGAGAGTTAAATTAGGGGATGATGATGGCCCACAATGATAAATTGGCACTTGATGATCGCCAATTAAGCAGGCAAATTAATGCCAGCTTTCCGTTCCGTGGAACGAACGATCCGATCCAAAAACAGAACGCCTCCGCCTCCGCCTGCGTCGCCGTCTGCACAGTCTCCGTCCGCCAATCAATTAGTCACACAAACAAATACCCCCAGAGGGTGGCGAGGGTGTGCTGCCTTCACCTACTTACGGTTAAGTCAGTTAACCCGTGCCCGCCTGCTGCTGGCCGGCCCTGCCCTGCTGCCTTCCGCTTATCGAAGCCACGCGTCGGGGCTGCTTGTTCTTCCACACTTTTCTGGGTATTTGGGGTACTTATCTTGGCCCTAAGCACTATCGTCCGTGAGATCAAAGTTTTCGGTCAGACCCGGCGGGGGTTTATGGCCCCGCACCGTTTGGCCGATCGATCGATTCCGCGACGCCTAAGCCAATTTGAATGCAGCAAAGACGCTGCTGAAAAAAGGCCTCGTTAAATGCGAGCAAAGACCGAACGACAGCCGGACGGACGATAGACGACGTCACCAGACGCATGCGCAGTTCACGTGAACGGTCGACCAGAAGACGTGTCCGACGGACGAAACGAACCCCAGATCTCAGACGAGAGACGGATTGCGGCGATAATAGCCATATGACACTCACTTACTGTTCTACGAGCGGCGGCCTGCGCAAGGGGCCACAAAAACTGACTCATATCACTTGGTATCAGGAAAAACAGGAGATTAAAATATACAAATTTAATTACAGACAGTTGTCACCACTTGGAGCGATTTCATGAGAGATTGCATCAGCGAATTTTCCCAATATTTACAATATTTTTTTTAGAAGCAGGGGAATAATCATTGATAATAATTCATTATCACATTAAATCAGCGAAAATAGAAGATTAACATCAAACAGTAAAATACAAAACTAGAAGGACACACCTTCGATCATCTTAGATCTTACGACAATTGTATGGATGAGTTTCTACTCTATAATGTTTCGAAATTTCAAGATTTCAAATCTGAAAAGCAGTAGAATTTTCCAATACAACATAATTCCAGGAAGTAGTGGAGTAATCATTCCTATCCATTCATATACCCATCAAATTGTAATAATATATGAAGTTCCCAACCAGTAAGTGTCATACGGGCCTTAATCGAAAATTACTTCACGTTTGTGTGCTCCGTTTATTTTATGTACTGTCGAATGTATGGGGGGATGGGGATGGGGATGGGGATGGAGATGGGTAGGCATGTTTGTAGATGCCGATACATACGTTAATTGTGCATTTAAAATTGAAATAAAATGTAGCTTGTCGCAATTTATTTGGCCAACTTCCTCTCCGACTCCGCTCCGCCAGACGGCCGTCCGTCCGTCTTTATGTCTTTTTTTATTTGCGTTTAAATTTAGATCGACTGCCGTTCGTTACACCCAAAGCAAAAAGGTTTTGCGAAGATAGGATCACACCAAAATAGTGGCAAGTCTTTCGTTCTATTTCCACTTAGAACCTGTTTTGATTGCTTATAGCCGTAGAACCGACCTTCATCCAATCAACTAGCATCTCGAACAATAGCCTATTTGCCCTTACAACAAATTGCCTGCCAATCAGCATTTTCACACCTCTAATCCATCGAGCACAACCAATATTTTCCGCTGGCTGTAGGGCACTACGCATTGAGACGCAGCCTAGACGCTGACTACGCACTTGGCACGGACACGGACGCGGACCCGGACCCCGGACAAGAGAGGTTCACGTGCGGCTTGAACCGTGAAATCGGTAGCTGGAAAACCAATAAAGGGGAAATACAGTACGGGGGAAACAGCTCTGATTACAGAGAGATATGTAAGTCTGGACAATGCCAGATTTGTTCACGTTTTTCTCCTATATTTATATGTATATTTACTTTTTGTTTGTTGTTGGGCTTTGTAAATCCGTCCGACGGACGCCAAATACTCGCAATAATAAAATGTGAGAATCTTGAAAAGGTAATTAGCACATATTCTCCGCTCGTGTTTGTTTTATACGCCATAAAAATAATCAAAAAATCGAGTCACACATCCCACAGCGACGAACATCTCTCTCTCTCTCTCTCTCCGTCGGTTTTTGGAGTCGGGAGTCTCGTCTGGCGCACTGGGCACCAGCAGGGCCTATAAAAGCAGATCAATCGCCGATGGATATGCGCAGTCAGTCTCTGCAAAGAATTGCCCACTGTGCTCCCCCGTTTCAATACATCTCTCCAGTCTCAGAGCATCCCAGGTCAGCAGTCGCATCCTGCAATATTTAGCAATATTTATGAGTGCAAGTGTCAAAGATCTACAGAGAGATACAGAGCGTGCAAAACTATAAATAAATTTTAAAAAAAGGAACAAAATGCATTCATCGTAAGTTAACAAACGATAGTCACTCATCGTTGCATCTGAAACCCCATCACTAAGCCACTTGCTTAGCAGCAAACATCAGCCTCGGCCCGCGCCCTTGTCCTTGCCCTTGTGAATGTTCTCCCCGCTCACGAACCCCCCTGTCGACTCATGTGTTCTCGATCTGTCTGATAAGCGGATTACTAATTACTAACATTGTAAATGCATCAAGTTGTAATATCCCGCTGTCTCCCCCCATTCCCCCATCCTCCCACCCCCCACAAACACCATACTTCATTCACGCATTAATCAAAAGTGAATCAAAAATAAAACAAGGCATTTGGCAAACGCGAACGAACGAGACGAGCAGCGACCGGAAGCAACCAGGAATCCAATTGGGAATCACTAACAGCAACAGATTGTGGGCGCGGGAGGGCGAGAGAGGGAAACGACCAAGTGAGAGCCTCTCTCCCGCAGTGACAAAGTGCGAAGCGCGCGACAACTGCAAAACGAACGCTTCCCCCTTCTCATCCTTCTACAATCGCCGACTGCGACGCTGACTGCGACGCTAACACTGACGTCTAATCTGTGGGGTGGGTGCGCATACATGGCAGTGTCCAAGGTGCATTTGGCGCAAGGTGAGGCATTTGTTTTGCTCTTCGAGTTCAATCTCTTGTTTTGGTTTGTGTCTAGCAATGACCTTCGAAAGAATTTATTAAAGGGGTACTCTATGAAAATGTCCCATAAGCGAAGAGACATCCTTTGCCTTGACTGATTATTGTTTTATTTATTAATAAATACTTAAAAGTGTCAGGTATCAAACTTCATAGCACTGAGCGCCTTAGCCTGATTAGGTATTGAGGCCCTAGTGCAACGAACGAGCGTAAGCCCCTATTTTCTTCACTCAAATGTATTGCCAAGAATACTCCATCCAACTTGGCCTCACCCTATTTAAAATACACCTTGGACAGCGGCGATCATGCAGCGGTCGGCAGGCTAGAACAAGTGACGGCCGCCGCACCGACTCTGTTGCTGCTGCTGCTGCTGCTGCTGCTGGCAGCGACTACAACAGCTGTTGCTTTTGTTTTCAATGGCGCTGCTGCTGCTGCGGCTGCCGCTGCCGCAGCGTTTAGTTTGTTGTAAGTAGTATACTAGCAGAACAGCAACAGCAACAACAATAACAAACACATTACTCTTGCCGGCGGCGAATTATATATTGTTTTTTTTTCTTGTTTTTGTTTGTCATTATAAATTGAGTTGGAATAACGCTTTCCAGCTTAGTCGTGTTCCAGTAACGCTTCCGCGCGCAACCTTACAAAAAACAAACACCACCCACCACCCACCCAAGGACACTTAGGCTTATCCTAAGCAGAAAGAAAGTTGAGAGTGTGAGAAAATCGAAAATACACAAGCAGGTGCATATTCCCAAAAAAAAAAAAAAAAAAAAAAAAAAAAAACACACAAAAACCCAAATACCGAGACGTGTGCCAATCGAATCTTGTTTTATATTTGATTCACTTTTTTTTCCCGCAAAACACCCGAATACCAACCCTCCAGTATGTCCGCTAGAATCCTGGAAGACTCGCCCAATGCGCGCATCAATAAGACCATCCTCGACCGCTACCTGTCGCTGCCGCTGGAGGATAACGTGGTCCAGGCCACATACGTGTGGATCGATGGCACCGGCGAGGATCTGCGCTGCAAGGATCGCACCCTCGACTTTATCCCAACGAGTCCCAAGGGTAAGTCTATATTTGGGGCATCCTCCAATCCGCAATCTCCCACTCCCGCACTCTGCCATCTCGAATCTAATCTCTTGGCCCATTGAGGGGAGTGCCAAGTGGCTCAAACTCAATTGCAGTGACAGTTTGGAGTGCTGCTCAGTCGGGCCCGATTTATAGGACATATGTAATTCAGCAGCACCAATCCGATCTGATGCCAGCAGTCACTCAGTTTTATGGCCAACTAGAAATTGTTTTGTCGAACAGTAATCGGCATTTAATCGTGTGGATCGTGCGTGGGAAAAGGAAATGAGCCAAAAGAACAACTTCGCATGGAGTTCCATGCCAGACGCGACAGTCGCTAATTTCCCTGTAAATTGGGGTAGACCCAACACAGACAGATGCCAGATTCACACTTTTATTCTATACACAAACTCGTGCCTCCCACCATACAAGAGTATCCCCCATTTACGGGGTTTTATTGGGTGCAATCCGATAAATTTTGATTATAAAAAGCGCGGAAATTGGACACTGAACCGATTCGTTTGTTTTTAGTTTTCAGTTTTCGTGTGCCATTGATTTTATTTGATTTTTAATTTGGCTTTTTATTGATGCTCCTCCTCCACACACAGAACAGAGCAGAGCACTCGAAATTGTCAGTTCATTATATAATAGCCGCCAATCCCGAGTGTGCGCTGGTGACCTTTGCCTTGGCACGGTACTGGGCAGCAGCATTTTGGCCCGCCCGTCCGTCCGTCCGTCCGTCCGTCCGTCTCGGAAGTACTTTACGACGATTACGAGTATTGGGGGATTCTAAAAAAAGAAAATTTCACGACTCGCGTCTGATAATGCGATTTGGCGGTCGCGCGAGGGCTTCATAAAACGAAAACATTGCGACGGCTCTTGAAAGAGTTTTTCTTTAATTGATTGCGTTTTAATGTGCAATTACCGAGCACAGTCTTTAGTGCCTATGGCAGCCGTAAACTAATCAACTGTGGCGCAAACACCCCCTACTCAGACCCCACAGACCGCAGACAGACACTCGACTCGTACGTAGACGTAGCCGTAGCCGTAGCCGTAGCCGTAGAGGTAGAGTTCCAAAAACCCCTCTCCGAACTCGGAAGTCGATTCCCAGATCTTGTCATCTTAATTATTCCACTCGCACACGCTGCCTGATTGCCTGGGCTGCACTTGAAAGCGAATAGAATACAAAAGCAAAGACAAACAACTTTTGCTGGCTGCTATCAAAGTGACTTAATGCGCACAATTACTAATTAAGAATCTGTAGATACATCTACACAGGCACACAGTCGAAGTGCATCGGACAAAGAGCATAGTAGAAAAGATAGAAAGGAATAGAGGAAAACAAAACAAAAATCAGCACAGTGAAACGCACTTGGTGACAGCGCGTGTGGGTGTGGAGGAAAGCCACACGTTGCCTCCTAAGCACTGGCCAAACGGGACAGCAGCTGATCTGCATGGCAGGCCAAAGCTCCAGGGATGCCAGTTATCGCTATATAGAGAGTTAGAGAGAAGAACTTTCTATTGGTATTGTTAAGGCAGTATACGAGTAGAACACGGACTCTGCTTGCAGAAGTGAAGAAGAAATTTCAATAAGGGAGTATAGAGAGGGGTCGACGTTCCATGGAGAGAGTCGATGTTCCAAGAGAGTACATAGAACATACCTCAAGTCAAGGACTATTTCGTTTAGACAGTGCCCAATGCTTTCCGCTCGGCCCTAGATGAGATGCAATATCAATGGTTAAGCATGCCTGCATACTTGTAGAAGAGAAAACCACGACGAGGACGAGAACTTTCACTCTGGAGGGGAAAGTTTGTCGATACAGTCAGAGAACTTGGATTCTAATTGGGCAATTTGAAACAATTTGAAGCCAAATGACAGTTAATCGGTGAATCGTGCAGTTTTCAATAAAGGACAATTCGATTTTCATATTAAATTGCAGCATATTAAATCTATCAGTCAGCCATCAAGTGGAATCAATAAAATTCCAAATGGAAAAAACACTTGAACAGGAAAATGCTGGCTGATTGGCCGCCCCCCTCAAGGGTGCACCTGATTAGGGTTAACAAGAAATGCCAATACCAATAAATATGTTTGGTAGAAGGTGGGGAAACCCCTTAATGGGATGAGCAAATGAGGTGAGAGGCGAAGGCTAGCTAACTGTGGCACAGTGACACACTGAGGGACGTCTGGCGTATCTGTATCTGTATCTGTTTGTGATGCGTATCTGTCTATAAGCTACAGCTGTTTATCAATTGGAGTGCGCTCTACAAGTAGACGGACACTCACACACGCAGCCAGCGAGTGATGATGATGATGATGATGATGATGGAGAGACAGCATGCGATGGGGAAGGGGACTGAGTGATAGAGATAGAGATAGAGAGCTACTAACATGAGATACCAGATTGTAAATGAAAACGCTGGCTCAAGGTCACCCCACGCCTGTTACAATAGACTGCAAAAAACCTCTATTCCCCCACCGCCCCGCCCCTCGAGCGAGAAATTTGCATAAGTGAAATATTTTCATTAGCATTATTTACAAGCATTGAGAGATAGTTCGGGGCTGAGGGGGAAGTCAGGGAAATTAACTATTTATTATAATAAACAATTGGCAAATGGAAAACAGGTTCCCAAAGCTCTAGACCTAGACAGATGGATGGTTCAATGGAAGTCCCCTTTTTGACGGATACCTTGCAAAAAATACAACAAATAATAAGGGTAAAGCGGGAGTGGAAGGCTGAAATGCACTGTGAAATTAAATATGCGCACAGTAATTCTATATATGATATATGATATGACACATTGAAGATTAATTGCAAGAAAGGGGGATCCCAACAGGTTACACTCAGGGCCCGTTGCTGTGGAATCGTGTAATACTTTGATAACTGACTTTGGGACTCAATAAACTAGATATCATTCTATAACTAATTCGCATGAATGACTCAATATATTACATTTGAACAGCAAATAAGTAACCTTCAAGGCAATGCCTAAACCAGTTTCCATACGATTACCATATTGTTGACATCTTAAAAAGGAATTCCCTGACCTTGTCCACTAAACGGTTTATCCGTTCCTGTCTCTGGGCTGTCCTAAATGTATGAAACGGACTGTATGCATACTCGTTAATAGGGAAATGCATTTGTTTTACAACAATATGAAAATGACTTAAAGCCAGCGCGTGCCGATTGTGGGGAAAATGCGAAATTTTTAGAGAGATGTGATGTGAAACCGCAGCCCAAAGGCAGTCAAAGGCAGTCAATTGCCATCAATTACAATTAATTCGAGAGTATTGCATGTTAAGTGACCCACAAGGTCAGCCCCTGCCCCCCTAGCGAACACCAATCAGGCCTTAGCTAATCGCCCAATCAATCCGATCCACCCAAACAGAATTGCCCGTGTGGAATTACGATGGCAGCTCGTGCTACCAGGCCGAGGGATCCAACTCGGACACCTACCTGTACCCGGTGGCCATCTACAAGGATCCCTTCCGTCGCGGCAACAACATTCTGGTGATGTGCGACACCTACAAGTTCGATGGCACCCCCACCGACACCAACAAGAGGAAGACCTGCCTGGAGGTGGCCAACAAGTGCACCGACGAGGTGCCATGGTTCGGCATTGAGCAGGAGTACACCTTCCTGGACTTCGATGGCCATCCATTGGGATGGCCCAAGAACGGTTTCCCCGGCCCCCAGGGTCCCTACTACTGCGGCGTGGGCGCCAACAAGGTAGGGCCTACGATAAATATTAAACAGCGAACTCTGTAGAACTCTAGGGGGTATGTTCCTTGCTTTAGGTGTATGCCCGTGACATTGTGGATGCTCACTACCGCGCCTGCCTGTATGCTGGCATCAAGGTGTCCGGCACCAATGCCGAGGTGATGCCCGCCCAGTGGGAGTTCCAGGTGGGACCCTGTGTGGGCATCTCCATTGGCGATGACTTGTGGATGGCTCGCTTCCTGTTGCACCGCATCTCCGAGGAGTTTGGCGTGAGTAGATCAGAGCCCACATTCAAAGGAGGTTGCCCAGGACTCATGTGGCATCTCTCGTTTCTCTTTGCTCTTTTTGCGATTGCAGATCGTGTCCACTTTGGACCCCAAGCCCATGCCTGGCGACTGGAACGGTGCCGGCGCTCACACCAATGTCTCCACCAAGGCCATGAGGGAGGATGGCGGCATTCGGGACATTGAGAAGGCCGTGGCCAAGCTGTCCAAGTGCCATGAGCGTCACATTCGCGCCTATGACCCCAAGCAGGGACAGGACAATGCCCGTCGCCTGACCGGCAAGCACGAGACGAGCTCGATCAATGACTTCAGCGCTGGAGTGGCCAACCGCGGCTGCAGCATACGCATTCCCCGTGGCGTCAACGATGATGGCAAGGGCTATTTCGAGGATCGTCGCCCCAGCTCCAACTGCGATCCCTACTCCGTGGTGGAGGCCATCTTGCGGACCATCTGCCTGGACGAGTAGAGGGGGACGAGGCACCATTCTACATCTCTATTCAGCATTAATTGTTGCCCTGTTATTGATTTCTAATTTGTTGTTAACCCATCGATACACGATCCACTGATCCATTGACCCGCGCCCGCACCCGTACCCGTACCCGAACCCGACACCTGACACCCGGCAATCCGAACCGAAAAAACCGGACGCGGAAACGGACCCCGTCTCGGCGGGAGCTACATAACATATATGTATACCGTTAGACATTAGTCGTAGGCGCAATTCAATTTACCTAACGTATCTTCCCCACTGAAGTTCCTGAAGCTGAAGGCAGGACCTAGAAACAGAATTACGATAAAATACTTCTCGCTAAGAATTTCCAATCCTTTTTTTTTTGTTTGTTTTTTCTAGCTTCTGTTGTTAGGTTTTAGTGTGAGGTTGTGTTTTTTTTTTTTGTTTGTTGAAGAAGGATCAGCAGTATATATGGTTAACGAGTAGAGCAAGAATCCAAAAAGATAGCCCACCCTTGAGTGGGTGACGCCCCCATAAAAGAACATAAAGCTGTAGCATCAAACACTCCCCCAGACCCCATCCCTATAATTGTTAATGATATTAATTAATTACGCGTAATCCTAAACTACATACAATATACTCTCTAGTTAAGTAAATGCACTAAAAAATAAACAAAAAAATACAAAAAGTATACAAAATAACAAAAGTAGTTTCATTGCCAAAGGATCCACCTCATATGCACACTCAGATGCTAAATACAATTCAAATACGAGTCGTGTTCCTAACGAGATGTTCAAACGTTTGGGCGATGAATGGGAGCGTGTCGAAAACAAATATTTTCACTAGTTGAACGCTCCAATTTATAAAGTCACTTGCAAGACTTATTGTTTGACCATATTAGCATCTTCAAATACGAGTAGTACCTTAGCCCCTTAGGAAAATATTTCTCATAGAAAGGATTGCCTAAGATAAAGATGGCTCATTTGCATAGACTGTCTATAGATCTTTAGGGAGTATCTGGAAGCCTTAAACTTATCCCTTCCTTTAGAATTTGATGGCACTTCTACCCTGAATGCAAGAATATTCCAAGCCTCTAATATTTCGTGGGGATCTTTCATTCAGTGCTCGACAGAACGTGCGACAGATGTACACAGTATACAGTATATTGTAGATTAAACTGAAGTTCAGTGTGAGGTTCATTGGCTGCTCTGTTTGCTGAACGACAGACAGTAGTAGCCCCCCACAAGTCCCCACCGATAAGCAACAAAATTGCATCATCAAATTTCATTACAGCTTTTTGGGGTTTTATTTTTTTGCTTCTCATTTTTATTTATTTAATACTAAAAGTTATAACTTTGATTTCGCTTTGTATTACTGATTTACTCTCGTCTTGATTTTTGTGTGTTTGAGTTCAATATTTTCTGTTTCGGTTTCGGTTTCAGTTTCTATTTCTGTTTGCATTTCCCACCGTTGTGTCGTCACATCTCATGCTCTTCTATCGTTTATATTGATATAGTTATTGGTTGTATATATATAATGTGTATAACACTATTTTTTGCTGTATTTTGTATACTACTTTGTTACCATTTTGTGACTTGTGTGAACTTTACCGAGTTTTTCTCTGATGATGATCAACAATGTGTGAAAATAATCGTAATTGTAATACTTAATTGCAAATCAAACTAAACATTGAAGGTACTGCCGACCATATGCCTTTGCTTTGCCTTACTTAATGGAAGCAGTAACTGATTTATTTGCCTTTAATACAATATATATGTATATGCATATACTATATACTGGTATGTGTACTCATGTACTATATGCTAATTAATTGCATTCAAAGGAGCTGGGAGGGTCAACAAATCGTCTCGTCTCGTCTCGTCCAGAAGTCATTGGCCAGTGTCCCAGTCAGTAGAATTGATAAACTGCAAAGTCTTAAAGCATTTATCAAATCGAACAACAGACAGACGACATCCAGACAGGCAGAGGGGATTGGGGATTGGGGATTGGGCCAGCGAAAAACGTGTACAAATGAAATCCAATCAAGGGTTCAATAACTCCCCGGGGCTATGAGTCACAGTTAAGTGTGGGTCAATTGTTTGATTAGCAATTCGCACCCCAGCATTTAACCCATTGACCAGGCTATCTGTTTCTCTGTATTGTGTGTGTGTGTGGTCAATCAGTTAACGCCAGCCCCAAGCCTCTAGCCAAGTCTAGACTTTGGACAAACTGTGAACAGATGATGTGCGCTGTCAAACAAATCCAATTGCAAGTCAGTCCATATATGTGTGTATATAGAATCTATCATAGATATAATTTGTGCCATCGCTTGCCATAACATAAATACACAATTAATTCTAGGTTGCGCCTGGCCTGGGCGTGCCGCAGAAATATACAAACATACAATCAAAATTTAATACATATTTTATAAGAACAAAAAATTCTAATAGTTCAGCAAAAGTTGGGAACGAAAACACTACATGCCTACAGCATTACAATATGGTAGTCGTACTTAAAAGATTATAGTATTACATATAACAAAGTTTTGTGACACTTTTTACGACACATACATCTAGCGAATATTTAGCGATTGTATTTCACTTATCCGTAGTATGTATGTATGTTTGTCATGCAGGGCAAATGCAATCCTAAATGGAATTATACAAAATTAAGTGTATTCTTCTCTATGTACGTCTTCCTCGTATAAGTAACAAACCTAAGCACTGATAAAAATAGTTCGAACAAAATTGGAAACAAAAAGAACTTAAATATTGCACATGGATAATATAACACTCAACCTGAAGTATTTGTGTGCGAGCAATCGCCTGTCGATCGATTCATTATTTTAAAATAATCATTAATTGGTAGCTGGTTTATCGCGCTTATGTTTGTAATCGTTTATTGATAGCTAGTCTATCGAGTAATCGCTAGTTGTCTTTGCTCGTTTATTGAGAGCTGTTTTATCGAGTCCCATTGCTTATTAAATCAAATGTTGACAAAATAATCGGCTAATCGTCTCATCTTCGACTAGTTGTTTTCATATAATAGATGAATGGAGTATTCACTTATTCATAAATTGTTTTTATCGATTAACAATGGTCTCAAGGGATTGCTTGCCGTTTCTCGATTAACCATCTGCCAATCAAATTCCTCTTCGATTGCTCGCTCTTGTCGCCTATCCATTAATATCTTTCATCGATTACTCGATTCCTGCATTGCACAAGCTGCAAAATGGGATTTACATCGGTTTAAGTGTAACAAGGAACCATATCTATAATGTTGGCTAACGCGAATGTCAACTAAATATCGTCAGAATATCGCAAGAGTTTTATATATCGTAATTGTTATCGTAATATCGTTCTTGGGGGTATTGTTGGTGCGAAAGTTCTTGACTTGGGGAATTGGGATTGTGCGCCACCTCTCTCCGTGGTTCTTTCACATTTTCTGTGTTTGTGTTTTGTTTTTTTTTCACTATTTTGAATAGTTTCTGGTTTTGTTTTTCTTCTTGCATTTGATTCTGCATTTGGCAACGCTTGTTTTTGTGTCTTTCGCACTTGGTTGTATTTTAGTTGTAGTTTTTTTTGTTTGTTTAAGATTTAGATATTAGATTTACATAGGGGATCCTACTACAAATTCACTCTAGACATATCGTAAATATCGTTCGTTCTAAATTGATGAAATCATAATACACACAAATGATATTTGTGGAATTCTGTAATGACAATTTGAGTAAACATTTTAAAAAATCTTGATGTTGCCTTAAAACGCAATCTACTTTCGCTTAAAACTTACATTTTAATTTATGTTTAGGAATGGGGGAGGATTACATAAAAATGCTCTGCTAGTATATCTAGAGGAGACTCCCTCTCGTTTTCTCTGGGATCAATGTACAAAAGTGTTATATATAAATCGTTTTGATTGGGATTTTCAATAAATAAATATGAGAGTGTGTGTGTTTGTGTTTGGGGATAATAAAACATAACAGCAATAGAATTTAAAATAAAAAAAAAAAAATATTACAAATAATCATAATATGGGTATTCTTATCATTATAAAATTTAAACGAATATTATACATAAATAATATGTGTGGCTTTGATTGCAACTACTTTTGAAGTTACTCTTCCATCATGCTGTAATCTTAACCAATATCTCCACTTTCTTCTTCCCGATGCCCGATTCTGCTCCTTCCGCTTCTGCTTTGTGATCACAGGCATGTGTATAGCATATATAAATATTGTTTTATATATTTTAGATCGGCTTGTGCTTCGCTCTCTTCCTCTCTCTCTCTCTCTCTCTCAACACATATAGCAGTAAATGTATATGGCTGGGAGAGAAGTGTATCCTGTACTGCCCCTGATATTTCCTTCCCTTCTTGTGGCTGATGTTGTGAATGTTGTCGTGTGGCTGATTTGTTTTTTGGTTATGTCGACAGCTCCGTGCTACCACGCCGCACCATATTGAGTTCGCTGAAGTCCATCTCTGTCGATTCAATCGATTGGATCGATGCACTACGTAGCTTTGTGCTCGGAAATTTGCCGCGACTCTTCACCGCCGTCAACTGTTTGGAGATCGAAAAGAATTCATCAGTTCAAAGATCATTAAAAGGAGTATAATTTATAGAAAAACAACGATATAATTATAGAAGCTATAATTTCTATAGAAAAAGCACTTGGATTTTGAATACCTTTGCAGGGGCTATAATGCATTTGAAGCATTCTAATAATTATTGTTGGAACTGCTCAGATTTCTTGGACTAAATCAATCTTTAGCGATGACGCTGTGATCATTTAAAGATAATCTCTAAGCCTCTCTTGTCTTAAAACAAAAAGCAACTTGAAAAGAATGTGGAAACCCCCAGTTGTTTATTTATTCCTAATTTGTTTTAAAATATTCTTCCATATACCAAAAATCAAGCATGAAATACATTATTTCTGTGCCTTCTGTGTTTTTTTGTTCATTTTCATTTTATTCCTAATGGAACTATATAGAGATTATAGACTGTATTTCCCAATGGAGTTGTTCTTTCTTTCTATTATGTTGTATGTGCATATATTTTGCTTTCATACTCTTTGTTTTCTATATCTTGAGCTTGTCAAATGATTTGAAATAAAGTCTGCAAATGGTATTCAAAAATCGAGCTATTCCTTCTTATTTTGTATGTTTTTTTGCATGCCAATAATAACTGTGATTGATTTAGATCTTAAGAGATAAACAAAGATCGGTCTATTTATATACTATGTTCGTGCTTTAAATACTTATTTTAGTTTATTAATTACTATTTAGGTCAGATAAGAGCAGGCATGCAGGCGTGCAGAATAGCAATATTTATATAGCAAAATGTTTTGCATCAAATAAATCACTCCCAACAAAGTGAGCGTCAAGGTACGGTACGAGTAGATGAATGTAGTATGTTGATCGATTCAAGTATGGATTCCAAAGCTGCTGTTAAATGTATGACAAGGTAATAAACAACATCATTGTGTCAAAACATCATATCAAACTGTCAGAACAGTGTGTCAAGACAACGATTAGAATGCGTCACTACGGGTATAAATATACAGACAAACATATGCGCATATGCTTAAATAAACAAGCAAAAAAACAAAAGTTGATTTCACTGAGAAACAAGTGGAAATCAATTGCATTCTAAAGATAGAAGTACTTCTAAATCAATTCTAAAAACATATCTGATCTACGAAGAATGCGAAAGAAAAAGGTTCAGGTCTACGCTTAAGGAAACGGTTCATGTCAACGCTAAAGGCAATGGTTGGTGTCTAAGCTTTGGCAAAAGCTTCCATTTAGCAAGATAGCAAGAGAGAGCTAGAGAGAGAGAGAGAGAGAGAGGAATGATGGGAATGGAATCACGTTTCATGTTCATGCAAATATGCTAGGAAGCTAGGAATAGAAGGAGAACATGCAACATGCAACTGTGGCGCATATGGGATCTATAGAGGGGATACAATGCTACAGATAGTACGTATACGCCATGCCTAAAATATTATCAGCAGTTTTTCATAAAGACCTGTCGTATCTTGCTGACGTTTTCGAATTTAGCTTTTGTCGGGTGTTGCATGGTAATTGAGTTTAGGATTAGTTTTACTTATGGGTTTGATGAATCTTTTTTCGGTTTATGTTTAGGTTTTCCTTTTTTTTCGTTTCGTTTTTTAGCTTCTTCGTTTCATTTCGTTTTCATTTTGTTTTTTTGTTTTGTTTATTTGGGGATTACAAATTTAGTTTAGCTTATCCATTTCCACGGCTCAGTGTCGGGGCTGGTTATTGGCGTGGGAAACTATAAGTAAACCGACGACAATGAACAATATTTTTTATTGTTTCGTTTTGAACTGAACAAGATTCAATGGGGAACAACAAGAGAGATAATCATCGGGGCTTACACAGCACACAAACGTAGATCAAATGGGTATACAAAAAACAAAGAGAAACAAGAGAAATTGAAACAAAAGAAAACGAATGCAAATAAAAATGAGCTTGAAGGGAGAGAGAGAGGGGGGGTGTGTGCTCTGCTCCTCACAAGATTTTGATCTAGTTTGGTAGAGCTTTAAGCTCTTTTAAGCCTGCTAGAGAGTGGATCCACAACATTTATGGGTGTAAATTATAGCGGAAGGGAGTGAGTTGCTTTCAAGAGTAGCTTGATCGAGCTTGAAAGAGCTTTCTGGTCCTTGATCAAGGGTTGAGGAGCTTTCTGTGACTTTTTCTTGGCGTGATTACAGCTTTCTTAAGCCCTGATCCTTGATCGAAATTCTAACAGCTCTCGGTTCTTCGATGAAGCCTTCTTAAGCCCTCTGCAGTGAAGGCACACAACGCAAATAAAGCTGGAATGTGTGTGCTCCTAGAACACCTTTTTTTATTCCAGAAAGAACACACAGGTGCACAGAGAAGCAGTGGTTTGGTTACAGGTGACAAGAAATGAGCCAACGAAAGAGCACAAAAACTCATAACAAAATAAAAAGATCAACAGTGAATGGGCATTGGGTGGGGGTTGGTTAAAGGTTAGCTGTTAACTGTTAGCATTTTGCAGGGGGGAGTAGGAGGCTTCTCCACTCTCTTACCTCCGCCTTCATGTCGGCCAGCCTGTCCTGCAGGTCGCGCACCTTATCCGATTCATCCAAATTGGCACGCAGTTCGCCCTCGGCCAGCATTTCCGAGTTCTGGTTGAGAGTACAAAAAGAGGGAGTTCAGAGAGGAAAAGGACAGAGAGCACACAGCCTTTACCTTGGTCTCCAGTCGGGATATTTCCTGTTTCAGTTCGGCCACCGTTTGGCTCTGTTCCGTGAATTTGATCTTCACATTCATCAGTTCATCCTTCATACGAGATTCCAGATCCGAGTATCTGTAGGGGCAAGCGAAATGTTTGTACACTCTGTACTGTGTGGATCTGGGGATCTGGGGATCTGGGGATCTGTGGATCTATCTGTGCCCTCACCTGTGCTGCTGTTCGCGCGCCTTGTTGGCCATGTCCTTCTCCCGAGTAACGGCCATCTCGAGCTCTTCCTTGAGCTTCTTTTGCTCTTCGTCCTGGCGTCGCAGCTGGTTTGTGGACACCTGCACCTGGGTCTCCAGCTCCATGACCTTGAGGCGCAGCTCCTTCAGCTCGGTGAGGGTCTCCATCTCCCGTATCCGTGTCGTCATCAGCTCCTCCTCGAGCTTCTGCGTTAGCTCGCTGGACTTGGAGCCCTCAAAGAAGTTGGTCAACAGCTTCTTGGGCGTCGAGTCCAGAGCTTGGGTGTTCCGCTCGCTCTCGCTGCGCTGATTCTCGGCCAGCTGGCGCTGCCACTGAGAGCTGAGCTCCTGAACCCGCTGCTTGAGATCCTTGAGGGAGAGCGAGGCCTCCGCCTCGCGCAGCTTGCTGGCAATCAGTTCGTCCTGCAGATGCGCCACCGAATTGTCCGGCGTTGTCTCGCGCAGTGTCTTCTTGTCCTCCTCCAGCTCCTCGACCTTTGACTTTAGATTCCTGATCTGGTCCTCGCTCTCGGCCAGACCCTGGCGCACCTTCACCAGCTCCTCCAGCAGACAGGAGACCATCTCGTCGCGCTGCTTCAGTGCCTCTTCCTTCATGCACAGCTCATCGATCGACGACTGCCGAGAGTTGTTCTAAATTTCATGGGAAACTCAATCATTAAACTCTATCCATCTATGATTGATCGTTTGTTTTTTTCTTTGTTAGGGCATGCGGTGACAGGTGTTTGGTTATGATACAAATGATACTCCGACTATGGCTTCTACAGTTACAGCTACAGCTACAAATGATACTAGGGCTTCCAAAGATACAGATACTTATGATTATTTATGTTTGAACGTACGCGTAAGTACCCCACATACCCCGGGTTCGTTTAGTTCTTACAGAAAGTATATTAAGGATCAACGATCCAGAGAGGGACCATGCCTTAGGCACCAATTATTTCTTTATTTAGAGGCACACAAGTCCCTGAAGGAGGAGACACTGTCAGTGCCTCGAAAAAAAACGTTTTAGCTGGGATTTTCTGTCATGTTTACAGGGTATTTTCCTCTGTTGGTTGTTCATGAATTTACCACGAAACTATTTCCTTCGGTTCCGTGTCATCTATGTATCTCCTTCTTTTGGTTGTCCGTTATTCTTGTGCTTTGCCCATTCGGTTGCTGTGAAACAGCGTGTATTGAGAGACTCGCTCAGAGAGGATTGTAAATATAAAAGAATAGACACTAGAAGCGTATCTTTAGAGCTTGCTTTGCAGCTTCATTTGGTCATAAAGAACCTTCAAGGGATCACAAGACTATAGAGTATACAAGAATAAGCCTATAACTAATGAAAATACACAAAAAAGCATGCTCAACAGATTTATCGGGAATGGAATTCATTTGGTTTTGGAGGCAGGCAGGCATTGGGTAAGGCATTAACTACAAGACAATGTTTATTCTCTTTTTTTGGAGTTACTTACGCTGTCGATGGATACATTCTGTATGTTTTTTTTTGCATTTGGGGTGTGTATTGTTTTTGTTTTTGATTTGATTAAAGCGAACATTTTGTGTGTGAAGCACCACAACCATAAAGGAAATCAAATAAAATGGAAAAGAACACAGAAGTACAGATTAGCAACATATTCCGTTTTAGTTACAGGTTTCAATCGATAAGAGTGAGAGGTAGAGGCGGAAGACAGGCGATGGCAGGGCGGGCGACTGTACTTACATTCTCCTGCAGCCGAAGACTGAGACCACGAACCTCTTCGTTGGCATTCTCCAGCTGGTGCGAGACCTCCAGATAGGAGCGTCTCAGCTGCATCAGTTCCGTTTGAATGGCATAGCTGGGGGGGAGAAATAAGGGGGAAAAGATTATGAAGGAGATGATCTCTCTTTTTCTCTCTCTCTGGCAATCCCTCACCTTGTTTCCTCCTCTTCGGCCCGTGAGACCTGACCCCGCACCAGGCGATCGGCCAGCTCTGCACTCTCAGCCTCAAGCAAATCATTGCGCTGCTTCAGCAGACAGTTCTCGCGACGCAACCGCCGCAGTTCGACCATCTCCTCCTGCTCTTTCTTCTTCAGGTCCTGATACTCCTTCTCCATCTTCTTCATGCGCTTTGTGTTCAGCTTCTGGGCGTACGCGAGATTGAAGAAACCCTCCGGGTCGGCCTCCACACGGCCGGGCAGCTCCTTCTGGAAGAACTTGAGCATGGCCTCCATGTCCAGGCAGAGGAGCGTCTCCTTGCCGGTGAGGAGGAGGGCCAGGGCCACCTTGAAGATGAACTCCATGCCCTCGCTGAGGAAGACGTCCATGATGCGGCAGCTGAGGTTCACGTTCAGCGTGGTCGTGTAGAGGGTGAGGAACCAACTGGAGGCGTACATCGTTGTCTGGAAGCCCTGCTGCTGGAAGTGTATGTGCATGTCGGGTATCTGCTCCTGGACGAGATTCTCCAGCTGGTACATGCACAGGCCCAGCTCGGACATCGACGGCTTGAACATGTGCCGCATGCGATGCTGTTGCATGATCTGCACGAGCACCGCGAACGCCTCCTCCTCGGGCATCTGCATCAGCAGCAGGCCGACTATGAAGCCGGAGCCCTGGCAGTAGCCCACCTCGCGATCGTGCAGCGAGTAGGCCTTGATCACATTGAACAGTGCCTCCTGGCCGGGCCCGTCCTTCTCCTTGAAGAAGTCCACCTCGGGATAGGTGCGTGCAATGTCGCGGCGTATCACCTTCTCGCAGGCACTCGTCGCCTTGATGTACTCCGCGTACTGCTTCTTGTCCGCCTCCGACGCCGTGCTCAGCTGTTGCCACACGATCGCCCGGAAGTGGTGCGGTATGCCGCGGCGCACCAGCTCGCGCACGCACGGATTCTTGCGCTTCAGCGCCCCATCCCAGTCGTTCAGAATGGTGGCCCACGTTGTCCAGATGTCCTCCTCGGCCACGGAATTGCCGCCTGCCAATAACGAAACGGGTTAGGGGGGCCCCACACATTTAATTAGTTCTGAGTTATAATGGGGGGACGGGCCGGTTCTGGGTTATCATACGTCGAATTTGAGATAATTTATGCATTAAATGGAATGCCATTGGAATTGATTCGTGGCCTGTAACGCCCAGGTTCCAAATCTAATGGAAAGCAATCTCCTCTTCCAATGCGCACGTCTACCTCCCGGGCGAGAGCCGGCAATTGTGGGAGCTAGCTCTCGTCTTTGCCTTTTCCGATAATTTGATAACTAAATGAAACCCAACTACGATAACGATTACCGAACGATTGAAGCTATTCGGAAATGGCAAAGCCCTTAGAATAATCGATTTATGGGAAAAGGGAGCTCTTCCTTTGATAACTAAATGAAAGGCGATTACGATTGTCATCGGTTGCGGAATGGGCATGGGGATAGGACAGAGACCTTTACTCTTCTTTCTCCCACAGCGTTACGATCTACTTCTTTAGCAGATTCCCATAAGCGAAAGGACACAAGCTAGGAGACCACATTCGGAGGGGATGGAACAAATACTTACTCGACGTGAGGCTTATCTGACTCGTGTCCGAGTTCTTGCGACTGTGCGTGGAGTGCAACGAATTGAGGGACTTGGCATCGCTCTCGATCAGCTTGTTGGCTGCCTCCAGCTTGGCCAGCAGATCCATTTCCGAGGTGGGCAGACTCTCATCGGCTGTGGGCGGTGGTAGAGTGCTGCTGTTGGGAGTGCCCTTCACATCCATCTTCGTTTGGCTCTCCGGTGTTGAGGCAGTTGTCGTGGCGGTCAGGGTCATAGCGGCGCTGACGGCAACAACGAGCTGCTCGCAGAGGAGTCAAGGCTGGGACTGGAGCGACAGACAGATAGATCTCTGATCGTGTGCGATCTTTCAGTTGATCCCGAGATTCCCGATCCTTTGGCCTAACAGCAACGACACATGATGCTCAATTTCCTCTGTTTGGCGATGCGCTACGTCTCTGGTCGACGTCTCTCTCAACTGCAATTGACATTAATGGAAACATTTCATTAGTTAAAAGAACTAGCCAGACTAAAATCCAAAACAAACAGAGCCTCGCAGTCTTTGGAAAGAGATACCAGTGCTAGAAGAGAGCGAGAGCGAGAGCGAGAGGGAGAGTACTCGTGTTCCCAGTGTGGATTCCCCAGCAGCCCGTCTGTGTTATGTGTTCTCTATGTTGTGTTCTTCCACCTTTTGTTTATATTTCCAGGCGCCCTACAAAACTAAGAAGGATAGCCCAAGGGGAGGGGGTTTGGGGCAAAACAATGGAAAAAGCTGTTGGGGCTTTTTGTTGATTGCGCCCCAAAGCCGTGCTGGCAGATCGCTGGGTATCATGGGGTATATTCATTTTTGGAAAATCCTTATACTCCCACTCCTTAGAGTAGAAGAAGAGTTCAACAGTATAAGAGTCGAGAGGCAGTTCGATCTCCACTCCGAAGCTCCACTGTTCGCTTTTAAGCACAATTCGCAGAGAGAAAGAGAAGGCGTCAAAGCCCCGTATAAGAGTAACAAAAGTTCCATCTTTTTCGCACTTTCCAACTCGATTTTTTCAAATAGCAAGTATAAGAGTTTATTATACTATTATTTTCTTTTGATTTTTGCTCTCTCTCTACTACCGTTTTTGGATACATGGGAGTTCCTTCTTTGCTGTTCCCTTCTCTCCTTGTCCGCAAGAACGACACAACAAAGTAGCGCGGAAAAGCACAGGAAATGTACCGTTTCGAAACGTTATCAAAGTGCTCTACTTCTCTACAATGCCTCACCTCGCAACACCTGCCGCCAAGAACAGTTATCAAAAGCGCAAAGGAGAGAGAGAGAGAGAGAGAGAGCCAGAAAGTGTTTTGCTTTTATTAGATTGGTAAACACACTCGTTTGTTCTTTGCTCTCTTCATTATTTTCTTTTTTTCTTGTTTCTTCTTTTGCTTCCTTTTTTTTCTTTTTTTTTCTTGTTTCTTCTTTTGCTTCCTTTTCTTTCTTTTACTGCGTCTTCTGCGACTTCGGTCAATCAAAGATCGAACCAAAGGAGAGAGAGGGAGACAGAGAGAGAGAGAGAGCGATAAAGAGAGCGCCTTTATTATCGCATCGATGATAACCGAAAGTTTTTTTTTTATAGACTTTTGTTATTTTTTTTGTGATCGATTAATCCGACATTCCTCATTAGAAGAAGTTGTTTTATAGATTGATTATATATTTCCTTTTGCTTGGATTTCACTTTAGTTTCTGGTTTAGATTTGAGACTTGTTTTTTTTTTATGGGTTTCGGGGTTTAAAGATCGATTGGATTACTCTGCTAAACTGCTTTCATTGGCCAAAGCACTGCTTGAATTCCCACCCGCGTAGCAAAACCGAGGGGCACTGCTGCAAAAACGTGCGAATCGAATCATTCGAATCCAGAGCTGGTGCACACTTCGATCATATATAAATGGAACTGAAATAAAACCACAAATACAAATTTTAACACAGATCTACTAGGTAGGTCTGGGTGCCGTATCCACTCTTTTAAGTAAGAACCAAAGTGGTAATTACTATAAGTACAGAATTGTGTAGAAGCCTTTGCTATTCATTACCGAAAGAGAGAGCAGAGGCTGTCCATCTATCTCTCTTGTTGGAGGGCTTTTCACCTAATGGGACTCCCTCTTACCCCATACCTCTTCAACCCCTTATGCGTACCCCTACTCTGGGCTCCCTTTTCAGTTTTTTTTTTTGTTTTCAATGCAATTGAAAAGTATAGTATGGCAGTATATATCATCATGTACATATGTAGGTCAGGAGACGATAGACAGAGACAGAGTGGAAAAGAGCCGGGGTCTGGTCTTTATCGGTCTGTGCAGTCGGTGCAACAACCACTTAAGTGCTGCCACGGAGCCCCCCACACCCCCTTCCTTGTGATCCATCAAAGGCCACATGTTCGCCACAGTTCCCGGTGAGGGAGGGGTGTCTGTGGTCTATCTAGGGGGGTCTCTGGACATTAATTGGCCATGGGGCCACGTGAGTGACTCATTGAGGTGGTGCTTCCCTCCCTCTCGTTGGTGGGTGAATCAACCTCCCATCCAGATACGAGTTCCAGCGTACGCTCTATTATGCTCTGGGTTTGGGTTGTCCTCTAAAGCAGTTCATTTGGAGGAGAAGAACGCAGCAAATTAACCCGTCAAGCAGTGGATTTACAGGCTTAACACCAGTCAAGCAGTAGCTTAAGCTAGACCGCTTATTGTTTCGAATCAACGAATGGACTATATTTATTATCTATCTGCTTTTTGCTTTTTGCAGCTGTGGGGCCTCGAAGCCACCCCCCACACAATTGCCTTATGGCAGCGAAAAATAAAAAATAAAAAAAAAAACTGTCCCCACCAGCAATTTCCAAGCAATTGAACCAATCTCTGTTATTTTTTCAGCTCTGATATCAACAGACGCGCGCAATTAAAAAAAAAAATAAAAAAGAACAGAAATAATCAAAAAAAAAAAAAATATTAAAAAAATACTGCTTAATGTACACCTGGCAAAAAAAGAAAAAAATATTTCCGCAAAAAAAAACAAAAAAAAAACAAAAAAAAAACAAACAAATAAACAAAAAATGGAAATGATTGCGTGTGTGTGTGTGCGTGTGTGTGACTGAGTCACGTTGAAAACCCATGGATAAACGTTAGATAAGATCTGGCAGTCTAGGGTTCAACGTGACGTATACGCAACATGTGTCGCAACATGTTGATACCCCCGCCAGCCGCCTGACATTTCGTTTTGATTGATTAACCCCTTCCACCAATAAGAGAGAACGAGACGGCAGGAGAGTGAGAACAAATTATGAATGAAAGGCAACGAAAATTGCATAAAGAGAGCACCAAAGCATCGAGAGACAAAGAGGCAAAGCGGCGGAGGCGGCAGAGAGAGAGCAGTAGAGTGGGAAAGCTCACACATGCGGCCAAAGCCATGCTCAAGCCGAAGCCCAAGCCTCACTCTCGCTCTCTCGCATTCAAAGTCAAAGGCAAATTGCAGCTTAAGTGTGCAAGAAGGACAGCCATACACACACACGCACACAGTCAGGCCTGCCTGCAGCGTAGACAGTGCCCAAAGCTTGTATGACACTGGATTGCCTGGGCAATTGAATGAGCTGCACTTACACTGATCTAATAGAATTTTCTCAGCTACGGGCTTCTAATAGATATTTTTAATAATTATAACATAGACCCAAACTGTTTCATATCTCAGGCCGGAGTTCCTTAATCAATTGTAATATAATTTTTTCCAAACGTGTTTGAGCTAATTTTAATAATAATTCAATTCAGATCAATAATTTCATATCGACACTTTTTTACATAAAGATCGTAAGTGGAATTTTAAATCGAAAATTGAACTAAAATCTTTAATACATTTAAAATATTATAGCATATTTATATTTATTATATTATTTTTATTTGTATTATATTATTTTTATATATATTTTTTCTCGCTTGCCATCGGTTTTTGTTGTTGTTTTTTTTTTTTACTGAAACTCAAACAAGTGTCATACAGACTTTAGGTTTTGCTTCGATGCATTTCTCTGCCTGTTTGCACACTTAAAGCTTCAATTTTGGCCTTTGACTTTGGCTAAGTGTGCGTGTGTGTGTGAGCGAGTGGTGTCATACAGGCTTAAGTAAGTAATGGGGAGAGAGGAAAAATGTAACAGCACCAGAGTGACAGTTAACACTCTATCTCTCTGGCAGTGTCCGCCAAACAGAGGCTAGACATAGAGTGGGAGCGAGAGAGAGAGAGAGAGAGACAAATATTTTTCGTGCGCCCTGTTTTTGGTTGTTGTTATTTATCGAATGCACGCACGGACGCCCCGACCGCCCGACAGCTGTTTTTAAGTAACAAATAAAATAAAACAAAAATAAATGAGCGAACAGAAGATAAAGACATACTAATATCTCCATCGATACGATACGTGTTGATTAGATTTCGACACTACACTAAAACAACAACAAATAAAGCGCCCAAGATTGCGCCAGTGTGTGTGTGTGTGTGTGTGAAAGCAACAGCAACAGCAACCGATGTGCAAATCGTAAAATCTCCATTAAAAATAAGGTTAGTGTTCACCCTCGCCCACGGGTCGACTTCAGTACGAAAAGCGCGCAGGAAGCGATCGGTACGGAACGGCACGGAACGGTGCGAAGCGACAAAACGACAAAAAAAAAAAGTAACGCACACACGAAAGAGCGTAAGCTCCGACGGGCATGAGATCGCATGCAGACAACACAATTATTATTATTAAATTTAATAGAAAACACCTACACACATTAATATAATAACGTAAATAATAGCACAAAAAAAAACACACACACACAAAATAAAAATATACCAAACGGGTTTCAAACGCTCTTTTCGGCTCCCTGCTGGCCAGCCTGCTGCCCAGGCTCTCTTTTCACCGATCTTCATTTTGCGCCATCCACTATTACGGTTTGTTCGTGTTTGGTGTTGCTGTTGTTGTTGTTGTTTTTTTTTTTGAGTGTTAAAGACAAAGACAAGGTCAGAAAAAAACTCCACTCGAAAAGAGAAGGGGATTTACAACGGTGCACAAAGTGCAGAAACAGAGAGAGGGAGAGTGGGAGAGAAACAAACTTCAGCGAGAGAGAGAGAGAGGGGAGTCATAGACGATCTTCAGAGAGCCAGCGAACGGGAGAGTGAGAGAGCCTGCCCATGACAGCGACAACGGAAGCCGTGGCCGCCACCACACCCGTCCAGGAGCAGCTCGACGGCAAGAGCATGCCGTCCCTGCCCTCCACACCCACATCGGCCTCGTCGGAGACGAGCCAGGCGTTGAGCGAGATCTTCTTCGTGGAGAGCAGCCGTCGCAAGCACAGCATCAAGATCCAGGTGAAGCTCTGTCCGGAGGGCGTGTACCTGCGGCGGGAGACCGACCAGGATGATCACATCAACGAGCAGCTGATACGCATCGACGACATCATTGGCTCCCGGTTTGGTCCCCGCCTGAAGAAGCGACCACGTGGCGGCCTCAATTCGTGCAAGAATCCCAGCGGGGATGCGACGCAGGAGCAGGAACAGCAGCCGGATCGGGACAACAGCGCCTACCTCTACATCTATGCGTATCTGAAGAAGGAGAAGCCTCTGCGCCGCGTACAGACGCTGCGCATCCTGCGCTTTCGCTCGAGCAACGACTATGCGGAGAATCTGCAGACGGCAGAGCTCTGGCATCGCACCATACGGGAGCACAAGCAGCGCAACAGCACCACCATCGACATCAACGGCTCCGTATTGGGCGCGGGAGCGGTCGCGGGCTCTGTCAAACACCTGTTGATCCTGCTCAATCCGAAATCGGGCTCGGGCAAGGGCAGAGAGCTCTTCCAGAAGCAGGTGGCCCCGCTGCTGACCGAGGCGGAGGTCCAGTATGATCTTCAGATCACAACGCATCCACACTATGCGAAGGAGTTTGTGCGCACCCGTAAGGATCTGCTGGAGCGCTACTCGGGCATTGTGGTGGCCTCCGGCGACGGGCTCTTCTACGAGGTCCTCAACGGTCTGATGGAGCGCATGGATTGGCGTCGCGCCTGCCGCAATCTGCCGCTCGGCATCATACCCTGCGGCAGCGGCAATGGCCTGGCCAAGAGCGTGGCCCATCACTGCAATGAGCCGTACGAACCAAAGCCCATCCTTCATGCCACGCTCACGTGCATTGCTGGCAGGAGCACGCCCATGGACGTGGTCCGTGTGGAGCTGTCCTCCAGGGACAAGCACTATGTGATGTACTCCTTCTTGTCCGTGGGCTGGGGCCTCATTGCCGACATTGACATCGAGAGCGAGCGTCTGCGGTCGATTGGCGCCCAACGGTTCACACTGTGGGCCATCAAGCGGCTCATCTCGCTGAGGTCCTATAAGGGCAAGGTCTTCTATCTGCCCTACCCAAAGGAGGAGAAGGAGGAGCAGCAGGAGCAGCAGGAGACTGCCCAGACTGCAGCTGCCCCCCAGGAGAAGGAAACTCAACGGCAGCTGCCAGTGGAGGAGCAGGCGCCACCAAGCAGGCCTGTCTCATTGCCGCTCAACGTCAACGGCGATGTCAGCGAGGAGAGCGAGTTCAGGGATCTGCCGGAGGACCTCAACGAGGAGTCCGAGACGGACCCGGACCAGTTTGCCGATGCCCTGTCCATGGATCGTTCCATCTTTCGCCAGCACGCCGACAGCTGGCACTCGGCCATGTCCCGCCGGACCGCCTACTATTCGGTGGGGGGCCAGAGCATCCGATCGAATCGCAGCCGGATGAGCGTCTCCCAGAGGATTGAGGCGGCCAATGCAGAGTTTGCGGAGCTAGTGCCCTCGGGCACAATACCGGGACTGCAGCTTCCGTTGCCTGCCGCCGATGGATGGTGCTGCGAGGAGGGGGAGTTCGTGATGGTGCATGCCGCCTACACGACGCACCTGTCCTCCGACTGCTACTTTGCGCCCGAGTCGCGGCTAAACGATGGCATCATCTATCTGGTGATCATCCGCAGCGGCGTGGGGCGCCACCAGATGCTCAACTTTCTGCTGAGCATGAACACGGGCACCCATTTGCCGCCCGGCGGCGATGATCCCTTCATTCGGGTGGTGCCCGTCAAGGCGTTCCGTATCGAGCCGAGTGCCAGCGATGGCATCTTAGTGGTCGATGGCGAGCGTGTCGATTACGGGCCCATACAGGCGGAGGTGCTGCCAGGACTGATCAATGTGATGACCACCAATGGACAGTGAGGATGTATCGGATAGCGATAACGATAACGATAGCGATATATCGATCAAGTGATCAGAGCTATGGGACATTACAGATCAGATAAAAAGAGAACAGTACTATAAGCATTTGTCGATAGTTGCCTACGTTCGATAGCCATTAATCGATCATCAAATGTATACGATGTATTTGCGTAAATTTAATCGATTACTATCGAATTTGCGATCACCGAAATTGTATGCAAAATTGCAATTATTCGATAAAACAAAACAATTTTAAATGTATTATTAAAAATCGATAGGCGACCTTATGGTACATATCGATAACTTATGATACATTATCGGTGTAATCGATAAATAATCGATACACAAAAATCGATCAACCACAACCAACGAAATTTATGTATACGATATTCAGCTTTAAACCGATAATTGATAAACTTACGATTTAGCTAAGACACATTCAACAGATCGATTTAATCGATAACCGAATGTACAACCCTAGTCTAGGATTACAATTTGAATATTTGTTTGCCTAATGGACTGTCCCCCGCATTCGATACACAAAAATTCATGACATTAATCGATAGCTAAATCTAATAAAAAAAAACTATGACGTATGTATGTATGGATGGAGGGATAAATATTTATGTATATTCTTTTATATGGGATAAACGCTAAACACTATTCGATACCTGCCTTCAGAGCTACTAGATCTGCACAAAGATCCACCCAGAAAGGGAACAAACACTTAAAGAATCGATTAAGTATTTTTTTTTTTTGCCAATTGTTAATTATTTTAAGACTAAGAATCAATAAAGATAGCGGGAACAGAAGAACAAAACCAAAAACTAAAATCAAAAAATACATAATGTGAATTTTGTTGCCTTGGAAACGATATGTCTCACGCTTTTCATCCGGTTGCATGGCGATCTTTATCGATATCAGTGCCCCTGGGGCACGTAATCGGTCCGATGTTCAAGTGGCAGAGGTGGGCCATTAAAATGCAAACGTAGACGACCAGATATGCCAAAAGGGATTACCGAAAGCACGAACAATTTTTATTAATAAAAAATAAAAATAAACAAGCACCACCAAGCAGTGAAAGCTCTGTCCCGCTTAGAGCTTTCACTGTATCTCTGAGAATCGACATATCATATCAGAAATTATCTCTGACAGGTACTTAAGCAATTCCTGGAATGACAGTGCAAACGATGGGTTGGTTGTAATGCCGATAGGATCTTCAATGGAAATAGAAACGGGTCACTCTCTACAAAATGTACTCCCCAGAGTGCTGCCTTCAAAGAGGTCTACAATATCAAGGGTGCTGTCCATCGATCGATAATATTTATCACCTTATCAAAAACTCATGTACCTACGGAGTACACTCGGCAAAAGAGTTAAAGAATGGTTGCAACGTTTTCAGGGCATACTTTTAGGCAACAGTGTTACGTTCTGGCGTTCGATCGGCGAAACAACTATCTTCATCTGTGGGGATTCAACGGCATTGCGCCTCACGGAATAAGCAGTGCGTCCCATCACCGGTTGGAAAGACCGTTATTGACGTCACTGTCTGCCTTCTCTTCGATGAGAGCACCCAATGCCTAATAGGCTCTTTTGTTTCGTCATTCGAGTGTACAGAGAGAGAGAGAGAGAGCGAGAGAGAGAGCGAGAGGCAGAGGCAGAGCGGACATGTCATTCGAGCAAGTGCTGTTTCATGGCGATAATTGTGCGACAGTCACAAATCAAACGAAATCAATGATTGCCAGCCATAAAAGAAATGCAAGAGTGAGTGTGTGGGATTTTGTGGGATGGCAGGAAGCTCAACCCCTCTCGAAACCCTATTCAAAGAGAACCAGTGTTGCACAAGACCGAGAAGGAGCTTAAATTTGATTTGATGAAAGACGTAGCCTTCAAGCATTAAATAGCGTCGTCTCTTTCATTTCGAACTTCAAGAAAAGGTCGCAAATTGAAAATACTTGAACATTGAAGAGTTTCCTTTTGTTTAACCATTTAAATGATAGACCATTACGATGGTGGACCCTCTTCATGCACCCATGAGCTTGCCCCCGTTTTTGTTTTTGTTTTTTATTGGGTGCAACGTTTGCTGTTTGCGCCACTTGTCTTCTCTGCGAAAAACACTTGAGCAAACCCCTCCATGTGTATTCAGACCATGGAAGTGCACACTCGTGCAGATATTTATGCACTATTTCCAGTCTAATTCATTCATAAAAAGTTCTCCTTCTTCGGCCACTTGCCGCGCACGCCACACTTAATGTGTGGCTCGGCTCTCTGTCAGTGGATGGACGGCTGCCACAGGGGGAGACCGAAACCCCCACTCAAGGCTTGAGTACCCACACATTCGTAGGCACACGCCCACAGCTGCGGGTCATTCGAAACGTTTTCGTCGAGCCACAAGTGGGAGAGAAGGAGAGAGAGAGGGAAGGGCAACCACTACGGGGAGGTTGTTTTCAGTATTCCAAAGAATTGAAGGCCCCTTGGAATGTATGCCATAAACTCCTCGTCATGCACACGACATGTATGCGAATGTCATGCATTTCGGCATGAACTCGCTTCTGGGCCACGTTTGGCGCAGAATACATCTCAAAGCAATGACGCAATAACGTTCTCTCTCTCTTTTTTTTAGTTTGTTGATAACAACAAAAAACATCATTTTATGACCGCAACTGTATCTACAAGTGTGTATATATTTATATCTTTGTGTACCGCAAAATACTTGTTTTATGCCTCCAGTGTGTGCGTCGGTGACAACCGTTAGAGGCGCGCCGCTCTGCGCCCACAGTCCACAGACGAAAGTCTTTTCTGTGCACTCATTTTGGTACTCATTCGCTTGTGGGGTATTTACGATCCATTCTGGCGTTTGGCATCGATCGGGGCACATATGGAAACGAAACGGAAGGCAATGAATGGTATTGGAACGGTATGGCAACGTGAAACAGAAGGATTTCTGTGATCTGTGTGCTCGGTGTTCCATTACCGCTCTCTATTGCTCTCTGCTCTCTCTTTCTCTCTCTCTGTCTCTCTCTCTCTCTCTCTCTCTCTCTCTCTCTCTCTCTCTCTCTCTCTCTCTGAAGTTCTGAATCGCTATACTCTCTGCATATAGGGCATCAATTGCTTCGGCCTCACACAGCCACCTCCATCCGTCCCGTCCCGTCCCGTCCATCGCTGCTCTGATGCCAAGATATGCCGATTAGTCAGAAACCTGATGGTGAATATTTTACGCTAACATTTGGTCCTCTGCCTGCCCCTCCCTCTCTCTTTAGACGCTGTTTTTTCTCTTTTTTTTTTAAACCAAATGAATAATACATTGGATGACCCACCTGCCGGCGGTGGAGCAGCATTTGGGGGGGAAGTTCAGTTGTTTTATTGCTAATTTTAAGCGCTCAGTGCATTCACGAGGCGCATTTTGAGGTTTGAGTCAGTGTTTGGTACAGTCCCGGCGGCATTTGGTAAATCTCAAGTCTTGATATACCCCAAAAGTGATATCACTGTGTCCCTGTCCGTTGCCTGTGTGGGGCTTTTGTCCCCAATGTAATTTAAGCTTCAATCATCAAAAATGTATGAATGCCACGCCCACGCCCACACACACACACAGACACAGCCACAGCCACAGACACAGACAGCCAAGCCCTGGGCCAAACACTCTCATTAACCCAATTTGAATTGTTTACCCACTGGGGAGGAACAAACATTCCACTACACCGCCCTCCACCCACCACCCACTGCATTGGGGACGAGCCCTTGGCAAAGGCTTTGACGTCAGCCAAGCACTCGATTACGGTGGAGCTTTGCATAAAACGAACAAGTACACAGAAAACGAAGAACTTTCCGATGAAAATGTTCCACTTGTTCCACCTGTTCCGCAGGGTTGATACGCAAAAGGGAAACTTTTCGCCTTAAATGGCATACAAAAATAGTGGGAAATAATTAGTCTTCGTAAATCAAAATTATGGCTATTTTTAGATGGAACTTTCACTGTATTTAAATTGTCTTTTTTTTTATAATTGCTCTACAAGAGCCCCGAAGAGGGGCTCCACAAATGAGCCATATCATAGTGCAGGGGAATATCGTAGAACAATAAATCCTAAAAACAAAACAAAAACAAAACTCAAGTGGACAGGGACCCCGCGCCGATAGCAGGCCACCAAATAATGAAACAGAAGCGGCAACGTCGACTGGGGAGGAAAGATGCGATAAGAGTATCGTCTCGGAGGCGGAACAGAGGCAATGAATGAATCAAACAATCAGAGGGAGATAGAGGGAGAACAAGTGCAAGATTGGGCTCGATCAAGAGAGAGAGGGAACAAGTGCAAGAGTGGGACAGTGGGACAGTGGCACAAGCGGGAGAGGAGTAGCGGCACAGCGGAAGAGGGCTGAACCTCTGGGAATACCCTTGGAATAAATTTGTTAGGAAACGGGATAAATAATGATAGAATCCCCATTACGGAAAATACAAAAACTTAATCTTTAATTCGAATTTTGTTGGGGGGAAAGCAGATACACCAAAAAAAAATACCTACATATCTCACGTACGATCATACGATCATAGTCGGAAATACTCCAAAAAACAGTAACCGATAATGAAAATCACTAATCAGACGATTGTTCGATAAATTTGACCAGATATCTCCAGAGAATTTAACAGCTCCCTGGCAAAGGCATCCTCTCTCTCTCTCTATCTCTGGGGCAATACGATATTTGAGGGGCGGTACAAACAAATTACAAAATGTAAAAAACAAACAGAGAAATGATATTATGAAAGACTAGCCCCCCCCCTCCACCATATCACCCCTCCCCAGCGACCAGCCACTGCCGTTTGCCGTTCGCTGTTGCCTTTTCCGTTGCTATTCCCACAGTAACATAATTATATACAAAAAAAAAAAAAAAAAAATACTACTGCTGTCTGCGAATGCTCTCATTGTTGTTTCTTTTTTTGTCTGGGAGCCACAATACGATACAGGGCAGTCGACAAGTGCTTTTTGCTCTCAGCGCAATATTTGAGGCGTTTTATATTTCCCCACAGACAATGGAAAACAGAAACCGAAAACTGAAAACTGAACTGAAACGTAGCTGCAGTTCCGATCATTCCAGCCATTGCTAAATATTTATTGTAAGAACTGTAGCTGTAGATGATATACCGACTAGAAGATACCACTTTATCATGGAAAAAAAAACAAATAAAAAAAACATAACAACTATACGAGAAATATTATTTAAATTTGAACCAAAAAAAGAGCCGCTTCTTCGGTTTTTAAAATTTTATTGATTTTTTATATATGTATAGTGTAGAAAATTTCAATCAATATAATAAATTTTAAAGAATATGGAAAGAAAAATAAAAGTATTATATTTCCTACTATTTTTCCCATGACTGTGGAAAGACCTTTCGTTTTCCGTTTAACCGTCACATAATTCACCGCAAAAACAGCATACCCCTGGCATTTTCCTACCTACAGGCGGCAACAACAATCGAAAGCTTGAGCCAAAAAGAAAGAAACTCGAAAGCAGCACAGCAACAGGGCTGAAACCGTTAATTCATTTGGCTTCGAAATTCGAATCTGGAAATACAGCAAATGCCAGCACGTACACACACACACATACACACACACATACGAACGACTGTGACTGGGAGATTGGCATAGATATTGAAGTGGAGTTGAAATTGTTGTTGTTGTTTTTGTTGCTGGATCTTCGAATATTAGCAGCAGGTAAATCTCACAATAATGGATGCTGGAAGAGAGCAGGGCTGAAAAAGTGGTAGAGCGCGACCGATCACCCTTTGTTGTTTCTCTGTCTCTTTTCTTCTTATGACTGTTGCTTATTTTTGTTTTACATAACGGTATTTTTGTGCTAGAGAGAGAGAGACAGACAGGCTGCGCAATCGCATGAGACGGCAGGACTGAAGCTACTGATAATTTTCCTATTTACACTCATTTAATTTTCGTTAAATTTACTTTTCAGCCACAAAAAACGTTGGTAAATATCTCTCAAGTGCAAATCATTTTTGACACATTTTTTTTTTGGCGGCTTTACGACGAAGGTCAAAAAGCGCTTCAAAAGGCAACATGTGGCACGGCACGGGCACGGGCACAATAACAACAGTTGATCGTAAAACAATCGCAAAATGCGAAACAAAACTATGAAAAATATGATGATAAAACAATGCAAATAAACAAAAGTCGGACAAATATGGCAGAAACACTTGAACAGATACTAGATAAAATAATTAAAAATCGCAAAACGTTTGAAAACCCAGAAAAATATGTTGCTTTTTGTTTTTTGGCAAGGGACAAGAGAATAAAATGCTTGAAGGCTGTTTGTCCCGCTTCAACCTTCCTTCCAGAAGATGATGACAGACGACAGATGGCAACACCCACCCACGCACACACGCACACAGAGGAGACAGGGGACAGGGACATCCGACCCGCCCGCACTATCAAGCAGATTTATGATCATCATTAACTTGATGACTTTCTGCCTGCTCCATGTGTTCCACACAATGATTTTAATGATTGTGATTTAAATAGAGGACAGAAATGAAGACAAAAACATTTGAATAAAGCGCAGGCACGCACACACACACATGTACACTCGTATTTAGATAGGGCAAGGTGGCAGCACTGCGTTTCGTTGTGGTGCGGCGGAGCGACGGTGCGTGCAAGGTGGCAACGCGCAGGCGCAAAGCAAGGTAAAACGGGAGAGAACTTTAGAGCGAGACGGCAGACCAAGCGGTTGTGGGTGGTGGTGGATGGATGATTGGAAAGCAAGACAAGGTTATAACAGCAAAAGCAACAGAGAGCAGCTGATATGCTGGAAGCGTATGGGAGCAATAGAGACAGTCGACCAGGCAGAGGAGAGTGGGGAGGGGGAGAACAAGGGCAGGGCTACAATTTGTTGTTGTTGTTGTTGGTGGCGGTGGTGAAGCTGCAAATGGCGGAATGGCGAAATGACTGATGATGATGATAAACGCAAGCGAGCAGGCGTAATTAATTACATTAATGCGCGAAAATATACATATGTATGTATGAAGAAAATATAACAACTTTATGTGCGTCCGTGCGTGTGTTGTGTGTGCCCGTTGGAGAAATGGCCAACAATACCGTTCAGTTTGTTCGCTAATTTGTACAACAACAAAAACACACACACACACATACGAAACGCCAGACAAGAGAGAAAAGAAGAAGTTGAGAAAAACCATAAAAGACAGCGAAAGAAAGTTTCTTTTTCGAAGATAATAATGGAGATGCAATGCACTGGGGCGGCGGCATACACGTACACACGTCCGCAAAGATATGAATATTTGAATCTGGAAAAGAACTGTATGCTTAACTCACCTTTCCTACTCGCTTCCCCTCTTTTTTTTTTGCCTATTTCCACTAATGTGAATGATTGAGGGATGAGGCGGATGGAGGAGGGTGGTTGCCTGGTCTTCTTTTGTTGTTATCGCTGTCACTGTCGCGCCGTGCACAACCAGCAAACAGCAGCAGCAACAAATTTAGGAATCGGAAACGCAGCCTGCAAGTGCCATGTGGGAATCGGCAGACGAATTAACTCCAGACTATAGATGCCTCTCCCATTAAGGTGGTTTTTGCTCTTGTTTCACACACAAAATTTAGACGAAGACCGAAACCGAAACGGAGGGCCGAACTTTTGTTATAGCTGTAAACGTCACTCTGTTTCTCCTCCTCACACTAACACGCAAACACACGTACACACAGCCAAACAGACAGACACGCACACACCTCTTTCACTCTCCCACGGGCTACTGCTTCTTTTATTTATCTGTTTCTGGGACTTTTTGGGATCACTTTTCAGTTAAATTGCACTCGAAAAAAAGTAAACATCATGCAGTTTTCATTCAACGATTATTCGGTTATTCGTTTAGCTGTACACGACCACGACAATATGACAATCCAACTAGACTCTGTCTATTTTTCCAACAGCGACCCGTTCCCCGTTCCAGGCGTAACAAAAATCTGTTTGGGCGCTGCCAGGGCTGCCATATCGGTGGAGTTTCACAGTGTGAAATAATTTTAATAACGTTTTAAGGAAATATTAACTCATTGATAATATAAAAATGGTAGGGACTTATTTGTGACATTATGGAGAACAATGTATTATGATCATGTGTCGAAAATTCTAACCAAAATTGGATTCAGTGGCAGCACCATCAGCTGCTTGTAAACAAATTCAATTAAATTAAATCTATAGGTAAAAGAGCGTGGTCTCATGAAATTTTCAGCCATGTGTCACGATCAGTCACATTCAGCAGAAAACTATTTTTGATTTATGATTTATTTATTATTTGTCTGACGCCTGACATTGACGATATGGCAATGACGGCCAATTGGTGCGATACAGCTATCGATTATTGTGCAAACTATTGGGCGCATAAATAAGTGATAGTGTGTCGTTTTTTGCTGGCATCTTAATTAATCCTAACATATACGAATATACTCATCCCGCAACTACTGATATCACAAACAGAACTCTTTTCCGCGATATAACTCGTGTTGTTCACCTGTTTAAAAAGAGGGTGTTAAGAGGGTTCTGGCGCTCTCACGGGGCTTTTAAAAAAAACGGCAAAACGTACACATTTCCCCATCAAGTGTGGCTTTTGATATGTAGCGAATGTGTAGTTAGAGTGTAGTTATCATGTAAAACAATTTTGTGGAAATTGTTGTTGACTTTTACTGTTTAAACCTTGTTTACAGCAAAAATCTTCAAAAATTATCTCGCTAAGTTCGTTTTTTCTTGGGTATTTCTGAGAGTTGGACGGTCACACTGATGCTCTCACTTACAACGGAAAAATGAGTCGTAAATTTATAGAGACTATAAAAAAGGTATGGACAACAGGCAAAAACAGCAAACGCCAATTGCAATGTTTGTACGAACCGCACCTAGATAAAAAGCCGATTTCGTCTCAAGGTATATAGACTAGTGAGGTGGTCTTTACCTAGCATGCTTTGCATTTTCTGGACCGTTTTGCCTGTTGCCTATACCCTCTTTTTTCCTCCCATTATGTAGCAAATGTCGACTGTTTTTTTGCTTCAGCATTATATACAAGCAATGCAATAAAGATGACAACTTAAATGTAAAGTCTTGTAGGGAATCGATTTAATAATCGGATAAAACTATGAGTTAAGGGCTTACAGTCTTATAATATGACGGAACTTGAATAAAATTAATTCGTCAGTATATTTACGGTATATTTTGAAATTCGCGATGTAGTTTCGGTATATTTCTGAGGGTCAGACCGTATGTGATCAAAACAATTCAATCAATCCGATAGGGTGTACGCGCTGGCCCACATTTCTTCAAAAATTATCTCGAAAGTTTAACAAGCCAAACAAAATAACAATGCCTGATGCTGAACAATTGCCCGATGGCTGGGAGAAGCGCACAAGTCGCTCCACAGGTACGCAAACACAAAAAAACTTACGCTTAACATTGTTTTCTCAAAATTTCTGACGACCGGTAAAATCATTACTTTTTTGCAACAAATTCGCAACAAAAAATGAAACGCAGGTCTCAGCTATTATCTGAATGTGCACACCAAGGAGTCGCAGTGGGATCAGCCCACCGAGATAGCCAAAAAATCGGGCTCCAACGCCGCCGATGGACCGGCCGAGGTGCAGTGTCTCCATTTGCTGGTGAAGCACAAGGGCAGCCGTCGCCCGAGCTCGTGGCGCGAGCAACATATCACACGCACCAAAGAGGAGGCACAGCTCCTGCTCGAGGTCTATCGCAACAAGATAGTTCAGCAGGAGACCACATTCGAGGAGCTGGCCCGCTCCTATTCCGATTGCAGTTCGGCCAAGCGTGGCGGCGATCTGGGCAAGTTTGGACGCGGTAAGTCGCAGCATCCTTTTTTTCTTGCATGGCATGACATGACCCTGACGCTCACAATTTCTAACTGCGTCATTTCCGGTATCTAGGTCAAATGCAGCCACCCTTCGAGAAGGCCGCCTTTGCCTTGAATGTAGGTCAACTCTCTGGCATCGTGGACACCGACTCGGGCCTGCACATCATACAGCGCAAATCCTAGACACCCAGCCCCCCAGCATAAGCATGAAAATTACAAAAAATATATGTATATTAAGCGGCTGCGTAAAGGCGCCTAAAAAAAAAAACAAACAAAAATGAAAAAAAAACTTCGCCTAAAGGCGCACCAAATAGAAGGTTAAATTTAAACGTAAAGGCGCTCCAGAAGAAGGTAACTTAGATTACGAAAAAGAGCTCCAAAAGAAGTGAGATCAAAGAGTGAAAAGGAGTTCCTGAAGATGGATACATAAATGTACGAAAAGGCTTTACAGGTGGATAGATTTAACTTTGTAAAGGCGCTCCGGAAAAAGCACATAATCTATAAACTACGAAAGGGCGCTCCAGAAGACGGATAAATTAAATTACGAAAAGGCGTTACAGGAAGGTGAAATGTAACTAAATAAAAAGCGTTCCCCGGCTCCCAGGTTAAATGTAAACCTCTGAAAGGCTCTGCACCACTCCAGAAGGGATAAATTATAAAAACACATAAAAATACCAACATTCATTTCAAAATAGATTATAAATGTTTAATTAATTCATCTAAAGACTAAGATTTTCATTTGCCAATGTTCAGTTTACCAGCCAATAGCTTGGCCCCCAGCGTTTTCTGGCTCTTCAGCAGCTGGCCGACCTCCTCCTCTGCCTCGATGGTCGTGCGGCAAGTGTCCAGCAGTTGGGGTCGCTCCTCCACCAGCTTCAGCAAGATAAAGCAGCCGCGATTCACCGAAAGCCAGGCCTTGAGCTGCAGGAAGAAAAGGAGGGAGGAAAAATATGAATTAGGGGCAAGCAGAAGCGAGAGAGACAGATGCCACTTACACCATCGCTGGTCAAATGTTTCAGGATCTGTTCGCCAAAGGAGCGCCCTTCCTCGACCTGTTGCTTGCCATCGTTCTTGAGGATCTTCTTGAGCACAATATGCATGCCGGCCTCTTCGATGCCCGTGACGAGCGGCTTGGCTGGCTCTTCTTTGGCCGGTTTTGGTTCCTTCTTGGCCTTTTTGGGCTTCACTATGTCGGCGTCAGCTTCCTCTTTATCAGCTTCCTCTTCCGCCGATTCCTCGTCATCTTCGTCGCTGCTTTCCTCGACTTTTGTCAGTTTCTTACGCTGCTTTGTGGCCTCAGCAATGATGTCCTCCACATCCTGATGCCCCTTCTTCTGCTGCAGTGGCTGTGCCCCAGCGGCATCCGCTGTAATACGCCAGTCAGGCTGAACCACAACTTGGGCGAGGGCCTCCACTGCCTTTTGATAAGATTCACCTTGGACTGAGCAAGAGACAGACGCATTTATAAGCTGGCGAAAGAGAGAGGGAGGGAGAGAGAGAGAGAGAAAGAACTTACTGTGATTCAGAATATCTGCTGTGACCAGGCCAATGTGACTGTTGGACAGCCAAAAGGCGGCATCCTCCACAATGGCCTCGCCAATGGGCGCCTCGATCTGTTCGAATATCTCCTTGCGACGCGTCTCCTTCTCTTTTTTTCCAAAGGCCAGACCCTCCTCAATGACGCGTATGAATGTGGGATGAAAGCAGGTGGTGTCCCCAGGGGCCACCAGCCACTGGACCACCCTGCGGCCATATTGATTGCCCACCAGTTGCTTTAGATCGCCGTGCAGATGATCGTAGATGGCCTTCTTGGTGGCCTTTGTGTCGTCGAGGGCGTTCAGTAGCGAGATGAGGAATACATGACCATGCTCGTGGGTGGCTATCTTCAGCAGATGCTCCTTGATGTTCTTGATGATGGCCTGAAAAGACGACAGAACAGAAACGTTGATTTGATGTGTTTTGCGGTGCTCCAGAAGGTCTCCGATCACTCACTCGACGATTTTTGGGCGTGGATTTGTAGAAACAAATGACGGCTGCTTCGCTGCCCTCCTTGGTGCTGAGCATGTGCGGCACAAGGGCGGCAAACGCTGTGACTGTCTCTTCCAGCTTCTCCTCCTCATCCTCGCAGGCCCGCAGGTACTCGAGCATGACGCAGTGGACCAGGGAACTGTCCACCAGATTTTTATTGGCCACATGATCCAGATTGGCCTTGACAGAGCCGAGAATGGAGGCCTTCATATTGGTTGCCTCCTTGTACGTGTCGCTCAGTGTTTTCACACTCGAATCCTTGGCCTTGCGGTACAGATCACCGTAGAACTCCTGCCGCATATGGGTACGCTGCTGACGAGTACCACCCTGGTACATAACGTCCAGCAGACCACTGGCAATACTGTGCCCCGCCAGGCGGACAATGTGCCCGAAGAGGCTGTCCACCAGCTTGCTTTTGGTGGCTGGGGCCCCATATTTGAGCATACGCTGGACACAAAACTGGGCGTACTTCGACTGGCACATCTCGACAGCGTAGGGCAGCAGCTTCTCGGATATTTCGGCTCGCAGCGCCGGTGTGGCATGCTTTAGCATACACTGGAGCACACGGGCAGTGTCGTGGGCCTTGACTATCTTCGAAATGGTGTCGCCCACATTGAGGATCTTGAACATTTGCTCCACCAGCTGGTCCTTGTTCTCGGTTTTGCGGCTATTGAGAGTTTGAGACAATTAATTTGAAGCGAACGCCGAGCGTGCATGCGTTGCTTACCATCGGAGCTTCTCGTAGATCTGCTTGGCCTCCTTGGTGATCTCGTAGGTGTCGCGGGTGCTTTTGCGCTTCAGCTTGAGCTCCTTTTTCTCCTGCTTGAACTTGTTCCAGTCCTGCTTCTCGGGCTCCCCACTGCACACCGGTTTACCAGCAAATTTGTTATGAGCACCGCCTGGCTTTGCTTTTGTGTTGTCCGACTTCTTGGCGAATTTCGGTGCGGATTTGAACTTATTGTTTGGTTTATTGTTGCCAGGTTTAAAGTTCGACTTTGGACGCGGCGGTCGGGTCTTGTCAGCTTCCTTGGAACTGACCATGTTTTCTTTTATGAGACACTTAAGCTAACTTTTAAATCAAAAAAAAAATGTTTGCAGGCGCCGTTTACACGTGCTGTGTGCGCAGTGTGACCAGTCGGGTCTTTTGCTCAGTATTACCATTTCTTGAACAGCAAAGAGGGTATATTTTGACGTCGAACTTGAGTTGAAAGTATATTTACGGTATATCTATTAAATTTGCACATATATCCTTGTTACTCATTAAAATTCAAACAATTTATATTTGGCGAGCATATTAAGTCCGAACTGCTTTCTTCGAAACGTGTATGGTCCATTTTGCTCTTTTTGTATGGACCAGCACATTGTCCTACAACATGGTCGCGGAATGGGCATAATTCTGCATACCCTAGGGAAAAGCATATTATAGGATTGACGAATTGTTCGCCATGTCAGGCTCCAATAAATGCAGCTGTTGTAAAGCTATGTCACGAAAATTTTGCATTTAATGGTCTCCTTAGAGAGACCAAGAATAGGTATCGTAGTCGAGATATTTAGAAAGAAACATATGAAATGCATGAATGGGTAAAACAAAGTGCAATCTAAGAAAAAGTCATTATTAATTAGATTGGAAAACATAATTTGAACATTAAGGAAATCTGGTAAACAACTCCTTGACGGAGGAAGATTAGACCTTTGTAGACCATTGTAATATTTCACCGAAAATAATGAAAGTTGAATCACTTAACCGCAGTTCAGGTGAAAAATGTCGTGTTTTTATTTTAAGTAAAGAGGACAGATATGATGGATCTACGGGAAGAACTTACAAACACCATTATATTCCGCCATTTACCTCAAGTCGTTCACCTTCTCAAACAGAGGGGGCGTAAGTGGGCTAAGTTCGTATATTTACGGTATATTTTGAAAATGAGGCGGTATATTTCGGTATATTTCTTAGGGTCAGCCGTTATAGTCACACTGACCACCACTTCACGATTTTTCGTTCAAGTGAGCACGCGGCATCGCCTAGTGGGAGTCTGATTCTGCAAAAGAAGTTTTTATTCTGTGACTTTTGTAAGAAGTTGATCAACTAAAGGTATTGTGCTATTTTCTATATTATCACATTGAAACGCTATAAACTGGCAGAAAAGAACAGAAGAGAAGTAGGGACAGTGCCTGTTGTCCCGAAAAGAACTATCATACCGCCATTGATTTTTTTCACTTCACCTTGCGCTACATTTTCTAGTTATGTAATTGTGCTAATTCTTTTTTTTTATTGTGTTGGTGTTGGTTCAGTTAATTTTTACATATGTATACTATATTGAGTAAATTATGTTTGCTGCATGAAAGAAGTCTCCATGCCATTGAAAATGCCGCAAAACGGTGCTTATATAACCATAAAATAAAAATTGCAAATTTTGCGGCAGCGCTGAAAAGTTGTGAGGCCCGCCACGCTGATTGAAAGATTAAGTAAAATATGTCTTGGAATAATGCGAAGTTGATCTCCAGTTCAATTACCATAATTCAGAAGTATTCCAGCCACGCTGAATAATTTTTTCATACATTTGGTTTTAGTTTTTTTTTTTTTTTTTTGCAACCACGCTGGAACTGCCAACTTATGCAATTTCGGTGAGTTGGCAGTGCGGCGGCAAACACACACTTGCGCTCGCGGCGACCTATAGATGTGTGTGTGCCTATCGAGCCTTGTAGATGAAAAATTTAATGCTTTTCAAACTAATTGAGGTGAAAATGCCCCCATATGCATATTTTATTGTCTTAAAAGTGTTGGAAATAGCTTTTTCCATTGCCCTCGCTCCCAGACACACCAGAGCCGCATATGAATTCCATGTGCTTATAGCTCTATCTCGCTCACTCTTGTGCTCGCTAATGCCTTGCGCGTGCAGACGAATAAGTATGTGTGTGTGACTGTGCTTCTGTATTTGTAAAAGAACATGTAACTGTGTTGCTTTTGTCGCTTGTGATTTCTTTCCCTTCTTCTTTGACCCGCTTTCTTCGGGAAAAGAAATTGTCAAAACGTACAAAGTTCTCTTGCAAATTTTCACCGAAAAGAACCGGTTTCTCTTGGGACTAGCTGTCTTTCTCTCTCTTGTGACGTCAAGAATGTGTAATTTTTAAGTATATGAGGCCCTTTCAGTATATTCTTCGTTTTGCGCCATTTCCTTTGTGCGTACCGTTGACGCCATTTCTCAAACACATGCCGCTTCATTTCGAATGTTTATTAGAAGAGGATACCATCCCACCCGTATATGCTGACACATCATCTCAATTTCTTGATAATTCTGTTATCCAATTCCCTTCAACGAATAAATTTGCAACCTCGGCTCGTTTGTGTTTAGACTGGGAGTGATATCCGAGCTCGCGTCTGACTAAGGGGATATTTCTGCAGATCAACGCAGAAACTGCAGCGGCAACTGATTCATACATCTGAGACTGCGTAAACTTGGCCCCTAGATACAATTCAAACTCCGTTGCACTTTACGGTGGGCAAATCGCCAAATGTACTTTTTTTGTTGCTTGTGACGGCCTCTTTTTTTTATGTAATGTCTACGATAAGAGGAGGGGAGACCTTGAAAGTATTGCTGGGCCGGCTTATATAAATAACTGTATTTAGTGGTGCTGTTTATCTAATCGCTTCACGCACTTTTGTTCCGTCTGATCGAGAGAGGGAGACGGGAAACAGACAGACGATAGAAGAATGAGCGAGTGAGGGAGATGGCAAACGGCAAACAGAGAGAGCCTAGTCACATGCTACGTCGCAGCTGACGCGGGCGTCGACGCTTTCAGCTCGGCGCGTTGCCAACTGTCTCTCTGGCTTTTTTTTTTTTTTTTTTTTGGTTTTTGGTTTTGGCAAGCATTTTGCTAAAGAAAAAGCACAAAAACCTCGAAAGGGGTAAATGAAAAACAATTGGCCATATATGTACGAGCATCTGTACATGTGCATTCGGTCAAGAAGATGGCCTAAAAAGAAAGTGCTCTTGACACTTCCTTGGTTCCATTTAGCCCCAACATGAATGGGAGGTGCCGTTATGCAACATGGCATTGAATTCTTTATGGTGACGGAGACTGATAAGGCGGCGACAACGATCCCGTTTTCTCTCTTTTTCTTTTATATCTGTGAGAGCACACGTGCTAAAGTTGTTGCCAACTGAGCTTGGGGTGTGGGGGCACGAGCACGGCTAACTCACTCTCTCTCTGGCTCTCTGGCTCTCTCGCTCACAAACCAACTGTCAACTGTTGCTGCCCAAGGTACTTGAAATAAGGTGAACCCTTGCCAGAAAGCTCTCTTTCGAATGTACCCCATTTTCGGCTTCGTTTGCGTCGTTCTGCACACGAGAGAGAGAAAGTAGTTGTCAGAGAGAGTGCCTCACCCTATATAAATGTAGCTTGTTGTGGCCTCGGCTGGCAGCCCGAGTGGGAGCAAGAGCGGGCGCACCGCCTATCGCGTTGAACTTGATGGCGCTCTGCTGGCGTCGTCGGCCTCTGCTCCGCCGTGCTGGGGGCAGCAGCGCAGGCTTGCTGGCTGGCAGAGACGTACCTTTCTGTCACAAGCAATTCAGTTGCCGTCCGGTGCAGAAGACCCCTTTGATTTCGAAGGAATAAGGATTAATCATATTTTTTTTGTGCTGTGATATAAAACAAACAAATTGTACGTATAGCAACTGCAAATGCAAAAGCAAATGGAACTGCAATTAACTAAATAATAATAATAATAATAATAATAATACAAATGCGAATAGCAACGAATCAAATCAAGAGCAATCGAAACGCGTGTGTGCCTTTCTTTTTCTACTCTCCAACAAAGAATTTTCCCTGCGGTTACATAAACCGTTTGAAAGCTATTGTGTTCTAGTTTTTTTTTTTTACTGGTGTCTGGTGCGCAATTATGTAATTAACAAGAAAGGATTAACCATGGCCCAAAACCCTTTACTAGCTAATACTAGCCAGCTTTAGATTTGCACGTGCCAAGCATTCAGCACACTTCTCTTTTGACCAGTTTTCCAAATTTTTCCAGCTGAAACTATTACATCACGAGTGCGCGTGTGTGCTTGGGCGGGCAAAGAGAGCCCCTCTTTGAACTTGACAGCAAAAGCTCTGCTCTTCTGCTGTGCCGTGTTCTCTCTTCGAATGTCAAAACCGATTAGATAACACAAGGCAACGCGGTTTTTACAGTTGTTTGCTGTCCCGAAGAGAGGAGGCGAAATGTCAAGAGCATGAGCGTGCTCGTGTGTTCTCTTTCAAAGGTGTTACATAAGTCCATCATCTGGCTTTCGTCCATGAGACTAGACTATGCTAATTTAATTTAGCTAAAACCAAATAAAATTGCTCGCGCTCTGCCTCTCTCCCACTGCCGTCAGCTGCCTTCTCTTCCTCTTATTACACTTGAAATTCTAAATTTATCAAAGAGAAACAGAAACACAGAAGCGCTTCAATGCCAAAAACTGTGCATACATATACCTCTCTCTCTCTCTCTCTCTCTCTCTTTCTCTCTCTCTCAGCACCTACACACCCATGAACTTTTCGTCTTATAATTATGCAATCCAAACATTGCCAAAAAAAAGCAACTGCAAAATAGAACACTACTATGTGCCCATCGAATCTTAGATCGCTACGTACGGCTGTAGATATTTTATTTACAAAAAAGATATAATGTCTGCCACGTAACAGTTTTTCTCTGAAACGGAGAATCAAAGCTCTAACTGTAACTGGTTAGAGCTGGTAGCGGCTGGAGAGCGAGCTTAATTGTGATTTGCATCAATTGAAACCACGTGCAACGATTGTGAATGATTCGAATAAACAGCGGTAGCACCGGGTGGCATAAACCACAACCTAACCACAACCCATCCTTGAGTCAAATCTCTGCAAAACAAGCATCATATATTTACTCGTAGCAAACCCATATCACTAATAACCCTAGTAACCATTTCAAAAATGGCACCACTAACATATTTATTAATCTTAAGTCCATAGTTTATTGCTAATTGTGTATATTTTGTATTTGTTTGGTGTTTTGACATTTTTGATTCATTCATTTACCTAAAATATTTATTGGCTTGTGGTCTAAATTTTATCGTATGTATTATCATTATCATTGATCATTTTCGCGTTTGTTGCAAGTGTTTGTTTTTTCCCCATTTTCCTTTTTTCATTGGAAATGTATATTTGTATAGTGCTACATAAGTGATATCTTTATTTGTATTGGAATTGGAATATATATATTAAACTATTGTGGTACAAAGGTGATAATATTTTGTGTTAAAAAAAAAAAAGAAAAAGAAAAAAAGTGCATGTTCTCATCTCGCAAAAATTTGTATCAAAATTTATTTTGGCTTTTGGGATAATTTGTTGTTGTGGCTTTGGCATCTGTGTAATTAAGTGAATTGTGACAATATATAATACGCGCCATACCCACCCGCATCTCGCACGCATACCATACCCATACCGCATTATGCAACGCTTCCTGGGGAGAGGCTTCATCTGGCATATCAAGAACATACATACATATATCGGGCGCATGGATGGAGATACGGAAAATTGTGCCGACTTGGAGAGAGACTGAGAGTCGAACGAAACTAATGATTGCTCGCGGGCAAACTTGAAATGTGTGTATTACAGCAAAATGGGCAAGGATTTCGATGCTATTGGATTCGTCAAGGACTTCGCTGCCGGAGGCATCTCCGCAGCTGTCTCAAAGACTGCCGTCGCCCCCATCGAGCGTGTGAAGCTGCTTCTGCAGGTTCAGCACATCTCGAAACAAATCAGCCCCGATAAGCAATACAAGGGTATGGTTGATTGCTTTATCCGCATTCCAAAGGAACAGGGTTTTAGCTCGTTCTGGCGTGGTAACTTGGCCAATGTCATCAGATACTTCCCAACCCAGGCCCTGAACTTTGCCTTCAAGGACAAGTACAAGCAGGTAAGCAAACATAACATACGATGACCATTGAGGCGATGGAGTTGCAGTTCCTAACACCCATTCCGCCATTGCGCCATTCCCCGCGCATAGGTCTTCCTGGGTGGTGTTGACAAGAACACCCAGTTCTGGCGTTACTTCATGGGTAACTTGGCCTCCGGCGGTGCTGCTGGTGCCACCTCTCTGTGCTTCGTCTACCCCTTGGACTTTGCCCGTACTCGGTAAGTGCCATATATATATGGAATATAATGGTATTTGATATTAACAAATGTTTCCGTTCCGACACACAGCTTGGCTGCTGACACTGGCAAGGGTGGCCAGCGTGAATTCACCGGTCTGGGCAACTGCTTGACCAAGATCTTCAAGAGTGACGGCCTCGTTGGCTTGTACCGCGGCTTCGGTGTGTCCGTGCAGGGTATCATCATCTACCGTGCTGCCTACTTCGGCTTCTACGATACCGCTCGCGGTATGTTGCCCGACCCCAAGAACACCCCCATCTACATCAGCTGGGCCATCGCTCAGGCTGTGACAACCGTCGCTGGTATTGTGTCCTATCCATTCGATACCGTGCGTCGTCGCATGATGATGCAGTCTGGTCGCAAGGCCACCGAGATCATCTACAAGAACACACTGCACTGCTGGGCCACCATTGCCAAGCAAGAAGGCAGTGGCGCCTTCTTCAAGGGCGCCTTCTCCAACGTTCTCAGAGGCACTGGCGGTGCTTTCGTGCTTGTGTTGTACGATGAGATCAAGAAGGTCTTGTAAATTAAATTATTAAATTATTCAACCAACAAAATACAACAAACAACAACATACAAACAAAACAACAACAACAAACAAAACACTACCAGCTAATTATATTAGATAAAGTGAACAGAGAAGAGAACAGAGTTTGATCTGCTAAACAACACCTATCCAGAACAACGGCAAGCAATAACCCTTTTCCTTCCTGACCCTCGCCACCCCCGTACCCCCAAAATATAATTACGAAATTATATGATATAGAATAACTGGGATAATAATTGATAATTGAACGATGGCCGGAATCAATAGAACACCAACAACAACAACAACATCAGCAACAACAAAAGCAGCAGCAGCAACAACATTGGCGGAGAAGAGGCTGGGGTACAGCACACGAGAAACGCCCGCAGCCATCTGTGTGGACTGACGAACGAATCAATTAGCGACGATATTGAATAGTATTGTGTTAAGTTTTTGGGTTAGGTTATAGTGTATCTTGTATCTTGTATCCTGTGTCCTGCATCGGTCGTGTATACGTGAATCGTGTTTGCCGACCCAGCCGCCATCTCTCCAGCCGCAAACCAGAATGTTGGCAATAGCGAGGGCGCCATACCAAGAATCGAACCGAACACCCCTAGTTGATTCTTTAGCCTCCTGCTACCCAGCAACAAACAACAAACTCAACTTCGGTTGGTTTATAAAATATATAAAAATTGATAAAAATAGAATGTTGGATGTGTTTTTCTTTCGTCACTAAGTGAGGGCCACTCCGATGGCCTGCTCTCTTGCTCAGAGAGTTACTCTTCGGCAAGACCTCTGTCCGAGCGTTCCTCGGGCCTGAGAATGCAAAAACAAAATGCACGACGAGTGCAACTGAGACTTGCTCATAAGCGATTGTTTTTCCATTCTTGGGCTGATTCAAAAACATTTAAACCTAGACTATCCGATTGACTGCATCTGGCAGCTGTCGTCCGTGTAAGCGCATTTTAGGGTAAAAAGTACTTTCCATTCCCGCGCAGAACCAGTCGATTTTTTGGAATATTAGCATTCTCTTCTCTCTTCCTGCGATAAGACCATAAATTGAACCTTTACTTGATTGATCCAGACTGACACAAGTAACCGAAATTTTTGATTAAATTAATGATTCAATTATTTGATCTTGACTTTTATTTGCGGTGTGACCATCTCTTGGCCAACGGAAGTCGAATGGACAGTGTGGCCATACCTTGTGCTGCGCGTCATTTCCAAATTGAAATTTAAACATTTATTTATTTATTTATTTATTTAGTCGGAATACCCGACTTTTGTCGTTTTCGGGATCTACTAAATGGGCCGTATTTTTGTCGCCTTCGATGCGGGATTTGGCCGCTGAATGCTTGGTTTTTCGTATTTTCATTTTTTGGGTTCCAACCTCAACGAAAATCAACGTTGGCTTTTTACAATCCATACATTTCAATTGAGTTTTAGGAGAAAGATCCTGTAATCTGAATCAGACTACGTTTCGGCAAAATTTCGTTTTTCGGTATTAAATCAAAATTATTAACAAATTATACACCTTTTCGCCACAAAACACAACCACATTTCGTGCAAAACTGAATCTGAATTTCGATCGAGAAGCAAGCAAATTTAGAAAACCAAAATGGGTGACGAAGGCGGCGGCGGTGGTGGGAAAAGCAAGGACTTTAAGGGCTTCATGATGGACTTCATGATGGGCGGCGTATCGGCGGCCATTGCCAAGACAGCGGTGGCGCCCATTGAGCGCGTGAAGCTGATTCTCCAGGTGCAGGAGGTGTCCAAGCAGATAGCGCAGGATCAGCGCTACAAGGGCATCATAGACTGCTTCATTCGCATACCCAAGGAGCAGGGATTCTCGTCGCTCTGGCGCGGCAACTTGGCCAATGTGATACGTTACTTTCCCACTCAGGCCCTTAACTTTGCCTTCAAAGATGTGTACAAAACGGTATGTCCCGTGCTCTCTGCCAACCCATACAATTCAGGGAATGTTAATCCACTGCAAATTCTTTTCGCCTACAGGTCTTCCTCGGTGGCGTGGACAAGCACAAGCAGTTCTGGCGTCATTTCATGGGCAATTTAGCTTCTGGCGGTGCGGCGGGTGCCACCTCGTTGTGCTTCGTTTATCCACTGGATTTTGCCCGAACACGGTGAGTCCTAGATCTGCTTTACGCACAGTTCGACAGACAACTATTAGGACATGCCAGACTCTCGGAGTAATGGAAAACTTGGGGCTCAGACTACAGTTGAATGACTGGGAAGGAGCTATTCCATTGAAATCTGGAACAGTATTGTTAAACCTCTTGATTAGCACATTAGTTAGTACTATGGAGATTATCAGAAATCTCTTTGGATGGTGCATCCTCTAGATATCTGGCTTAGCCGCTCATAAGACATATTATGCATATGCTACCGATTCATTTAACTTGTACTCTCTTTCCTTTCATCCCCAGTCTGGCCGCTGACGTGGGCAAGGGCGGTAGCCGTGAGTTCAACGGCCTCATTGATTGTCTGGTGAAGGTAGTAAAGACGGATGGTCCCATCGGACTGTATCGCGGCTTCATTGTGTCCGTGCAGGGCATCGTCATCTATCGAGCGTCGTACTTTGGCTTCTATGACACGTGCCGCGACTTCTTGCCCAATCCGAAGAGCACGCCCTTCTATGTGAGCTGGGCCATTGCCCAGGTGGTCACCACTGTCGCCGGCATTGCCTCCTATCCCTTCGACACGGTCCGGCGTCGCATGATGATGCAGTCTGGCCTGAAAAAGTCCGAGATGGTGTATAAGAACACGGCCCACTGCTGGCTGATGATTGCCAAGCAGGAGGGCATGGCCGCCTTCTTCAAAGGCGCCCTGTCGAACGTCATTCGCGGCACAGGCGGGGCCCTGGTGCTAGCCATTTACGACGAGTTCAAGAAGTACTTTTAGACGCAACCAGCAGACGTTTATCTCGAATCAAGAAATAGCCACACAGTGGCATAATATCATCCTCCCGGCAGTAGAGAGGATGCCTTACAGGGACTCGCCCAACAGCGGCTGTCTCCAGCACAACCCACAACCATTCCAATCGATTCCCAAAAATCCATTTAGATTGTAAATTATAAAGAAATATAAGTCGACTTACGCTGAATGTGTTTCCTGCTGTATATTAATCTGGCATCAATTAATGGTTCAGAGATCGACTAAGTCTGTAAAAAAAAGCCAGTGGAAAACGAATATGCTGAAGGGGAATATGTTGGACCAGTAGGTTTAGGATTATGTTGGTCATATCACTGTATTTTTAGGATTTAATGGGTCTTCTTTTCCATATCCCCTACCCACAAAGTAGACTGTTATGATGTTTCCTGCTTCATTTAACATAATCTACAAAAGCTTACTGAGATCTCTCAGGCAAAGGTATGATTGTGACATGGAATTGGAATAGGATGATATAAAATAGGAGGAGAATATTAGAAGACCTAGAGGGTGAATAAAAAGAGCAGTGGGCAAAGGTAGTAGCAGAATACAGAAGGAACGGTCCAAGACCAGAGCAACGATGATCACAAAGTAGAGGAATCTGCACCGAGGAGAAGGTCAATAGTCGTTCTTTTTTTCCTTTTTTTTTCGACAAAAAAGACAAATAATTTATTGAACTTATTAATTCTTTGCGCTATTGTTTCTTTGTGTGTATGTGTGTGTTTATGTCTAGTTTAGTAAATGTGTGTGTGTGTGTGTGTGTGTTTGCTTGGGTTTCAACTAAATGTTAGCATCAGCGTTAAAGATAATCATTAAAATAACACCACAAACAAATGGGGCGGGTGCTAAGGGCTCATCCCGATCCCCTACCCATGGATGCCATTCGATTTGAATGCGGCCGCCCTGTCTGTCCTCCTCACATACATGTATGTACGAGTAAATTAACAACAACGTAAAAAAAAAACAAGAATACATTCACAAAAAAACAAACAGATGGAGAGCAAAGTTTGGATTGAAGAAACTGCACTTATTCTGTTAACAATTAATAATTATTCTACGCTAGATCTAGATCCAGAGCTCTCCAGATCTCGAGCTAGATCCATGCGGCCCATCCTTCCCTTCCTTCCTGCGGGTGCTCCCAGTTCCAGTTTCAGTTCCAGCTCCAGCTCCAGCTCCGTCCAGACTAATGGGTAGCTCCCGATCTGTGGGCGAGGAACAGGAAGTACGTGCCCGCCGCATAGGCCAAGAAGTTGAACAGCCCAAAGACGCCGGCGGCCGTGTTGGAGCCGCTGCCCTTGTCCGCGGACTCCGACCATCTGGCCAGCTGAACAATGAAGCCAATGAAGTACAGCAGCGTCAGCACAGCGGTGGTGATCAGCTCCTGCGGGATGAAATGATTTGTATTCGGTATAAGTTTGTGCTACAATTCGGCGATGGCTGGCGGCTACTCACCGAGAATATCCAGTTGACGGCCACATTGAGGGCCTCGCGTATGCCCAGGAAGTAGGCGGCGATCAGCAGGATCGTGATGATGAACGAGATGACGATCACGAACATAAAGAACGAGGTGGCCGAGTTTAGTGGCGGGGCGGCCAGGGCCATGCAAATAATGCCCAGCACCTGAAAGTGGGTTGGAAACAATGAGAGAACATTCATAAATGGTACGATGATCATGATCTCCAATTGACTGGAGTGGAGTGATGTCACCCTTAATTGAGCACAAATTTCGAACGGACGATCGCCGAGGGAAGGGTATGCAAAGCTTTAAGCAGGGGCAGTCTTCGGCAGCAGCTGAATGCTGATACTCGCTTCAAAATGGTACACAGAAGAGTTTCCACTGACGATGCACCAATGACACGGTCACCGATGACAGAACCACACACCACAATTTGCCTTTGCCGTTGCCCTTGCCTTTGCCCTTGCCCCTCCACTCGTTTTTGGGGCAATTATAAAGCAATAAACATTTGGCGACAAGCAGGTGCGCAGTCGCTTTGCCATTGTGTGTGTGTACTGCTGCTGCTTTTGGCTAAAACAAAAGGCGGGTAAAAAGTGAAAGCTGAAAGTTTGCTTGTTTGCCGGGGCCGGGCCAAAAGCGTCTGCTGGCTGCCTGTTGTTTGTGTCGCTGTTGCTTTTGCTTGTGCCTTGTCTTTGCGAGTGGTACTATCTGGCCAAAAACATTAACCAACAGAGACAGAGACAGAAGCAGAGCAGAGCAGATGCGCGGCGCATTGCGGGGAAATCAAAGGTTGATGGAAACATCAGCGATTTGTAGATATTTTGATTGCAAACAAAACAGAAACATCGCCAGAAACAACCAATTTTCACAGATCCAGATAGTTTGTTGTCTTTGCGATTGTTACCCTTACCGAGTAGTAGATAGGGTATAGTATCTACGATATGCCTACAAGTATAGTTCCGAAACCGACTTTCTTTAGAGATAATTCTGATTGAGTCTGATCGCTATATTATGGCAAATGATGGGGAGAGGAAAGGTGGGGGCCCTGTTTTTCTTAGTTTTTCCGCTGGCACTGCGTCACGTGGTGAAAGAAATCTGAAAATCTAGCCGGAAAGTATTTAAATTTGATTTCTTTTAAAACATAATTTATGTGCAGCTTTGGGCGTGCTGTATATTTAACGAGCGACAAGTATACATTTGCATAGCTATAGATCTATAGATACAAACATACTATGTGGACATAGATATAATATATGTAGATGTGTACCCAGTGGTATATACATATACATATACATAGATGTGTGATATATATAAAAGCGTAATGCTTCAACACACACAGATTCCACAGGTCCACAGACCCACAGTCAAGGGAAGAAGAGCAGCTACCGCCTGCTTATTTCTTATAGCCTGCGATCCAAGTTGTGCTGGACATAATTGTAGATATGTGTGCACTTAGTGGGTGAGTGATCGGGTGGGTTGTTCCCCTGCTCAGGGCAAAAGTAATGGGCAATTTGCTTTGTGAAGCATGAAACAGCAGTGCCAGCTATGCCGATCGTCAAGCAATGGTTTGCTCATCGTTTGCCATTACGTGTGTTTGGGCCTGATCAATGACATGAGACGCCACTGAAATGAATCTAGTTCTTGGCCTCCGCCTTCGCCTTCGCCTCTGTCAGAGCGTCGGTTCAGCGGTTCAGCGGTTCAGCGGATGGGTAAAGAAGCCGCACAAATCGCCATCGCAATAGTCGATACACACAGGATAATGATGTGGACATCTGTGAACTCAGTGCACTCAACAGATCTTGAAAGATGAGCTCATTTCAGTCAGAGCTTCGTGCACTTAGTCACCGACAATTGCTTAACAAATATTATGTACATGTTTGTATACAAATCGGCATAAAGTACGAGTTTGTAGCTTGTTGTCTGTGTAACTACCTTCCAGGGGTCAGTGGAATGCGGTGGATGCAGGAAAGCGGCGCTCTTTCAGCTACGAACAGAAGAGTAAATTCTTTGGGAAAGTCCCACTTGGAGATACATAAAAGTAACCGTTTCTTTACACCATATATGCCTTGGTCGGAATGCTTTGACGATCTGTCACCATTCCCTAGCCCCAAGCCAAAACGAAACAACCGTCTAAGACGTCGAGACCCGACCTGTTCCTCTCTGCTCCCCCCCGATCCGAGCATCTTGTAGTACAAATGTGACACCAAATGTGTGTCATGATTTCCGCTTTTGGTGGAGAGAACATTCAAATGAAACAAAAACAAAAACAACAATGGCTATAAAATCGTACTACAACAATGTTGTGGCATATAGACCCACAGCTTCCAAAATATATCTTACGTAATGTCTATTATTATTAAGAATATAAACAAAAATACACTAAATATTAATAATAAATCGTGCCTTTGCACGATTTCCTCTGGGGTGCTCAGCAAAATAAGCATACGTCAAAGATATATACATATGTGGAATATGAAGGAACATACTCTTAAATTACTTAGATATGTATGTATATGGTACGAGTGCAAGTGCATGGGGATGGGTATGGTGGATGGGTATGTGGGATGGGGATGGGTATGGCGGATGGATGGGTCCGAAATGCTAATGGTTTGGACAGCAATCTTATCTACAATACCAATACAATATGTACATAGATATTTATTGGTATAGCCACTGATATATGGGCTTGAGTTCGTGGAAGAGTTCTGGGGTTTTGGGCTCGGTCTAGCTGGGCTTGGGTCCATGGGTCGTGTGAGTAATTTTCCGAGTTTTCGGTCAGGTGTCGAAGCGGCTTAATCTGTGCCAGCCAGGCGGGACCAGGTGGGACCAGGTAGGACCAGGTGGTACTGGGCGGGCTCATTATCGCTGTCTCCCTGATAACAATGCATATGAGTAATGGCCGATTAACCATTAGCCAAATGACTCACTTCTGGCTAACTTATAATTATACTCGTTCGTATGTACATGTGTCGTTCTCTCTGGTTTGATGGTGACTTTAAATGGAGCACAAATGAATGCGGACTATCGGAGTTCTATCAGTGAAAGGCTTACGAAAAGACGATAAGATTAGTTAGGTCGAAAGAAAATGAAAAATCCCATTTGACAGAAACTGAAACAAAAGCAAACCAAATGTTTGGTAACGCAATCATCGATCTCCCATTCGAATGTACAGATATGCGTAGGTATATAATAGTTCGTTTCGTTACAGAATAATTGGATCTGTGAGTTTTTGCCGAGCCTGTACCTGCCGCCAGTTCGAGAGCCCGGGACTCGGGCAGAAAATCAATAAATAGCACTTTATAAACGACAGCTTATTGCGATGGTAATCATATCAGCAATTTAACCCACCCAGCCAGGCACCACCTCCTCCCCCCATTCCCACCCCCAAACCCACATTAACCTTAACTCCTATTGATTTTTCTATAAAAACCGACCGACGAGTGACGGCTGGTTGGTTAATAATTCATATTCCATATGCACGCTCAAACAGTTGTCACCGCCATTAATCTATCCGACTCTATCCGAAATACCCAAATGGGGTATTCATTACATATTTATCCGTACCTTTGGTATCCCTTTGGTTTCGGGGCAGAAGACAATATTCCAGTGACATACTTATAAATAATGCAAGTTCGATTGGATGTTCAGGAACTTTCTCAAGCAAATTGGCCAATTTTGAGTCAATTTTCTCAATTTTTCTTTGAGTTGTAACCAGGAATGAGGAATGCAAAATGGTATCGATGCAGAACCCACAGAAGTAAACGGGTTAAAACTAAACCAACTCGATTTTGATGTATTGTATCTTTGGCCGAGACAATCGCGGCACTGTACAGGTGTACTCTCACTCTCTTAACCAAGCAGTGCCAGTACGACTAGCATTCCAAGTACCAGTCCCAGCAGTCAACAAACAGTCATGATCTGTTGTTGTGTTGGCGTTCAATAGCCCAACAACTGGCTGTGGGCAGATCGGTCAGATCAGAGCTGCTAGCAGCCGGCCCACACGGCACTATGTGTTCCCATTTCCCCAAAAACAGAGCTCGTCTCGTGTTCGCTTGTGGGAAAATTCAAATTTCAAATTTCAATCGAAGCGAAACCAAACGAAACGATTTCCAGCCGTATCCAAGACTCTTCTTTCCCAGGCATTGCATAATTCTTGAACGGGTAAAGAATGGGGCTATCGAAATCAAAGCAGTCACTGACCACATGGGCCATGGGCCATGGCTCACATGTCTACAGCTCAGTTTTGTTATTTCTCAGGGCTTTGTTGTCTGTTCCTATCTTATCCGACGGAGGTCTAATGAGATCCTGACACATACATACATACGTACACACGTTGCAGTGGGCCCTATGGCAGCGAGCAGCTCTCAATTCTCGAATCAGAGTGCTTTCACTGTACATAAAAAGGTAAACCTTTCGATAAAGGTAAGATTGAGAAATCCATAGATAAAACTGTACGTGTATCCAGGTGTTACCGCTCAAGGGAACGCCCGATAAACACCTCTTGAATGCAAGTGTCCGCTCTACCTGTTCTGTCTATATATGTATGTGCTGACGAGTACGAGTACGATTGCGAGTACTTCGATTTCGGAATACTTACGAATTCCACAATCTTGATGATGCCCGGCAGGGTGCGGAAATAGTCAATATTGAGCCGTATGGCGCTCCAGAAGCCCCCATCGCCGGATGATGGTCCGCCGGGTGGGCCATTTGTAGTAGTTGTTGTCGTGCGCTCCACATTGACCACGGTCTCGACCATTTTGATATTGGGGGTTTTTTTTTTATATTTTTTATTTAGTGGATCGATTGGGAACGAAACTATTTTTAAAGCACTGTTCCGCGTTTGGTTTGTCACAGTAAAATAAGAATATTAGGCAAAAAATATACAGATGTATGTGGGAGATGTGGAGCTCTTTTCCTGTCCCCTCTAGATGCACATAAAAGATCGGTGTGGGTATACTCGTATATATGACACCCTCGCGCGACTGATTTTTAAATATATAGCGCCAATCGGTGCGTGTATGTGTGTGTGTGTGTGTGTGTGTGTGTGTGATTAGCACAGAGGCACAAGAGCGGGAATGCGATGCGTTGCTGTGGCCACGGCGGACGAGACGCGTTTGACGGCGAGTGTCGTGTCGCAAGGCGACGCGGCTGTGACCGCGACCGCGAAGCTTATTGCCTGCGCTGCTGCGCTGCCGCTGCTAGTTAGCTACCTGCAGCATAACGGTTAACACAGCCAAGGTGTCAATATACACAAGGTGGTGGGGCCTGACACTCTCCCGCCCCGAGCACTCTGATCCGAACTTCTTGGAGGGATCACTCTCACTGCGGGGAACGCATAGATCCCTTGAAAGCGAATACAATAAACCTTCTACCTATTTACATTCTGGGCATCATATCGGACACTTTAATAACTCTATTATACCCGTCATTAGAGGTGATTTCCCCCTTAGGGTAAGGCCATTCAACTTCTGAACTTTAAAATTGTTTTATATTTGTATCTCCCCTCTATTGTATCTATTCCAAATTAATTTATGGTATGAACATTTAAGTATTGCCCTCTAATGGAGATTTTAGGTAATAATATGCTCATACATATGTACTTAATATATTTTTTTAGGTGCATTGGCTTTTAAATTGCTTCTTTCCTTTAAGTCAACAAAAAGAAAACAATTTTTGGAAATATTTCATTAACAATTTAATAATCTTCCAACTTTTTCACTTGAGCGGGACTGTTTTTACACTATATGTAATTGCTATTCCTGAACAATGTATAAATTGGTTCGTGCTGAAACGGCAGCCAGTCGTCGTGAAAGGCCTCTGCGGGAATGCCTCACCTTATGTTAAGACACCTTGGGTTAAATGAGCGAGCTGGCCCACGCGCTCTCTCTCTCTCTCTCTCTCTCTCTGACAGCACACACTCTCTCACTCTGCTCTGCCGCTCGCCGTAAGCAAGGTAGTTGCGCCTGCGCTGTGGATTCTATATTGCAATTTTCTGCGCCTGGCTAAAGCCAACCACTTCGCCGCCAGAGCGAGCTCTTGCCGTCTCTCTCTGATTCGCTGGCCTGCTTAGTGACTGAGCGCCCACTGCCCACTGTATGCGGTTGGTTTTTGTGGGTTCCCCTGATCCTCCCTCTCCAACGCCTACAATTGATTATTGAACCTGGCGATGTTGATTGTGTGAACATTTTTGGTTAGGTTTTATTTTGAGTGCAATTTCCATTGAAATGTATGTATGATACAATTTGCATAATAACACCAATAACTTAAATTTTGGTAGACACCGGGGGCAAGATCGTGCTCGGAAACCACACAAGGGAAAGCCCAAGAGAGAGCTTTCCTCTTACTTCCTATAGGATTTTTGTAGTGCGATGTGCACTTGATGTTTCTTGAATAAAATACAAATTTTCCTAAATTTAGGTTCGTCTAGGCTCTAGGGGGACTCCCCGTATCCGTTGGGATGCCCCGGGATGCATATCGTATACAATTTTGGTTGGGGTGCTGGGAAATCTGATTTCGGGTCTGCACAATTAATGTTTAAAACTTATCAAATATCTCTGCTGCCTGGCAAACAAAGGGTGCTCCTATCTTCGTCTCGCAATCAACGATCAACTCCAATCAAGTATTGGAATATATCGTTTTTGAAACAAGTAAAATACGCGCTAGACGTATGTAAAATAACAATTAGCGATGCGAATGTTTCGAGCGTGTCTTGGGTTGACGGCACTGGGAAGGACTAGATAACAAATACGGCGGTGCAAATACGGTGCAGGATTGCAACTCAACTGGAGACGACTCACAAGGACACACTCTGGAATCGGTGGAATGGGACCAATGGATGTAAGGCGGGCGTCTACGTCTACAACAATTACAATTTGACCACAGGAGTATTTCGAGTGGCGGACACTCATGAAAGAACAGTAGAAAATACAGGCTTCATCTGCAGCACTCAGCGTCGCTGGAGATGAGGGGCCGCTGCTGCTGCTGCTGCTGCTGCTGTTGTTGCCGCCATTGGTGGTGCTGCTGTTGTATCTTCTGTTGTTGTTGCTGGCTCATTTGGCTCCAGCTCGACCAGAAGAGGTGATGGCACTGGCTCAGGCAGAGCCGCCTGCTCCTGCTTCTGCTCCTTTTCTTTCTCCTTCTCCTGCGGCGGAGGTGGTTCAGCATGGGCCTCTGCAGGCGTCGATACTGATGCAGGCGAAGGCGGTGCAGAGGGGACTTCGTCTGGTGTGTCCCGTTCAGGCTGTGCCTCCGCTTTCGATATAACGTCGGCCAGTTCATCGGATGTCTGTGGCAGACAGGGGATGTTCGGTTTGAGTTCGTTCTGGCTGGACGCACCGGCCGGCGATGATCCTGATGGGGATAGGCTGATGGCTGCAAGGGCGGCTATAGCTGACGCAGAGGTGGAGGCATGGTTGTCATCCGTTGGGGTAATCGGCTTGAGGAGATTCCCCAGATCTCGTTTCCGTTCCCGTTCCCATTCGCGCTGTCGGCCGAACTCCTTTTCCTTCTCCTTTTCCTTGAGGTAGCTCTTGTCCTGCGACGGGCACTCGAGATGGACGCAGTGGAATATCTGTATTTGGGACTAGTCATGAGTTGATTCGCGGCACCGGCCAAGCCAACGGACAGGCAATTGCTTACCTCATTCGCGGTATTCCTGGTGCCTACAATCCGTATGAAGACAACGGGCCGGGGAGTGAAGTGAAAGTTCTGCCAGGAGCGAACCTTGTCATTGCGCCGGTCCACCACTATTTGCCAGTCGCGGCGATTCGTCGAGGTCTCAATGTAGAAGCTGTAGGTGCGATCGTCGCAGTCCCACAGCAGCAGACGCATCGATCCCACGTGATAGGGCTGCCCTAGGCGGACCACAATATCGCCGCTGCCCAGCTGGTGGCAGGTGTACCCCGAGTCCCAGTCATAGCGTACATAGTCCCCGTTAATGAGGGCATTGCGGGTGCGGCTGACCCCGTCCGTCACAATGGCGCTCAGATCGACGGTGGCCACATTTCGCTGCGGCGCCACAAAGTGACCGACCAGCTCGGGCACATTGCTCGTGTGCATGGCCTCCAGTCCGACGACATGGAACACCTGAAATTCAAGCGAAGGATCTTCGATCGAGAAGGATCTCAACGTGCGAGGAAAAACGCCACTGGCTTACCCGATTGACGGTGTTCTGTGTGCCCATGAGCCGAATGTAGCGGACGGCCCGAGCCGGAAAGTATAGATACTGCCAGGATCGGCAGTGGTACTCGCTGTAGTCGACCACGCACTCCCAGTGCATCATGTCGCCAGAGACCTCCACGTAGTAGGAGTAGGCCCGACTGTCCCGGTCCCACAGCAGCATGCGGATGTGATTTATCATGAAGGTGGTGCCCAGCTCAACGACAATGCCGGGATCGTTTTCGGTGATCGAGTGTCGCGTGTAGCCGTTCTCCATGTCGTAGTCGGTGACGTCTCCGTCGAGCAGGGCCGACCGGCAATCGCCCTGAATGCAATACGAGTCATGCTTTTCCGTGGCCACATTCTCATCGGGTAACAAGGCGGCCCTGTAGGGCAGCGACTTTGAGGTGCTCCTCTCTTGAAGGGCATCGAGTATTTTGTCTGGCTCGAGAATGGTGGAGGGTCGCACCACCTGCAGCAGGTCCTCGAGATTCATGAGTGGCAGACGGACGAACGAGACCACCGACTTGATGTCGACATTCGGATTATAGCGGCTCCATTTCCAAACGGCCTGAAAGATGTGTACTTCGGCGGCAAAGAACGAATCCCGCCGCAGGACTTCCTCTAGAGATTCCTGTAAGATCAAAAATGCATGTATATTAGGGATTAGCTTGGGCGCGTCTTCTGTTTGCAGGACTCCGGCCTACCTTGGAGAGCATTTTGAATGAGTCGTGCTGCAGCAATTCGCGTGCATTGCGATCCATGAACGCTAGACACACATTGGTCAGCTCGTCCAGGTTGTAGAGGCGTGCTGCATCCAGGATCATGCATACGTTGCTGAGAGCCAGATACTGACGCAGATATTTTGATATGGCCATCTCTAGGTCCTGGAATCCGTACTGATTGGCCATGCCGAGGACGTCGATCACGGCATCCTCGTCCAAGGTGGACAGCAGCAACGTTCCAGAGTAAATGTACCGGAGTAGCACTTTGAACGGATCCAGCGACACCTCCAGCGTAATCCGTCGTTGTGTCGTCTCTGACATGCCCCCGTACAGCAGCGCACGGAAGTACTCGCTGCGCGCTGCCAGGATAACGCGATGGGCCGGCAGGAGCTGCTCCTCGACTACAAACTCCACGTCCGAGTAGTGCTCGTTCATGCAGAGCCGAGCCATGTCCGCCGAGAAGCGGTCGCACAGATCGATTTCATCGGTGAACTCCTGATCGGGTTTGTTACTCTTGCCGGTGGAGGAGGACGATCTATGCATCTTGTGGTGTCCCTGGCTGCTCATATCCGTCGCTGGGAGCCTATGTGTGGGCCGGAGTCTGTTGGTGTGTGTCTGTGTGTTGTATAACTGCGCGAGTGTGAGTGGAAGAGAGAACTGTTAACAAATGACGCCGCACAGCAATTTCTCGAATCCCCAAGAGTGTCAGCCGGATATGTTGCTACGATTGACCGCCAACTGTCTACTCACCTTCGTATTATTGCTTTTTCGCTACGTAGATTACGCCGATTGTACGCCCTGAACCCGCTTTTAGAAGAAAAAACAAAATTTTTGTAGAGTATTTTATGGAATTTAGGGATGTTGAATATATAATTGATGTACCGACTTATCGATATATATGTCGATACACTTTAAAAATCGATGTTTTTGTGCGATAGTTTTCAACGGCAGCCCTAAATAATTGGCATTCACGACGAACAATTTAAAATTTACATGCGAAAAACAATTTACAAACTTCAAGAGGGGACTGGTATTTTTATCGTTTTCATACGAATATCATCCCTGATTTGGCCAGTGCAAAATTTTGCTGAATGGATTCTTGAGGTTGTGTTGCTGAGCGCGCGATAAAAAAATTAAAAAGTCGCCTAAAAGTGTACAACTAAAGTCAATTGAATCTCTTCTTGCATTTGTTGGGTTTATTTATACAAATACTTTTTCCGTTTGTCGTGCGTGAAAATAACAACGAAACGAAAGCAGCAGCCGTGTGTAATTACTGGACGAGTGATCCGCGTTCCCCATTCGGAGCTCCACCAAGCTGGCAGCAAGTTGCTGCATAATGATGCGCTGCGGGAGAGGAGCTGCCTGGCGACACATAGATAATTGAAATTTTCCGCCACAGGACCAGGGTGTCCTAACTGCTGGGGTAAGTCCTGTGCCAGCCCGTACGGATACCCCTATGCGCAAGTCGTGCATATCGTGCTATCTTGTGGACCATCATTTGCCGCCCCGCCTCGAGGGTAGTCGTCTTTTCGTCAGTTGATCAGAACTTCCGCCGCCAACGCCGGTAACGGGATTTCTCGCCCCAAACAGTTTTGCGTTTCACGTTTAACGGCGCGCCCGTCGTCCGTCCAAGCGGCGTCGACGTAGTCGCAGTCGCAGTCGCATCCCAGCAAAGAAAAACAAAAAAACGTAATCCCTTTTGTTATACTGGCAAAAAAAAAACGCTGCTTTTATTGTTGTTGCCGTTGCTTTGCTGTCAATTCGCGCACTAGTGTGGTTGTTGTTGGTCTGTAATGGTCGGCCGCTTTGAAGCGCTATTGAAGCGCCCCCGTCTGTCTGTCAATTGTATTATATTCAAATTGGTTTACTTAATTGTAAAGCACATACGCGATGCTTCCACAAAGGAGGCCGCTGTAGCAGCAATTCAAAGACATTAAAATAAATACATAAGTATACACAGTGCCGTCTACATAAATACGAATTTGTTATTGAATGTGCAAAAGTCTACGATTTTCGTCCCACGGTTTTGTTTCGTTTTGTTCTGTTATCCTTGGTGTGTCGTGCCTCGCTCTTCTGTGCTGCCCCTCTCTCTTTCTATTGCCAATGGGTTTGGTTTGTGTCGCCGCTCTCCCTCACTCTTTCTCTCTCTCTAGCTGCATCTGCCAACCCTCTGTTGTGTTGCTTTTTCTGCCAGATGTGTCTTCGACTCTTATACGGGTCCCGTTAAATGTTTTGAGTGTGCGGCCCACGGTGGGCATAGAAATTATTTACAAGAAATCATCAGAGAATATTCTCGAAGGGCTTTCAAGCGAAATAAATTGTATATTTGATATCCATAATTGTTCTTGTTCTCAGTATATATATGTATCTTCTTGCATGGCTGCACACACACACACACAAACACACACAAATGCATTCATATGCGAATTCTTGATTTTTTTTGGTACCTGTGCGGCGGAGGGTATTATGATTTTGAAAAAATGTTTGCAATGCAGTGAACGATGCAATGTCGCAGTGTCCTCCCCAGTTATGGATTTGCCCGTTCATTAGTATACTTCGATCTGCCAAGGGTATCAAATGATTCGGTACTTGTAGCTTGTAGTTTTAGCTTCTTGTTTTGCGGTTTGTTTTGTTTTTTTCATCGTTCAACGTTGGGCGCAAATTTAAATTGATTTTTTCTGCTCTTTTCCGGCTGCTGCTGCTTCTCTGCTGCATCACCAATACATACGTATGCGAATACTATGCATGGATGTGTGCGCGTGCAAGTACCTTGTGGTTTGTTGCATTCCATTCCCCTGATTTGCATGCTAATAATGCTGCGCCGGGTCCAAGAATGCTGCGCCAAATATGCACGCAACATACCGGCCACCATCCTCCCACAGGGCTTGGATTTGGATATGTACACACATATGTATATATTCTTGAGGCAAAATACCATGTCTGTTTGTCTGTCTGCCCGAATTTCAGAGACCATAAGAGCTAGAGCAATCCAATTTTGTATCCAGACTCCTGAGATGGCAACTACAATTTTCAAGATACAAGAAAACTGAAAACGCAGAACCATAGAGCAAGACCATATCTCGCATACTTCGATCAAATCGAAATATTATTATAGAAAGAACACCAACAAATACAATTTCAGTGGCTACCCCTTCCACGAGCTGACTCATTCCCTCTCACTCTTTTCCCCGTGCAGTGTGCACCCTCTGGCGCAGGGGGGAGCGAGATTGAATGGCTGGTGAGGAAGCAAGAATTAACATTGGAACATAACTAGCGATCGTGGATCCTCCCTCCATGTTTTCTTTTGTGAGACAATAAGAGCTAGCTTTGGAGAGACTTTTTTCAGATGCTTACTCCCATTCCGTTCCATTCTATACCCGCGCCGATATTGTATTATTATGTCATTTAGATGGACACCCGAGCTAATCTTGAATGGTTATTTTTTTATAGCGATAGAAGAGCGATAGATTCCACCTGAACAAAAGACTGCAATCTGCCTTAACCGGAGAAGGAGAAGCGGTGGATGAGGAGCCCAGATCCGGAAAACAGAATCTGAATCCGGCACGATCCGGCAACGGTGGCGATCCATACGCCATGAGTTCATTCATCGAGCTGCTGGGACTGTTTATGCTGCTGATGTTGCCCTTTCTGTACGAGACGAATCACATCTTTCGCTATTATTTCAAATTCCTCATCTACTACGGCATCGTGTCGTTCAACGCGATCGTACTCATACCGGCCTTCCTCACACGCCCCTGCGATGTGCGCAATCTGCTGTAAGTATTCCGTATTACTCTTCTTAAATTCACTTGAAATCCACTTTTCATACAGTGGAACGTCCTCTAGAACGGATAAAGGGTTATTGGCGGTCATTGACTGGCAGTCAAGGGAGAACTTGGTATAAATAAATTGCTGTAGTGGAATTCCATCATGCCACATCCTACTGAATATCTACTCGCTTCTGAGTGCACTTGTAACTTGGATTGTTCCTATGGTGTGTGCTTCTGTTTTGCCCAGAATTCTTTCACTTTCACCAGTACTATCCGCAACGTTTTCATTAAAGTGCACCCCACCCCGTTACCGAAGTGGTTAACGTAATCAACTGCAGGACACACTAATTACCGATGAATAATGCATTCGGCGAGGGGCTTGACAGCTCTCTCGGGCTATAAATTGTCGGGGAATAAGGCTCTTAATTTACGGCAAAGGAATTACAAACAGTATGCCAAACCATCGGTCAAGCCAATATTTATCAGTTTAGATCGGGACTTTCTGCAGGGTGTGGACTGGGGGACTTCAGGCACTGGAACTCTCAGTGCTGGGAACTCCCGAAGGGTTTCCAATGTTACACGAATTATTAATGCACTAGCGTCCTCCGTCCGACATCAATGACACATACAACATTAATTTCACATCAATATTAACAAGCTAAAAATGCAGGTGGCCACCAAAATGTGCTCCTCGGGGCCCATTTGGCTGTCCATTAAGGTCACACAGGACACAGCCGGAGCTGTGTGAAATGCTCTAAGCTATATCGAATTTATTTCAGTGCCGGGAAAGACGTTGAATCGCTGCACACACAAATTTCCCATAAGCGAAAAGACACAATAAATAAATAGAAAAGAATAAAGAGATAGAGCCAGACTTCTGATAGGTCTAAGGACTATACTGACGGTATTATTCGAGGGTTATTATAATTAGATACCGTTTAGAGGGTATCCCATGGTCCTACTACCGCATCGACTACAACCGTATAAGAGGCATTCTTAATTGCTTTTTGTTTTGTTTTGGCAATGCTCGCCGACGCCTGTGTGTCAATCGAAGGACAAAGTTGGTGCTTTGCCCTTCTGCGGGGGCTAAATGGGGGAGGGGGCCGGTGCCAGTGTTCCGATTCGACACGTGTAGGGCGGCCGGCAGTAAGGGGGGCGCCGCTGTTGCACGCTAATGGCAAACTGTGGCAAAAGGTGATGCCGAGGTCGCCCCGCTGCACCCATCGCACCTGTGGTTGCAAGTGCACTTGTAATAATTTCCCCCTTCACATGCCCGCCTCCACTTACGACTCGACTCGACTCGCCTCGCCTCGAATGACACTTTGCGTTAAGAATAATCATGAATATTTGATGACGTTGTGGTTAACGCGTTCGTACTTGTATAGTATTTCCCATTATGCCCTTTTCCCCAACTATTTAATGCAGCTTATCGATTGGGTGGTGCCCGGTCACCAGAGCCGTGGCACAATGGAATTCCTATAGTCTGCGGTATAATTAATTCTACTCCGAGCCTCTAATTACGGGCAATAAAGCGCTGGTGGACGCGTCACTCTAGTATATATAGACCATATATATATATATGTAGCTTTGATTGCCCGACTACGCCTTGCTGGCTGTTAGCATGATTGAAAAAAAAAAAACCCATAGACCCTGCCTTCATGCCTGTCCACATCGAATGAATCAGAAACCGAACTTCTGCCAAATAAGTTGGTAGATTTATAATCTTGAAAATTCTTTGAATATGTGGACACTATTAGTTATGCATATCGGTAGAGATGCAGCGGGGAATCAGGGTATAAGGGTATACAAATTCCCCCTAAAATAAGGTACATACCGACTCTGTATCCAATGATATTTCTTTGCAGATGGGCCAGCACCTGGTGTCATCGCGTGACAACGTTGATTGGGTTGCGCTGGGAGCTGCGTGGCAAGGAGCATCTGGCCAAGGACCAGGCCTGCATCATTGTGGCCAACCATCAGAGCTCGTTGGATGTGCTGGGTAATAACCGAATCGAATCGAACCGAATCGAACCGAATCGAACCGAAAGTAGCTAATATATTTTTCTTGCTTAATCGCACAGGAATGTTTAACATCTGGCATGTGATGAACAAGTGCACGGTGGTGGCCAAGAGGGAGCTGTTCTACGTGTGGCCGTTCGGCCTGGCCGCCTGGCTGGCCGGCCTCATATTCATCGATCGCGTGCGAGGCGAGAAGGCGCGCGAGATCCTGAACGATGTGAATCGACGCATTAAGAAGCAGCGCATCAAGTTGTGGGTATTCCCGGAGGGCACGCGTCGCAACACCGGCGAACTGCATCCGTTCAAGAAGGGCGCCTTCCACATGGCCATTGACCAGCAGATACCGATACTGCCCGTGGTCTTTAGCTCCTATTGCACATTCCTCAACGACAAGAAGAAGATACTCAACGCTGGACGGATAGTGATCACCACACTGCCGCCGGTCAGCACCGAGGGCCTGACCAAGGACGACATCGATCCGCTCATGGAGCGTGTGCGCGCCCAGATGATTGAAACTTTCAAGCTAACCTCTGCGGAGGCCCTGGAGCTGCGCTACAATCCGCTCAAGTCCTCACCGCTAGCTCCATCGTCATCAGCAGCGTCAGCGTCGGAAGGCGTCCTGCCGCCAGGGGCAGAAGTAGAGGCAGCGGCTGTGGCTGCTGCCGCCTCTGTCGCTGTGGCCAGCAGCGGTTCGAGTTACGCGCCGCTTCATGTGGGAGCCGCAGCAGCATCGGCCACCTACGAGACGTACAAGAGCGGCGCCACAGCCGCCAAGGCAACCATGCTAAAAACGCTCTAGACTTAGAGGTAGATGCTGCGGAAACGAAGCTACTCAACCCGATAGCCGATAGGAGATATCCAGCTTTTAATCTTATCTCACACTTGACACACACACACACACACACACACACTTCATAAATGCATCCAAGTAGATGATTATCCAAGGCTTATCCAGGCACCAGTATTAGGAGTATTATTAGGAGCAGCAATAACCAAATTGCGATTCAATCTTCGACTGTCAGACATAATATTCTTCTTCGAAACCAAAAACAAAACCAAAAAAACCAAACACCAAATTCAACACTATGCAACATGACTTCAAGACACAGTTTCAAGACCTACTTCCACATAGGCAACAAGCAAGCAACAATCCAATCACACAAGTCTTGCTTCTAATGAGCACCGTAGGATTTTCTACTATAAAAACTCCAATCAAAAATCGCTTCAATTGTATACGTTAATAGGAAACGCAGATAGAACGAGATTATATATTTTAGTACATTACTCAATCCTTAAATATAAAATTGGATTTGATTTAAATTTAAAATGGCGCGAGCTATCCAGACCATCGCATTATTCTATTCAATGCGGAAAAAATTAAGCCAAAGTAAATGACCAAAAGCAAATCGCAAAAAGTTGCAAATTGACTGTCAAATCGCAAAAGTGCGTGCTTCGGTTTTAGCAAATCGTAAGATTCCTACGATTCAAAATCGGTTGTTTGTGATTTCAAAAAAGAAATGCAGAAAATTATTTTCGTATATTTTTATATGCAGTTAATGTATTTATTTCAAATCAGACCTCAAATTTTACTTCGAGCAAGTAAACCAAACAATAAGAAATTGCGAGTTGCCGTTCACAGTCAAAATATCGATTTTAGATGTCATCTGTTTCTTAATTCAAGAATTTTTCGGCTTGGTACTGAAATACTTTAATTGTCCAAAGAAAAGTAGCTTTCTTTTAAACAGTTTTAGCCAAGTTGCATACATCGGAGCACACAAAAGCATGGCTGTATATTTTGTGATTCTGTTTCTGTTAGTAATTGTCTGCGTGCGTGGTTGTAATAAATTAGGCGGCACTATCTTCAAAAATGTTCAACAAAGACAAACAAAACTCGTTTGGCCACAGTCCTGTTCCCGTTTCTGAGTGATCGAAACCCATCTCATATGCCAAGTACTTTTAGTTGAAATTTCAACATATTTAGATGATTCCTTCCAGAGTTCGCCCATAGCAATCTCTTAAATATTCTCGACCTAGCTCCGAAGGGTGTAAATTCGACACATATAATAGAATTAAACTGTATTGTATTTACGAATATTGTAATTTTAAAGATTTTAATGTTTATCTATAAAACTTTTATTTCAAAATGGACTCTATATGGGTTCCTTCTGTGCAAAATATCCTCATAAAAACCAGGTGATTCAGAAACACCCATTCAAAAGGGTTTTAGAATTGCTAAACCCTTGCAATGTAGTCGGAAATCGGAACAGGAATATTTATACCTTTATGGTATACAGGATAACAGGATACTTTTTGTTGCTTCTTTCCGAAATTCGGATTATTAGACAGCAAAATAAGTTTTATCCCAAAAATTGTGTGGTTTTAAATATAAAAACCGGATCAAGCTTGATTCCTTGAAATCGAAAAGTCAATCGTAAACCGAACTTAAATAATTATATATGGCAATCCTGGTGAATTCTTGACAATTCTGCAATTTTGATCTTGTGTTGCATGGTGTAACTATTAGATAATTAAAGCTATAATATACATTTATAACTTTTTTTTGTATTATTATACTGATAAAAAGCAAAGACCATGACTAAAAAGAACCTATGATAGACCCATGCAAGAAATTAAAGCTTTTTGTACCTTGAATTTCAATGTCTTAGGAACGGATGGTTTGCAAGCAAAGTGCATTGGCAGGCATCGCATCTATACGTCAACATCAGTCCAATGATAATTTCCGTCGATATGATTGTTAATACCTTTTGGTGAAGTTTATTAGGCAAACCAAATCGGGTCAATTTTGCGTTGGAGTGTTGTGATGCTGTAATCCTGACCATTTTACCATCTCAATATTCTTCAAAATAACACTGGTGGATACATATATATGTAAATATATGCTGCTGCTGTGCATTTCTCTAGCAAATCATTAAATTTCCTATTTACTAAACTAATCAATTTCGAAACTCGAGGTTCAGAAAAGGGTCATATTTTTATAAGCTGAGAATTTATTGCTTTTAGGAATCAATCGATAAGTTATCGTTCTTGTATCGTCAATCCATTTAAATTCAAGCTTGTCTTTTATTTTGGAAAATTATCAAAGCGCTCATCGAAGTGAAATCCTCTCCGATTGGATCAAGTCAAGTTCGTTTATTTTATCTACTTAAGGAATTCAAGGCATCCAATCTAACGACTTTCTATGTACTCTATGCAACTGTATTGTGAACTGTATGTCTGTCTGGTGAAGTGTTGATGAACCCTTTGAAAACTTTGTAAATACGACGGGAGAACTGGGAGCGATTCAGCTCACTTTGAAGGCGGTTAAACAAAATGGAAATTCTGAAGACCGAAACGGAATTTAACACAAATACCATAAATCATTTTTTTTCAAATAAATTGTGTATTCATTTTGGTTTGGGTAGTTTGCCATGGATGGCCCTTAGGGTTGCTCTTAAATGTATGGATGAACAAAATGAGTCGAAATTAAAAGTCTCTGGGCCCAAAAATGTTATTTTTGGGGCAGCGGGAATTTCGTGAGCCTACTTTTGTACCATGTAATTTATACAATAAACGAATTGATTTTTTGCCAAACAAAAATTTAAGAAAGTTCGGTCGAACCTTTTGGTTCGGACAGACACTCAGACTATATCCACTCGGCTATTGATGCTGACCAAGAACATATATACCTACTTTATGGGGTCGGAAGCGCTTCCTTATGGGAACTTCCCCAGGAACAGGGACATGAGATGGCTCTGGGGCGAGGACCGAAGGGACATTTCGTTGCATAAGCTGCACCGCCAGCTTGCTCCATCTCTGTCTCTGTCTCTGACTCTCTGTGTCCCTCTATCCTGCCCCAGCTTTTGCCCGATTCGGGCTTTGTCTGCGGCGGCACAATGCAAGTTAATTCATCCCCATTTCGCTCAGCAGATGCTTCTCTCCTGCTCCTGCTCCTGCTCGTGCTCGTGGTCCTGCTCCTGCCCCATCCACAGCCACAGCTCGGGCGCCGCCTCCCTTTGTTTGTGGCCCCAACAGCCAACAACTTGTTGGCGTTGTTTCCTGTCAATCAGCGCCTTGCCCCTGGCCTCTCGCCCCGTTTAAGCTGCATTGTTTGTGGCTAACAAAAAACCATAATCTAAATTTTTGTAATTGTCCCAGGAAGAACCTGATTGCTTGTCCGGGGCGGCAGAATTGTCATGGCACTGGGATTGTTGCCTGGCTGGGATTCTCTCCCATTTGCCATGAAAGCCTCCTCTAGAACTCCAACTTGTTCTTCCGATTACTGCCCAACGTTGTCGGGAATGGACTTCAACTCTGTTCCATCCCTTGACGGTGTTCGGTATCGTCGTTTTAAGCCCATCGAACCTACTATCTACCGTCCAATCCAATGAGATGTGATTTGTTTTGCATGAGTTTATTGCTGTCCTAAAGGAGTGTCTTGTGTGTGTGTCTTAAGCTCAATGCAACATTAACAAATATATAAACACCCCGGGAGGATATAGAGTGAGCTCATGGCTCAACAAATAGTGCACATATCGCGGAATGATTTCAGCTTTTCATCTGCCTCGACCAGTCTGATAAAGGATTAAACATTTCAATTCAGTCTCTCTCTCTCTCAGTTCTCTTTTGATGAAACTTACGCCATTTCGTTACCATCCGCGCCGTCCCCTGGACCCTCCGGGACATCATCGGGCCAGCAGCCCAACTCGTCCATTTCTCTGGTAACCTCAGCCAGCTGCAGGAAGGCTCCCTGGCTTTAGATGGGTTTCAGGAGGACAAGCCGAAGAAGCACTTACCCCTGCGGCTACTGCAAGTCGGTTCTCCTCGTAGATCGCGTGCAGCTCGTGGTTGCGTTCCACCAGTCCCTTGTAGGCGTTCAGTTTGTCCTCCCAACGCTTCTTTCGCATATTGATCTCAGATCTAACGCGGGTCACTTTTACGACTCCCCTGGGAGTCTTAAGGATCTCTATGATCTGTACGCCCGACTGGTAGTCGTCCTCGTCGTCATCCTCGTCGTCGGCGTCGCCGGCGTCGTCGGCGTCGTCTTCGTCGTCCTCGGATGGGCCAATGCTTAGGTCCTCATTCGACCCCAGCTGTGAATTGCAAACCAGCTGTGAGTCGTCCTCGTCTGGGCCATTGGCTGTGCTCTTTCCGGATCCCGACATTGAGTTCTGAAGCTTCTCGGAAATCTCTGGATTGTTCGAGTGTGGAGATATTTCCAGGGGGCTCTCCGGGGTCTTATCGCGAGCCAACTCGGAGTTTTCCACGTATGGGCAAACAGCTGTGTCCCGACAACGAACCAACTCTGATTCTTCCGCATCTAGGAGAACCTCTTGGCCTACACGTGCACTGCATACCTGAGGATTCCGATTCATTGTACTGAATATTTTTTCTATTGGATCTTTTTTGTTCGTTTGGAGAGTGTTTTTGTGACAAATGAATCGTCTATCCGATTCAAGGCCTGCCCAGACCCTGACGACCCGGACCCTGTAATCGGGTCACGGCATGGACCAGGTGGAAGTCGGGCCAGTGAAATAAATTAATAGTGAATACTCGTGTTGTGGCCAACAGAAGAACCACAAGCTCCTCTCTGATCGGTTGCAGTAAAAGGCATTTCATGCCGACGACGGGAAGAGGTTTGAAAACCCCGAGGTGAAATTCCAAGAAGTGGCTCTGCTGTCCGTAGATCTCTCCTACTAGATACTTCCTTCCTTTTGATCCGTTTTCACGGACAGCTCTGATCAACGAACGAGGACCATCTGTGGCATGTGGCACTACTAACTGAAGGCTACAGAGCCTTAAATGTTCCCACGCTTCGAAGAACTTCGAAGATCCCAAACCAAAACAGAGATTCCGATGCTGACAGTCTGTTTATTCGCTGGCTGCCGGTCTTGTGTGGTGTGTTTCTGTGTTCTGTGTGCCGTGTGAAATCTGTAGCATTCAAAAAATACATGAACATCTAAAATTGAAGATAGAGCGGGCTTTGGCTCAACAAATGACGCAGCGCCAAGAGTTGGCGTTTTGGGAGGGATCGGCATCGGAGTACTCCTCAGACTGGTCCCCACCATTCGCCTTGGCCTTGGCATTGGCCTGGGGCTGAGGTTGGGCCAGCGCCAGGGCCATGGCTAAGCTGTGGAAGAAGTTGAGGGACCATGACATGACTCATTACGATCTAGTCCCTTCTCCAGATGGTACTCACTCTGTCGCCTGCCCATCAGTAAGCTGATCCTCGAAAGACTTCGAAGCAGCTTGCAATTTCGAATACTGGGCCATCTGATTGATGGCTTTCCATGTCTGATAGAATCACTGGGTTCTTCCTTTTAGCCTCCTGCAAGTTGGTAACGTCTTTTAAAGGGTCCCGGTCCATTGTCGGTGTTTTGAATACTTGTAGTATGTTGTATATCTGGTATGAACTGTGAAGTTTGTTGTCGATTGCCAGACAGACAAGTCTGAAGTGAGGTGAGCCTTTGTTCAAGGCCTGCCGGTCATAGGACCGAACTCAAGGCCTGACTGGACCTGGCATGGACCAGCCGGAAACTGGGTCAGTGAAATAAATAATGAATATACTGGTATTGTTGCCAACAGCAGAACAAACAACGACAGCACCAACAACGGCAACAGCTCTCTTCGAGCCAAGTGCAACACGCGCGCTAAGCGGCTGCATTAAAAGGCCCCTCCTGCACGGGGCGCCCTGCACGGCAAGTGGGGTGAGTGGAGGGACTTTGACGCCAATCCGCACACCCTCTCGAAATCTCAAAATCTCACAATCGAGATGGAAAAACAAGTAGTTGCAGTGGAGTCCTCCGACCAGCAGATACCCCAATCCCAATCAGATTCATGCACAGTCCTATGGCTTTCGGATACTTTTGGGTCGAAATAGTCGGGGGATCGTAATGAAAGGCAAAGAGATGAACTCTTCGAGTGGTGACCCTGCTCAGAGCCATGTCGGTAGTGTGAAAATGCTTCTTTCTCTCGCTGGTAGCGCACATCCACACGAATACGCCCTCGACGGGTACTGGGTATGAAAATGGGTTTTGTTGTTGGCAGGCAAAAGCTTGCCACAAATGATGAAATGCTAAAATGCATGAAATGCAACACCAGTGCCAGGGCTTGTTGCAAGGAGCAGCGTGGGGGCCAGAGAGAGGGACGGGGAGTGGGCAGGGCTTGAAGTGGGCGCTTGATTACAGTGAAATGCACTCAAAAGTGCCGAACGAAGCGATGCCTCCAGCGAATGCGATCGAATGTGCAACAACGGCAACACACACACCCACACACACACACAGATATATAGAAGGGGAAAAGGCTGCGCCAAAAAGTTGCACAAATTACATTTAAGTGACGCAAAAGTTAAGTGAAACTCATTGCGAAAATCGCGGCTAGATGCGATGTGGCATGACTGAGGGGATAGGAAGGATAACATAGAGAGAGCTGCGAGGGGTAGTGGGTGGTGCCTCAAGGCGAGGTGGATGATAGATGGTGGATGGTGGAACGATGGAGGGGGAGTCCCAGGGTTAGCTGTTACACTGTTAAGTGCTTTGGTACGCCAAAAGTAGGCACTTGAACTGTTTCTGTGTTCTCGCACTCTCGGCCACACTTTTTCAGTTGTTTATGGGCTTGTGATGGGATGGAATTGGAGAGATTTTTGACGCAGGGTACATGGATAATGGATACCCTCTGCGGGGATGGATCTATGGAACGACGCCATAGTAAGGATACTGCAGAAAGTGATCATACATATGTCCCTCTTCTTCAACTGCAACTTGGAATGCGGAACTTTTACCAGACATTCAGCCATCAAATCATAAAGAGTTCAAAAATATTTATTTTCCTATACTATTTTGTAATCCGTTAATTCTAGTAAAACGTTCCACCTCTCCTGTGGCGCACCCCGTCCTCCTGCGACTCCTGCAGCGACTTCTTGGTAAGACTCTGCTATTAGCTGTTCGGGGTTCTTGGGGCAATAGGACAATGGACCCGATACATAAATCAATAAACCGCGATGACACTGAGCCGGGCAGTACAGTGGATGTATCCCTTTGGATCCCTTCCACCAACAGCACAGCACAGATCTGGCTGGGCTGGTCGGAGGGGTGTTGAGGGGTGGGACGGATCACCAGATGCGGGATCTTAAAGAAGCCGCATTGGAGAAGATAGTAGCGAACTGTAGGGCGCTCTACCTCATCTTAGCTGGGTGGTTGGTTACTTGGTTAATGCATTGTGTACTCACAACTGTCAGAGGTGACTCGGTTGGGAAAGCATTGCATTCTACTGTGTTTAGTGTTGGAAAATTGGACTCGTAAGAGTAGGCCCTGAGCCCCAAATCTGTGCCGTTCCTCTCAACGATTGCAAGCCTATACCGTAAACCGCTCTTCCAGTGTCGGATATCAATGCCACAACATGGGAGGGAACGTTGACTGCTTGGATGCATCCATTGCCTTCATCCATCCATCCATCCATCCATCCATCCATCCATCACTGCCACTCTGCGAGGATGAGGATGAGGACGATGATGATGATGATGATGGCTGGCGACGTCTCTGGTTGTGCCTGGCTTCACTTGTGTTTTAGCCTCATTTGCCACATGGTTTCGCTTGTCTTGCCCCGTCTGGTGGCGTCTCGTATACCGATCTCTCTTGTGCAGTTCCCAGTGCCAGTTCTCGCTTCTGTCCCTGATCCCAGCACCAACCAACCGAACCAACCCGTCGACCATACAAGGCTATTTTCGTAGAGCATCAACCAACAGAAGAACAGAACCAACAACCTCCTAACTATGAAAGAATTCTGCTCGCAATATCTAGAAACCCAAAGAGATTCATTAACGATGAGCAAATCTAGCTTTTAAAGCTCCAAGTTCAACACTACAATCTTTCGATAAGTCTTGTTCGGTAAATTACAAATTAAATAAACAAGACGTATGGCAATAGTCCAAAATATTTACATAGAATACTTTGAAACTAATTAAATCCTTAGTCTTTGAGTCAGTAGATGCAATTGGTGCTAAGGTTTGTCTTAGAAATTTTGGTTTAAAAGCTATTGCAAGAGTTTAATGTAGGCCGTCAGGAAATAAATAGCTTCTATATTCTATATCTATTCATTTATTTCCTTATAATATCAAAGAGATCACAGAAGTTTGAATACGACTCTATTGAATATACGTTTTCCAGAAAACTATCCGCAACCCCAGCTGATCCATCCCTTAAAGAATTTCAAACAAAGATCTATAAAAGATCTAAGTTCCTTGACACAACTGCATTACGTTTTTTGTTTCCATTTCCTCTTTATTATGCTCAATTTTTGGTTTTATACTTTTGTTACGCATATGATTATATATTCTTTCAATTATTTATTTTGTTTTTGGTTTCGGTTGTTTTTTTGCTTTTTGTTTATTTATTTTTTTGTTTGTTTTTTGGTTTCGTTTGCCTTTACAAATAATCATCGCTATGATCGTTCTTATATAATTTATATTTCATGTATCCATTAAATTGTTATGCCATTTCTTTGTTATATAAATAATGTACACCACCAAAAAAAAAAAAACCCAAAAAAAAAAAATACAATTCAGTACTTATTTGGTTTAATTTGTATTCTTTTTTTTTTCTTTGCTCTTTAGTTTGTTGAAGCTGAATTTGGGTATCTCTTTCTCTTTTTTTTTCTGGTTGTTATTTGAATTTTTTGTTTTTTATTGGTGGGCTTGGGCGTGGCCCGTGCCAAGCAGCAGTAATGCGGCCGAACAATTTTTCAAACAATTTCGTTCAATTCACAAACATCAAGCAAATGTCCCATTTCATTAATAATTCATAATTTATAATTAATAATAGTACTCTTGGTGACAGCTGTTCCGGTTTCCATTGGGCCGTAGCGAGTATTTTACACATTCATACATACAATACATAGAAATGCAATTTGTTGTCTCCGTCTCCGTCTCTGTCTGTCTCGAGTCGTGTCTTCTCATGGGTTTACGATTACGATAATGCCATTCCAGATGTACGCTGTATTCATGCCTGGGCTCCTTGAATCCTTGAATCCCATCTCTCGAACTTTTCTATCTTCTATTCTATTCCGTTTCCGCTCTCTCTCTCTCTCTCTCTCTCTCTCTCTCTTTCTTTCTGGCGTATATGGCGTATGTCTGCTATGTCTTATGCTTTGGATTAACTCTTCCTATGGCTTTCTAGCTCTAACTTTTCTTGGATCTATGTCCCACCCTTTCTCTCTATCCCTTTCTATTCCCCTCTATATATATCAACTTGTTTAACGAGTAGTAGCACAATTTTTGGACGAAGATGGTTGAAATCGAAGCTTCTAAGTGAGTGAGTGTGTTTGTGTGATCGATTGTGTGTGAAGGAGACTATCCTGCTAACTAAATCCTCTAAATATATAGTAGGTGGTGGATAGGGGTGTGGGTCTCGCTTTAGGTGTACGGTGTTCGGATGTCGGTGAAGCGCTCTTCTTCAGTTTATATGTTACATACATTATGATCAGGCTATAGGTATATGCTTTCTATAACTATCAAAATTCTCGGCTATATGTTCGAGTAGAAAAGGAAACGCGTTAGTTACAATCTCCATCTCCGATCCACGAGAATCTCTCGTCTTCCTTTAATCTCTTCTCTCCCTCTCTCCCTCTCTCTCTCTCCCTCTCTCTCTCTCCCTCTCTCTCTCTCTCTCTTTCTCTCTGTTTATATATATTTTTATTTGTATTTGTTTACATATATATGAGGGTGCTATATAGTGTGTGGATTATACGTATATATCGAATATATATACTTTATATGCATATCAGAAGAGCAGCCGACTGCCTGCTGTCTAGCTGCTGACTAGCTTGAAGGTTTTCGCTCTGTTTGCCTTGTGCTTCAGTGTTCCAGTGGTTCTTTATATAGTATATATGCATGTAAGTGGGCAGATATCTGGGGAGAACAGTAGTGGAATTGGGTCGGGTATAACGGTGGCTAACTGCAGTACTCTCTGATCTGTTCCGATCTGTTTCAATCTGTTCTTTTCTGTTCTTCTGATGATCTGTTCTTTTCTGTTTCTGTTCTATAATGTTGGCGCTGTTCAACTAAGCTAAGGACGTTTTCGCAAAAAGGTCATCGTGTTCGTATATATGTATATATGTAGTTATATGCACTATGGATATACGTTTAGTCACTCCGCCGATCGGGGCCACATTTTATTGACTATTATTACTAAGCTTGCAAAAAGGCGTGTCCTGTGCCCTGTGCCATGTGCCATGTGCCATGTGTGCTGTCGTCGGGTGTCGCCTCCCCTTCTTTATTTGTCGTAGTAGCTGCTGTCGCCCCGATCGAAATTTGTTTAGTTTACTAACAAACAAAAAAAAATAGATATATTATGTAGATATAGGTAAGCTAAATCATATCTTCCTAAGCCTATACACGCATATACATACACAGATATGTATGTACACTCTATATGCAAGCGTACACACACAGACATATACTATATATCATAATATCTTCCATATGGTTTTGTAGTTAACAATATCATCATCTATCATCTATCGTCTATCGTCTACCGTCTTGCATTTCCCCCTCTTCCCAGAGCTTAAATATATATGGGATTCTCCTGGCCGGTGAGCAGGCGGAACATGGATGTGGGCATCGTCTTCATGAGTATCTGCAAATGGAATCGTTGTGCATATAGTCTATATAGTCTTGATGACTGATCCCAGCTATGCCTCTTACCTCCCCCACTGATGTGGCGAGCAAGTTGACGATCTTCTCGTGGGGCACTGCCACCACGCTCTGGTTGTTGATCTCAATGATGCGATGGCCAACGCGGACACCACCTCGCTCGGCTATGCCGCCCCGCAGAAGACTGCAGATCTGTTAAAGGCAAAATATATATGTATAATGTGGCAGTTGTTCGATAAATATTAATCTCTGATCGGGGACTTACCACGCCATTCTGAACACTGAATCCCAGCTGATATTTGGTCTCTGGCCGCTTGATCTTCACCTCGACAACGGGGGCGCAGGGCACCACTGTGAACTTGACGACTGTTTGGTTTTTGGTGTTCTTGATGTACGTCTGGCAGGTGGAGAGCGGCAGGCCGACGAGGCTCAGTCCGTTGATGGCGATCAGCTGATCGCCGATGTTCAGTTGGCCGCACCGGGCCGCCGCGCCGGAGCTCATCAGGTTGGCAATGACGACGGTGGGGAGCATGGAGCCCCAGCCGCTCTCGACAATGACCACACCGAGGATCTCGCCCTTGGCCTTGGGCACAACGACCTCCTTTTGCAGCTCCTTCTTGGCAAAGATCTCGAGCTCGTCGCCAAAGATCTCCTGGCTGTTAAGCACCTCCTGGTAGTCCATCTCCTTGACGAATCGATGGTCTTCGATGCCGTTGGCCTTGAGGAACTCCATGTAGGCCACCTGGAAGGCCTGGCCTATGGACTGGGCAATGAACTGCGCTTCGTCGCTCTCAAACACGTGACAGATCATCTTGGGCGTACGGTTCGGCTTGGGAGCATCGTCGATGTCCTGCGGCACAAAGCGGCGTCGAGCCATCAGCACCACCAGATCCCCAATGTCCGCTATATAGGAGATCGTGCGCAGTGCGTGATCCATCATGATCTCCTTCAAGTCGGTGTTCAGCACCATGATCTTCTCCGTTGATATAAATAGATCCACTTCGGTGCTGGGCTGGACATCGCCATCGGGTGCCTAAAAGCAGTTGTGATTGTGGATTAGTTGCGAGTACCCCACCTCAAGTACCATATTGTATGCCATAAAAGGAAAAGAAGGAGGAAAGGCGAGGACTGGCGTGGGTTTGCAAGGTTCTTGGCGGTTGGCGGTTGGCTGGTGGGCAAGCATCGCTTTCGGGGAACACAAAATTTACGGCGGGGCAAATGTCTTCAATTCAATTAAATTCAAGGCAAATCAGGCTAATCAGAGAGCTTGGTTCGGAGGGGGACGGGTGTTAGGGGGTAGGGTGTCAAAGGTGTGACCACAGTGTGACCGAGTATTCAAATACAATCTTTCCATTCGGTCACCCTGCAGAGGTGGGTGTACGGGTGGGGTTTTCTAGTGTTTCCGGTACTTACCAGGGCCTATGGTGGAATATGCGAATTGGTTTTATTGTTATTGTTTTTTTTTTGTTTTTATATTTTGTTGTGTTTTTTATTTTGTTTCATTGGTTTGCATGGCGATACGTGGATTGGTTTAGCGTGGTGGTTGATCGTCGCGGATGCGGAGCAGTTGATGTGGAGGAGGTGATGCATGAAAATATATATATAGTAAAGAGTTAATGCGCTTCTCTCCCTCTCAAATCGGCTTCGCTTCAAGACGATTACTGTCTTTGGCGGGGCAAGGGTTGGGGGTGCGGGGGATGGTGTCAAATCAAAAAACAAGAATCGGTTGGGGATCAAACTAGCTGAAAATTTAGCACAAAATGCAGTAGGCCTTGGGTTCAGCAGCGGGCCAGAGAGTTTTTCCAGTCGGTGGCCATTGCAGAAAATTTTAATTAGGGTCTTCGATTGATATTTCGGAACAAAAAGAGAAAGAATAATTCGTTTAATAAGTATGGAAAGACTCGAAGTATTGGTCTTAGTTGATTCAAATTGAATCACTCGAAAACCCATTTAGAATTCGACTTTTGGAAAAATTAAAGACCAAAATTGAATGATTAAAATGTTATCAAGTTGATAATTGTTTTGGAAAGATCCGCAAGGATCCCACTGAATGTTTTGGCTGATTTGAATCCACTTTGGCCACCCTCTGGCACTACTCTGTGGCGGGGATAGCGGTCTAGGAGGCACCCAATCACCCATACATACGTCTTTAGATGGTAAAAAAAAAAAAAAAAAAACATCAAATGGAGAAGAGCAATCGAAAGAGAGCGTGGTGGTTTGGTTGGGCTGGACTGAAGAGGGGACGGGAAGGGGAAAACTTTACCTTGATACGGGAGACGGCCTCCTCGGCCTGCATCATGCGCGTCGACTTTGTGGGCTGACCCTCGCAGACCAGCTGCGTGGAGCCCAAGTACTTGGCCCTGAAGAGGACGCCCTCGATTAGCACTGCGCCGCCTACAAGACGGACAGTCCGATTAGCATTCGGGTCTAAGCAATATCAGGCATTATAGAGTACATGTCGAGTATACGCTGGTCAGTGTATGTGATTGGTGCTTGAGTGTCAGTGATAGAGTACCTAAATCCGTATTATTAGACTCCCTCCAGACCCTATCGCAGAAGCTATAATTGGCATAGCTAGCCTAATCAATCAGAAGTTTATTTCAAAAGTTGTGTCGTAACTGTCATTATACTGCGAAGGTGGGATATACGAGTATATATAGTCCAGATATCTTGTTCTCCTTTATAACCCACGGCACTGTCCAGTTTCATTTCAATCGGATACGTAATGCAGTCAGTATTGGTACGGATCATGTCATTCCACTGTGAAGCTGGGATATATGAGTACATATAGTCCAGATATCTTGTTCTCCTTTATAGCCCACGGCACTGTCAAGTTTCATTTCAATCGGATACGTCGTGAAGTCAGTAGTGGTACGGATCATGTCATTCCACTGTGAAGGTTGGGTATACGAGTATATATAGTCCGGATACCTTGTTCTCCTTTCCTAACCCACGCAACTGTCAGTCAGTATCGGTACGAATCAAATGGTAATCCTACGAGTATTGTTAATCTGAAAGAGTCCCTGGAGTGAGTTTGCCCTTTGACTTGGACTTTGGTTTGTTTCGTGTTTTCTTGTTAGTGTTGGATCTTAGATGCTAATACATAATGAAATTGTATCTTACAAAGTATTGTACACACACACAGACACAGTAAAATGAAGAGTTGAGTTTGGTTTTTTGGTAGAACGAACGAACGAACGACGCATGCAAAAAATACGCAAATAAATATGCGATAAAATACAGAGAAATTATATATAAATATATATACGAGTATATATATATGGATTAATATTTATATAGTTTATCAATTGCACATTACGATTCACAATGGCGTACGTTGGCTGCGAATTTCGAATTATATTCTTCAATTCGTTGGGAATACCCCTGCAGAGGGCTTTCAGCGAATCAGAGGGATGCATACAAATTTCTAAGGATCAGAATGTTGGGTCTCTGCCCAACTCTCGGAAAAGCCGATACTCGACCGATACTTAATCGGACAACTTCAAACTGTGACTGTGGGCTTCCCCTGGACTTGGGCTTGGGCTTGGATCTGCAGGGGTATTGGAATCTACGGCAGGCCGGAGATCGCTTACTTTCTTGAATTTGTTCAGCATGACAACATCAACGAACCACATCAACGAACCAGAGCTCAGATTACACAATGGTGTACGAGTACATAGTGTATACATAGGAGTAGCAGATATACGAGTGGTTGGTTATACGATAGTACAATAGAATGCGGAACAATCGAACGAAGGGTAAACCCAACGCATTTACCTTCTTTGCTCTTACTCTTTTTCACTTTTTTCTCGCCGCTGCCGCTGCCGCAGCCGCTGTTGCTGTTGCTGCCGGCGCCGCTGCCGCTGCTGTTGTTGCTGCCAGCATTCACTGCGGTGGTCACGGCTCCGGGATTGGCCACACTGCTCCCAGCTCCTGCTCCTGCTCCTCCGGCCACTGCTGCTGTGATGTTGATTCCTCCGTTGAGACTGCCGTTCTCCGCCTCCAGCTTGATGATGCCGCCACCTCCGCCACCGTTTACGGAACGGTCGGATCCGCCGCCGTTGCCGGGACTTTCCAAGGGCGGAGCCGATGCCACCGAGGCAGCCACCACGGCCGAGGCCACCACATCCACAGGATCGCCAACGGTCGACCCGGACTGCTGGGCCTGCAACTGCATCTTGCTGGGCGATTTCTCGCTGTGCTCCGAGGAGCTGCGTGATATGCTGCGCTGGACCATGCCCCCGACGAGGTCGAGCAGCTTGCCGCCGCTGCCGGAGGAGCTCTTTGGGGGTATGGGTGGTGGCGGCAGCAGCTCCGGCGTGGAGCTGAGCAGAGCGTTGTAGCCATTCCGCGTCTTCGTGCTGGGCATTTGCTGCTTGGGTGAGATTTTCGAGAGCAGCGAGGAGCGCGGCTTGCGGTCCCAGCTTTTGTTCTCGTCGTAGTAGCCCTGGTCGTCCAGCCGCTGGTGTCCCAGCAGGCGGTCCGTCTCCAGGTCAGTGTCCACATCGTCCTCGTCCGCACTGTGGTTCTTCGAATGGTTGTCCGACCCGGACTCGAGCAGCCCCTTGCCGACACCACCGTCCAGGTGCCGGGACAGCCACACGGGCGAGCTTATCACCGGCGAAGGCGATCGCTGCTGCGCCGTCATCAAGCTGCTTCTTTCCGGAATCGGCGGCGGTACGCCTCCCAACACTCCGTTGCCGTTTCCGGTTCCGGTTCCGGTTCCGGTTCCGGTTCCATTGCTGCTACCGTTGCTCCCCGCACTCCTGGGCTTACCCGGGCCTGACCCCAAACCACCACTGCCCGACGGGGTGGTGGGGGAGCTGCGCTGCAGCGTTGAGCTGATGGCCGACGCCAGGGGCGTGTGCTTGCTGCTCGGCTGCAGCAGATCGACATCTGCTGCGCTACTGCTATTGGGCTTGCGATGCGGCGCTGGAGCCGGCGGCGGCGGCGTCATCTGCACCGTGTCCGGTCGATGGAAAACACCTGTACAAAAAGGTAAGAGATTGGGAAATTAGACACCTGCCACATTTGTCCCATCTGCCACGTGTGGCACACACTTACTGATCGAATAGAGCGAGTCCAGGTCGGGATCGATGTTCTTGAACACTTTGTTCTGGCTGTGGCTGTGGCTCTGGGTCTGGCTGGGACTCTGGCCGAGCAGCTCCCGGGGCTGTGGCATCGGCGGTGGCTGCTTGGCGAGCCCATTGCTGGGACTGGGACTGTTGACGAGGTGGCCGTGGCCGCCGTTGCTGTCCGTGGTGGAGGCGGTGGTCAGGTTGTGCATGCTGTTGAGGCTGTTGTTGGTGGATAGGCGCTTCATGTCCATCAGCATGGAGATGCCGCCGCTGCCACCGATGCTGGTGCTGGCACTCAGGCTGTTTGGGCACTGACCCTGGCCCGGGCCCCCCTGGACGCCGGCCTGCTGCAGGTTCTTATTGTTGTTGTTCTCGGTGTCGCTGGTGTGGCCCGAGGAGAGTCCGTCCTCCAGCACGGGCATGGCGGAGGCATAGTACTTGGCGTAGTTCGAGCACGAGGTCGACACGCCTCCGTTCATCTCCCCAGAAAGACCTGCAATAAATGGGGCACCAGTTAGCCCGCATGTCCTCATACAATCCCCATAGCCTCTACTCACTGTCCAGATCGCCACAGTTGGAGTCGTAGTCGGTGGTCTCCGGCGAGTAGCGGTAGTTGTGGCCCCCGGCCGGGCCGACGCCCACACCCACGCTCTGGCCGAGCCCACTGCCGCTTCCGGTGCTCAGCAGTTGATTGTGGTTGAGGCCATCCTGCTCACCGTCCCGTTCGCCGCTGCTCCGGCTGGCAGAGTCCAGGAAGAAGTCAAAGTCCCGCATCAGGGGGCTGCCGCTGCTGTAGTGTGGCCTACGTCCCGAGACGCCCACGCCCACGCCCACGCCCATGCCTACTCCCACGGGCATGGGCTGACTCTGCTGCATCTGCGGCTGGGTGTATCCCCCGTAGACATGACGCTCTACGTCTCGGGACAGGTCTGAGGAGGGGGCTTGCTGCTGCTGCTGGCGATAGTCCCGGTCCTGGTCGTGGTCCTGAACCTCGTCGTGCTCCTGGTCCTGCGCGATGTGCTCGTCCTCGTCCTCTGCCTCATCGTTCTCCTCGTCGTCCCCGTCCCCGTCGACGTCCACGTCATCGTCCTCCTCCTCATCTTCGACCAGCTCCTCCTCGTCGCGCTCAAAGTTGCTGTGGAACTCGTACTGTATGTCCTGCAAAACAGAACGAGAGATGACAGTGTGAGTGAGGATCATGGCTATAATGGTATATCTCCCAGATATTCCAGATTTCTGTTCTTCCCAAGTTACTCGCAATGTATTCGCATAATAATAATATTAAATAAAATACAACTAGGGATTAAGGATCAAGACGTAGTCTTCTGACCACTGTCATTCCCCTTCAAGGCCCCTGGATCCTCCAACGGAGGCTCTGTTTGAGGATCATTTGACGGATGCCAGTTGACCTCGGCCGGATAGACAATGGCCCAAACGCGATCGTTGTGGAGGAGCACCTCGTAGTGAAAGTGGTTCGCCATCACCACATGCGGCAGCCGGACCGCAAAGTACTCCTCGATGGGGGCCAGCGACACCTCGTGGCAGTTGATGTACACCGTGGAGATGGCTGGCAGCTGGAGGGTCGCCTCGAAGGTGTCGCACATCCTGCCGCCCCAGACGGCGGCGCTGGTGAAGATCAGCCGCTCCCGGGCCACCAGTTGGGGCAGCTCGAAGGCGTTCCGGAAGGTGTGCAGCGTCACCACGGTACTGGGGTGGGCCACACTGAAGAAGCTCTGGTCGAACCCGCAGACGATCACGGGCGAGCCGGGGGCCAGTTTGCTCTTGAAGCGGATATCGTCGTACTGCAGGATGCCCACCGTCTCGGCCCGCAGGCAAGCAATCATCCGCAGTGCCCTCGTATAGTAGTCGTGGCTCTGCACCTTGGTGTGCAGCATCTCCATCGCCTGGCACACTGCGTCCTGGAATGCCGAGCGCATCGTCTCATGCACGCAGACGGCGGCCACAGTGCGGGGTGCAAGCGGTTGCTTCAGGGTCCGCAGCAGGGGCTTTATGGCCTGCTCCAGATTGGCATTTTTGCAGATGATCAGCAGGGTGGGCTGCAGCCAGGCCAGGTCGCTGCCGTCGCCAGGAAAGTCGGGCTGGCGCCATGTGTACGGAACGCGGGGCATATTCTTCTTAAAATTTCGACTTTTGACTTATGATTTAAAGGGAAACTTGATTGAAAACTTGATTGGGATTTGGTGAGCGAGAGATTGGGGTGGAGTAGATAGTAGGAGAGCAAATCTCCGTGTGAAGTAGAGATCAGAGATTACTTATACTTGGAGATACCCGGTCTAGACCCAGAAGTACGCACACAAGATCGATTAAATGGTGGAGACTAGTACCATGACTTCTGATAACTGGCAGGAGTACTCACAATGCTGTCCACATCGCTGCCGTTCTCCATGATGGGCTGCTCGTCGGTCGAGGGGCACTTGAAGAACTCCTCCAGCACCTTGCGCGTCTCCGAGAACTCGTAGAGGTAATCAAAGGTCGATGATTTTGTGTGGAGGCTCAGTGGTCCAACTCCAACTCCAGGTCCTGGTCCCGCTCCTGCCCCTGCCCCTGCCCCTGCTCCTGCTCCTGTTGTTGAGCAGCACGCTGTCGGTGGTGCTGGTACTGGTGCTGGTGCTGGTGCTGGTGTTGTGTGCATTGGTGGCGTGGCCGACCTGCTGGCCACCTCGTTGGCCACCGCTTCAGGCGTGGTCAGGTCGGAGATGGTGCCAATTTCGGACACATCGTTGCTGGTGTCCTCCGCATTGGTGTCGCTGCTCACCGGCTGCTGTAGTTTGTTGGTGTTCGTGTGGTTGTTGCTGTGGTTGCTCATCATGCTCGTGTGGTGCTGTGGTGCCGCGTGCTGCGGCGGCTGAGGGGAGCAGCTGCGGGGCTCGCGATGAGGCGGCGAAAGGATGCGCTACAAGAGGCAGAGTTATTAGTACGCCACATATACATATGGATGTCTGTATATCTCTGGAACATGTACCTGTGGAAAGCCCGGGCGCACAGGATAGGCCTGCAATTGCTGCGGTGGTTGTGGCGCCTGCGAGGGGTTCTGAATGTGGTTCTGGGTCTGGGCCAGTGCGGCAAGGGCTGCCCGGGCCGCCGTTCTCTGCAGCGAGGTGGCAGTTGAGCTCAACGGTGGCACAGCGGCCATGGGAAGCTGCTGCTGCGGTGCTGCTGCTGCTGCCGCAGTTGCTGGTGGTTCGCTTTCGTCCGCTGCCGAGGCTGCCGCTGCTGCAGTCACTGCCCCCCAGCCACCAATGCGCCGGGGAGAGCCTTCGTATTCTGTGGGGAGTAGAAATGGGGCACAGAGAAGTGATTAGAGTGCGAGTCGTTCAAGTGTTGTCTGGCCCTCTCCCACCTATAATGCCGTGACGCGACTCCACGGCCAGCGTGTAGTTGCGCTCCAGTTGCCAAGCATCTAGCTTGTGCTCCCGATACATGGCTGCCTCCTCAAGGCTCCTTAGGCCGGATTGCAACTGCAGCTGCAACTGCGACTGGGACTGCGACTGCGACTGGGACTGCGATTGGGACTGCGACTGTGGCATGGGCAGGCTCTTCTCTATCAGCTTGCTGGGATGCTTGCAGCTGCTTTCCTCGGCCACAATCCCTTCGGTTGTAACGCGCAGATCTGGAAAGGACAGAGCGGATGAGTGGACAAGTGGATGAGGATGAGGTTAGGGCCACTGGCAATTGGTAATGGCAATGGCAATGCTAATGGATGAGTAATGGCTGAGGGCGGACAGACATCAGTCCGACGGCTTGGCATGCCAATTAATTGCAATCAATTAAATTCCACTTTGGAGCATTTCCTACCGCCTTTGTTCACCGCCGCCCGACCACCGTCCCTCCCTTTGTCGGGCTCCATTTGTTCATGTTTGCCGTACACTTCATTACGCTTGATTTGCAATTCAATTACCCGGACCCCGGACATCAATGCTGGCTATGCAGCCAGTCGGAAGCGATTCACATGCTGCCCCTAAAATCGTCCGGAGCATGGCCTCGGGCACAGGCAACCACTCAACCGCTCCACCGCTCGCTGCTGAGGGCTCTTCAGGCGGCAAATGTGGCCAGAGTCCGGCAACCACAGGACAGTATAGGACAGGACCCATTCACATTCAGTGCCTACTCGGAAGCAATTTCGAATGGGGCTTACATCTCCATACGAGTACTCCAGCGGGATGCGACGACCCATTGGTACCGCCCAGTTCTTGGTGATTTCTGGGAAGGATTGGTAATGAATACTTACGCTGCCAGCTGTCGCCGGGATCCGCCGATCCGTAGACACCCTCATTGCCTGCTGCGCTACCATTGACCAGACGATGATCGCGCTCCCTCTCACGCTCCCTGTCCTCGCCGTGTCCATGCCGCTTGCGCTGCTGCTGCTGCCCCGTCAAGTGGGTCAGGTGGTTTTCCCGTGCCGCCAGCACCTCCTGCTCAAGCAACAGGATCTCCCTCTCCCGTTCCCGCTCCTCGCGCATCCTCAGTTTGCGCTGCTCCCGCGGCTCCCAGTCCCCGGCCCCGTGTTGATCCAAAGAGGACTTGCTTCCGTATAGATAGTGGCTGGCCAGTGGGGTCAGTCCGTCCGCACAGGCATTGTTTACGGATTGCTGCTGCTGCTGCGGCTGCTGCTGCTGGGATGCCGTGTAGCTGCGGTTGATCGGGCTCCGTCCGACACGGAGGATGTGCGCCGGCGGCTGCTGTGTTGGCTGTCGCTGGGCCAAGCCGTACAGCTGTGTGGCCATCTGCTCCCGCTGTTGGTGGTATGCCCGCCGGGCGGAGGCTTGCAGATGTTGCTGCTGTTGCTGCTGTTGATGCTGCTGCTGCTGCTCCTCCGCGTACTCCGCGTACTCCGTCGGAGAGTGCAGCAGGGAACTGGCTCGCATGGGAGCTGTCTCCCAATAGTTCTCCTTGATGAAGGGATTCTGGCTCTGGCTCTGGCTCTGCACCTGACTCTGAGTATTGCCATTGCTGGCAGTTCCGTTCACGTTGCTGCCGCCGTTGTGCAGTGATTGCTGCCTGCTGCTGATGGCGCTTGCACTGGCGCTGGTGGGCAGGCCTGTGCTCCGTTTGCGCGGCATCTCGGGGTAGGTGCTCTGGCCACGCCTGGTCTCGCCCGTGTGGTAGTAAAAGGAGGCCGGATAGCCTGCCGCCAGGACGGTCTCGTCTACTTCCTCTTCAGCTCCGGCACCCGCTCCACCAGCAGCAACGCCGTCTCTGGATCCGTCTCTGGATCCCTCCGATTCACCCTCACCCTCACCCTCGACTGGAAGTGCGGCAGAGCTGTGCAGCGGCGGTGGCGGCGGTGTGGGCGGTGTCAGTGGGGCGCACAGGAACGGATTTGTGGATATACGCGGCGTCACCGAGGAGAGCGACTCCGAGGAGTGTGACGAGGCCGAGTGCGGCGGCGGCGACTGTGTTATGATGTTGACGCTCTTGTAGTAGCTGGGCGTGCTGCTCTGCGTGGCAGCGGGATCCGTGGCCGCAGGGGCTGCTACAGTGGTGGGGCTGCTGCTTCTGTTAAGATTCACATCCGTGTGGAGCTCATGTCGCTGCTGCTGGTGTTGCTGCTGCTGCTGCTGCTGCTGCTTGGGCCGGCACTTCGGGAAGAGCAGGCTGATCTGATCGTTTAGCGGAGAAGAGGACTGCTGCTGCTGCGGATAGTTGTTGCTGCTGCTGTTGCCGTCGCAGTCGTGCTCCAGACCGTTCAGCGCATAGAAGCTGCGGGACGGGTTGCCGGTTGCTGCCAGTGATCCTGCTGCCCCTGTGGAAGCTGTGGCGTGTGGCGGCAGTCGCTGGTAGGGCAACTGTTGCTGCTGTTGCAGTTGCTGCTGCTGCTGCTGCTGCTGCTGGTGGTGATGATGGTGGTGGTGATGATGATTATTGCTACTAGTTGTTTGTCCAGCAGCCAATGTTGTCAATGTTGTGCTGACCATTATTGTTGCCAATAAACTGTAACGAAAGAGGAAAAGGGAAACACCATGAGCAAGCGAAAGGGATGCAGTGGCACGAACATCCTTTTATAAGCCACGGAGCCACTGGTAGTGGAGTGGGAGTCAAGGGTGGTTGGGGTCGTTGGGGACGTGAGGCCATGTTACGCCTCCTTCTGGCAGTTGTTTTAATAAATTCAGGCACAATGTCAACCTTTGTCATGTCCGAGCGGCAACAGGCCGTGACAGTAACGAGTTCTGTCGCGACCGCTGCCTGGCCTGGCCTGGCCTGGCCTGGTCTCGTCTCGTCTGGGGGTTTATTGGAGGGGATGCTGCCGAACAGAGCGGATCAGAGCAAAAACAAATGGCAGATATAAGACAGGCAAATATTTAATTGTCCTGACCAAAACGGAATGCCAAGCACGAGCACCAGAACAGTGGCAGGGGCGCGGGCAGGGGAAGCCAATCAATGTCATTGAGAGCGATTGCTGACGGTTTGCTCGATTGTCAGTGCGCAATTGCTATGGCCAGGCATTTATCGGGCTTAATTTGCATTCGCCAGGCAGTTCTCTTTTTCGCTGTCGGGCAGGCTAATTAAGAACAGTTTCGCTTTGGGCGTTTTCAAGGTGTGGAACTTCATTAAAGTTTGCTTGGTGGGTGGAGGGGGCGCTGCTGGAATCATGGGAGCAAGATACATACATTTATTTTAAAAGTTTTCGCTCTTAGAGCATTTCACTGATGATGAAGTGTATTTGAATTAGGAATAAGAGCGTGGAACGTAAGTGGATCCCAAGTTGCAGTCTAAGTGAAATATGTGTCTGCAGATTATGAAAATACCGAATAGAGTGGTCGATTGTATGTGGACTATAAGTGGATCTCAGGATTTCTCCGAAATGAAATAAACTTGTTAGCTCCTAGAGAATTTCACCGATGAAGGTTATCCTTGGAATGTATGTGGACTTTATGTGGATCCCAACTAGCAATCTAACAGATATGTGTCTGAAGATTATTAAAGGTTCGAATAGAGTGTTCGATTGCATGTGGACTATATGTGGATCTTAAGATAGCTAACAAACGAAATAACTTGTTAGCTCCTAGAGCATTTCACCGATGATGAAGTATGTTTAATTTAAGAGTAATAGTGTGGACCGTATGTGTATTGTAAATAAATCTGTGGATTGTATGTGGCTGTTAGGTGGATCCTACGTATCAATCTAAAAGAAACATGTGTCTGAAGATTATTAAAATATCGAAAAGCGCTTTGGAATGTTTGTGGACTATAAGTGGATCCCAGGTTGCACCCTAATCAAATAAAACTGTTATCTTCTAAAGTATTTAACTGATCCTGAAGCTTACCAAAACACCGAATAAAGTTGTTGGGCGGGGCTCCTTGGATGCCAAGTGGCAGCCCAGTAGAAATAAGCGCGGAATCTTATCTAGAACCTTATTCAAATGCAGAATAAATAACATACTTGGATCGCATGAGGATATCATTAGTAAATAGGAAAAACGCTGTTGGTTTCACCCAAAAGAGGCTCTCTTGAAATCCTATTAAAGCTAGAGCAGCGCTCCAAAGCACATTCCCCCTTAGGGCTCAGCCGCTCCATCTCCGTTTCATTATATTCTGCACACCCCACACACCTCCGCTACCGTCACCGTCAACGTCTCGGCCTAGGCCCGTGCGAGTTTTCCTTTCCCATGGCCCGCGTTATGCTAATGCGTGCGGTGTGTAATATGTGTTGTGCCTGGGGCTTAAAATATTTTCCCAACAATCAAACTAAAAATTTCGAAAAGGATTAACAGCAACAACAGTGCAGAGTGGAAGAAGTACCAAAGTACAACAAAAAACCATAGAAAATACCCACAAGGCACACACATTCAGCGGGTCTGGGGTCTGTGTGTGATGTGTGTGTGTGTGTGGGGGGGGATGGTTATCCCAAAAGTGAGCAGAGCTCCATCCAGCAGAGATGGAGATATCCGTATGTGAGCTTGGCTGTGCGCCCCGCAACGCTTTGTGCAGTCGCATGGAAAATATGTTTTCGTTTTCTGGAATGCCACAAAACGGATGGGGCAGGAGGAGCGTTCGTGTGCGGCGCACGCTTCGCTTGGCATTAAGATGGAGCCAGCTGAAACCTGGGGAGCAGACGGGGCCTCAGAGAGCGAGAGGGAGCGAGAAGGCACGGCCAAAATCTACACAAGAGCTAACAAGGTATAACAGCAGCACCGACAGCAAAATGGAGCAACATTTTCTTTACGGCTCCCGACACGAGCACGGCTATCTGGGCAAACATTTTCATTGCTTGACATTTATGGGTGGCAGATGGGGGCAGATGGGGGGGCAGATGGGGCGCAGATGGGGGCAGATGGGAGCGGTGGGTGCCACAAGAACAGCCATCTATCTGCCACTTCATCCATCTTTGTAGCTGCTCTTCGCATCAACATCAATCTGTCGCCTCAAATCCGTTTGCTGTTCTGAACCCAGTCCCACTCCCACTCCCAGTCCCAGTTCCAGTTCCCATTGCTAGTCTGCTCCTTTTGCTGTCTTTGCTCCTCTCTGTTTGGGGGAGCTGATGTTTTTGGTCTTTAGTCCTGTCCTGTCCTGTCCTGTCCTGTCCTGTCCTGTTCTGTCCTATTCTGCCTTGCTGGAGCATAGGATGGATCCTGTCCTGTCATGTTGGGTATTTTTGGCTGGGCCAAGGCCTTGAAGTTTGATGCACTGGCTTCGTTTCGTTTAAGCTCACTCTGACAGCCAGTGAAAGGATTGCGATTGCCATTCCTTTGATTTGCAGGCCAGTGCGTCGACACCAGCCTTTCTCTGGGAAGGTGTTTGTCAGCGGGATTATACTTTCAGGACATACTCGCACCCAGGTCTGATGTCTTCGTTGTCTGTGCGCAATGTCAAGTGAGAGTCATAAAAATTTCATAAATTCTCTTTCCTGGCGTAACGATGGCACGCACACAGCCATAAGGCCACACCACCACATATATGGACACATCCTGGTCCTAGCACATCCTGGCAGCTGCATAATTAAGTTAACAGCATGAGGACTACCACTACGACTACGGGTACGACGACGGGTACGACTACGGGTACGACTCCCTATGACTCTCAGTACTCGCACATGCATTTGGGCGGATGGGTGGCGGAGGTGCGCGTCCTTGGAGTTTTATTAACTTAATGTCTGCTTAAACGCTGCCCGGGCTGGCAACTCTTTAAATATTTAAAATTAATTTCAACCTGTGCATCCTCGGCTCGCTCTCGCCTCTGGCTACCCCCCTCCTCCCTGTGCACCCTCTGCCCTCTGACCCAGCAATGAATTAGACGCAAAATCAAAATCAATTGGCAGTGTCAGGGCCCACAGTTTGCACCTGATGTTGACGCAACGTCGACGCCACTGGCCGTAGAATGGGTGTTGGGGCATGGATGGTCATTGGTTTGCTTGGGTTGGGCACCAAAGGGGGAGGCGGGCGGTGCTGGCCTAATGCGGTCTTAGGGCTGATACCGTCATTATGGCCACATTGCGGCAGGACAACGAGGTGGGCAATGGGTTAGATGCAATTACCTCTGCCTATGATGGCATTAATTATGCAAAACAACTAACGGACCAGGCAGGGGGCAGGGGGCAGGGGGCACGAAGAGAACAAGAGCGAAAGCTGCCCCAAGGCACGCGACGGTGGTCTAGACCGGACCATGTGCCTGGGTGGGTGGGTGAGTGGGTGAGTGGTCTGACTTCCTGGCAATTGCATGTGCAGCGGGCCACGTAAACGAAACATGCAATTTATCTCAACCCAAATTGTTGCCCCTTATTTCTGATGTTTTTCCACGTTATGCAAGCACTTGCAATCCATGAAGAGATGGACAACGGTATGGTAGAGCGGGACGTAAGAGCATTGTTGCTCTGTCTGGCCACTGAATGCTCAGCACTCCCCCCCCAGCACCATCGCAATACAACTTCCATCATCATTCATTTCTATGGGATAATTTTGAGCGCCCGAACTTTAGTTAATATTCTGCAGCTTTCCGCACTGCTCTTCAATTGAGGCAGCAGTTTTCGCTTTCACAGTGAGCACCTTTGAAGAATTATTTCCATTATGGCTAAGAGCACAGATCGACAGAGGGTATGTGGGTTGTGGGTGAGAGGAGAGAGGAGAGAGAGCAGAGCTAGTGCCATGTAAATATTTTTGTTTAACAAAGTGGGCCACTTGATAGGAGAATGTGATATGGCACTTAATCAGTTGGTGATTGCAGTTTTGACTTCAAAAAAGCCTTCAACAAATGGCTGCAGAATAAACTGGAATATTTGGCGATCCATCGTAGTCCTTCATATCGAAATATTTGGAGGAAGAGTGCATTGCTATCGATAACTCTCAGGAGAGGCCAAGATCTAGATAGGATCAGACAATGCACAGCTCTTTCTTCTCTCTCTCTCTCTCTCTCTCTCTCTCTGGTAGAGACGTTACACAGACCCAGCCACCCAGAGAGTATTTAGAAGACAATCGAAACAATCGATCCAATCAAAGCAATCGAAGCAATCGATTACTGAAATTTACTCGTTAAAGCCGAAGTGCTAGTTCTCATGATACAAAGAGAGAAAGGGTATCGAAAGAAAGGCAATGGCCTCGTGAATTTTAGTACTAACAATGGATGGAGATTGTCATGCTAAGCACCGCATGACAAAAGCACACAACGATAAAAGAAAGCCAAACGGAATAGACAGAGAGAGAGGGAGAGAGCGCGGAACGAAAGCGAAAAGTGTAATGAAAAGTGAAAGTGACTAAGATGTTTGTGCGGTTGTGCCTTCCCACCGTTCCCACCATCAGCAGGATGAGAATAAGGATGAAAATGAGAACGAAAATGCGGACTATGATGATGATGACGTGGGCGAGTAGTACCGTTGACAAAAACAACGGCAACGGCAACGGCCATAACGGTAGAATTGTAATGTTTGCCAAATGAAAATGGCGACACGCAAAATAGTGAGAGAGAGAGAGTGCTCTAATGGAAGGGGGTGTGGGGCAGGA